TCTACATTTTTTTTTTTTTTTTTGACTGCAAAATACAACTTTTAGTGAACCTCTCTTGTTTAATTTTCAAGTATTTCTGTTTAGTCTAAAAATTATATCTACAGAGTACTTAATGAATACAAATTCGCAAAATTAAAATGTCTATAAATATCTCAAATATGGATCAAATGTTTTGAATATTTTACCACGCCTAAAAAAAAAAACAAACAAAAGTTTTCGTCAACATTTCAAATCTCTGTGAATATGTTTGACTGAATGACTGTGAAAAAAAAAAACAAAATTAAAAATAATAAAAGCATTATTTTCGTAAATGTTCCTAATTTTTAAAAAAAAACTACTCGGAAAATCAAAAAATGACATCCTCTTATGTCTATTTACTGCCAAATGGCTAAAATTGTTTTTCTTTCACTCGAATATAAGAGATATGATAATATGCTATGATAATTATATTAAATACGAATAATTTTACACTTGGTTTTCTCGAATTCGATAAAACGTCACTTATACCTCTTGTGTTCTAGGTGCCTCCAATAAAAAACCAATAAATTTGATTCTTCGCTCAGAATTTTTATAATACTTAACTTAAAGGGAAAAGCGCAGAATGTCGGGCATGTTGGTTTTTCCGGGTTTCTGCCGTCCGAATCGTTATTATAAAATAACATTATGTATTGTAGTGTACGCGTTCTACGTGAGTGGATAAAATTTCCTCTTCGGAATAAAACCGACAGCGGTAACGATAAAAACGAAAATTGAACGTACGACAGACAGGTGGGTGCGCGTTCGGTCATATATGCAGGTAGGTTAGGTACAAAATATACGAATAGGTATGCTAAAAAAGACATTTTTATTTCAAAATACTATAAAAGCGACGTCGCGTTATATAATATTGTGTTACACTTGGAAGAATATAATATTATGTTTATCCAAATAACTCGTACGATAATAAAATGATATTGATCGAAAAATGTTCAATCGTAAAATATAACACGGGATTATATCACCGAACAGGTAACAGAGTATAGGTGACTTAATAAACATCCGAATATTTTTATAACATTATAATATAATCATAAAGTAATCGTTATAAATTTATAATGTCTTGGTAATATCGTACAAATATTTTCTTTTCGTAATGATAGCTACCGTTTAAATAATTTGACTTTGTACCGAAACCGTTTTAAGTCCTAATAATTCGTCGATACATTATTATACGAAGGACGTCGTACGCAAATTATTTTTAAGGGACCGCGTATAGGCAAATTTTCGAACGATCACATTTTATTGACCCGGAGAAGTTGAAAATTATTCACAAAATTCACTTTCGATAATAAATTATCTACATGCACCAGGTTTTTATCACACATATTTATTGTGTAATCATTTTAAAAAAATAAAGGAAAATTGATACATTATCCTGTAGAAATTATTTTAGAGATAAAACATCTGTAATTAAAAAAAGGACGATAATTCCAAGGTCTACATTTTAAATTAATTACATAATACAATGAAATATTTTGTTTTTCGATACAATTTTGTTAATTAAAAATTAAACTTTTTTAATTTAGTATTATGATTAAAAAAAAATGTAGAAAAACTCGGAAAATCAATCAAATTTGACTTTTCATTGCGTAGTTTCAAGCTACATCCAGATCAAAGCAACATTGTGGCCTATTTTACATTGTCAGCAATACATTTTGTGAAATTTTTTTTTTTTTTTTGAAAATTGTTGTCTTTTATGTTTTTAGCAAAATAATGATCAACACAATTTTGCTTCCACATTGGAGACAGTAAAGATCAAAGGAAGTAGAGCTACATTGTTGGCAACAGAAAACGTCATACCACTCATACTGTATTCGTAATTTGACTGTAAAAACAATGTCAATTTTTCTCGCAGTATATAGTATAAATTATGATTTAAATTTTACTATATACATATATCGAAGAATTACTATAATTATCAAAATTGCAGAACACATAAAAAAGAACATTAGATGTGTCAGAGCAAAATTCCCGGTAGAAAAACAAATTAACACGATTGTAAAACTAATTCATTGCTTGCTCCGTTATTTAATAAAACATTAGTTTGGGTACACTACGGTATAGATAAAATTCTCCCCTACCTATGTATTTTGAAATTGAATAGCTCAGTGTAACAATACAAATCCACATTTTGAAATTGTTTAGGAGAAAAAACCATCTATCTATGGAACTTGTATTTTTTTTGCTTAGAATGAGATTGAAAATTCTGCAAATTCTTATCACTACTTTTTCTTATGTCTAATAAACGGACTTGCATTATTATTTCATCATATTAAGTAGCATTTATTGTTTCATATAAAACTATCAAAAAGTAATTTCGAACTTCTCTTGTTGTTGCACTGAACCCTTTAATATTGGTAGCTCTACTACAAACGCGGATAGAGTAAACACAAAGTTGGTATTTGAAAGTAAATTTAAATAATATGTTCGACTGGATGGATTTTTTTTTTATCAAAAGTCGTAAAAGTTGCCTATACGAAACTCCTTAAATATTGGACCTGAGAAATCCTCCAGACTGCACACCATCGTTCACGTTTCGCGTACTTATACATACGAATGTAAGTTTATTAAGATTAAGTGCGTTTTTACGGTGAGGTACGCACTCGGTTATCGACGAGACGCCATCGGTATTCGTCTCATTTGTTGCCACGGAAAAATCCGATTAAATGTACGACGGTGATTTATTTAAGAACGTATAATAATAAGTAAGTGTATAAGAAAACCCGTGATTTTCTTTAATCAAAAAAGCGACCCTTCAGCCGCTCGAATCCCCCGCCGACAACAACACGCGGCGACATCATTAATATTGACTGCTCGTATTGTAATCCTAGCCGATATAGTTTTAAAACAGATTTGAATAATTCAGTACGAACTCGTCCGCATTCCGAAAACGAATTTGGCATTAATGAACTCGGATATTTTTTCATCTTGCTATGTATACGATGTGCTCAATTAATGAAACGACCGAAAAAAAAAAAATTTAGCGATGACAAATAAAAGCTATATAAAATAAATATGAATAAATTATTGTAGTCTGGTCCGCAAAATGATATTATATAGTTACCGTATTATAGTGATTGCGGCGAAATTCACAACCGTGATAGTTATACTATTATCACGGAAAACCGTGGCGTGAACAAGGTGATATAGTAATTATCGCAAAAGCTACTATCACACTATTGTGCACGCGTTTCAGTTATTTGATACGACCCCTGTCGTGAGAGTGATAATAACATACTATAATCGTGCAAACACAATCTACTATCGTTCTGTTTTACTTTCGTGCCACTGCACTTTCACAGACTAACATCGAATTTTTTTCTACTATCATTTTACCCAAAATTTTTTCTTGGGTATATAATAATTTTGATCATATTTTTTTTTTTACATAGAAATTACCCGAAAATTATAATAATTCTAAATGTGTAATTGCGTGCAAACACTGCGGGCAACTACACCACAAATGATAAAACTGTCGCTTATCAGTTATTATTTGTTTAACAGCAATCGTGTCTCCGGTGTCTCGTCATAATCTTGTGTATACTATAATTTATTCCATCAAGCAACTAATGACCTAAAGGCTCACAAGCGAGTGCTTGTAACTTAATAATTATAGAATATCTCGTGTAATTGAACCCCAGTAAAATACAGTTTTTGGATATTTTTCATTTAAACTTTATAAATCGTTTAAAGGTTATAAGTACCTATTATAATACAAGTATCATTAATTTAGTGTTTGGAAAGTTAAATGTTTAAACATTCATATAAAAGTGGAAAATGAAAATATTTTTTAATAAAATAATTACGATAAATATTTTTGTATTGTTCATATTATATATTGTATACTCGTCTAAAACTTTATTAAAATGGATGAAATACAGGATTTTTTAAACAGAACTTTAATTATAATGAAAACAATGGTAAATAAAATATATTTAGTTTGAAAAATTCACGAATTTTGAAAATGTAAAACATGTAAAACGTGTAAAAACTACGTTTAGTACGCTGTTTCTGTTATAGTTCCTAACGTGATAGCCGAAACAATAACCACCGCGATAGTGTCTATAATGTATGGGCCCGTGAACCAATCAATAAAAGTACTCTTTCTCGGTTTGATTTTACGCGAATTTCGCTTCGGCCGCGATCCAATACAGAATATAGTGAAACCTCTATAATAATAATATAAAGCCATACGTGTATGAGTATAATAATATAATATTTTGTATCGCACGATAAGTATATGTATTTGCAGGGAGGGCGGAGGGGAAGTATACGGGTATATGTATTTTTAGCATATAAATAGATATTTTTCAAAAATCGCGAAAATATGTCCGCCGGCTCATGCATATACCTGTATAATATTATGTAAAACCGTGTTTCACAAAAAAAAAAATAAAAAAAAAAAAAAAACCTCGAAAAATAATAATGTCATACGGTTGCTGACGGCAAAATACACGTGTGTAAATTATACAGTCGTACAACTCGCACTGCAACGCGTACGTTATTAACATAAATAAATCTAAAAATGTATAAATATATCTATAAAAAAAAATAAAATATTATTAGATTTTTTTCACATTCTACGCGACTTTCCGCATATCGTAATACGAGTGTATACAATATCATATGTCCCTGCGACGGTGACGCTGCAGCATTCAACCGTTGACAGATACCGAACTACCGTGCAGCAGGATTCCATTATAATATACGTATTACGTATATGTACATGATATACAGGCTGTCCCACGAAAATATACCTCTTGAATATCTCCGGAGGTAATAAAGTAAATATAATTCTATTTTTTATTTATTTTTTTTTTTTTCTATTACTCATACGCAAGAGGATTACAAATATTTATATTTGGATTCATTTTTTCTTTTTTTTAAAAAAAAAATAGTTGTTTTTGTTCTATTGTTTTCGCTAAATTTTAGGACAGCCAAGATTGTCAAGATTATTTTTCGGAACATTTTAACGTATCACACATTTATATCCGATGAATAGTCTCTAAGTAACAGCCATTTTAAATTCTGGGGAACAACCATTGAGTAATCTAGAAGTGCCGTATTGCAACTCGGCAATGTAACTGTTGGGAAGACAAATGCCTGGTCATTGACCCCAGTTGTGCGTCACTTAACGATCTAGATCCCTACTAAATGGCGTTATAAAGACCTACGCTCGATTGATAAAACAAGTGATACACTAGTGTAAAACTGTGAACAATAAATACATTATCAACTTAATAAACTTAATGACTTAAATATCGCTAGTGGAGCATCCGTAATTATTAATTATCAATCAAATAAATTAAAATTATAACGCCGAGTTGTATTGTTTGTGGAAGAACCATAGACACGTTAATAAACAGACTGCGCTTTACCTCACCTCTTGCCCATAGGCGAACGCCATAGTGTTCGTGAGGTAACGCGTAATAGTAAATCTAGAGAAAAAAATATTAGGCTTCATGTTTTTTTTCTTAAATCATCATAAATTTACAAAATATATTCAAAAAATACCTTGTACCCTAATATGATAATGTTATTTTGTAAAAGACAAAATCAAACACTAATTTTGTTGTTCTTTGTTATCTGGTCATCCTAGTAGGAGTAGATCTTTTACGCCTAAATTTAAAATCGAACGACATCTCTATATTACTCAATGTGAATAATCTAACCGTGTTACGTGATAACATTGGTTTTCACGCGGATTAGTAGAATTTAAAATGGCTGTTACTTAGAAACCATTCATCGGATATAAATGTGTGATACGTTAACAATTTTAGAAAAATAATCCTTACACAATGGCAATCATAAAATTTTCCGAAAATAATAAAATAAAGTTATTTTTTTAATTAAAAAAAAAAAAAAAATGAATTCTAGTATAAATGTGTAGTCCGCTTTCCTGCGAATAATATATATATGCATAAAAAACAGAATTTTATTATCATTATTATCTCCGGAGATATTCAAGAAATATATTTTCATGTAACAGCCTGTATACGTATGCATAGGTGATACCTATCTGTAGTAGACTCGAGGAAAAAAAAGGGATAGATGTAAGGGATAATGATAAAACAATATTTTTACACGGGTGTGTGCAGTGAACAAATAATAAAACGCGCTTGCGTTTGCCGGGAAGAATACTAAACACGTAGACGTACCGTCGTCGTACCTGTATTATTTTGTTATTATTATTATGGTATTACGGCGGGACGCCATTCGGAGAGTGAGTTCGTGTTTCAGACATTTTGACGGAATCCCGAACTTTATATTATAATATTATGTATAAATAAAAAATATTGGTACGACACATTACGCATCGACTCTCCCGAATAAATATAATTCATACCTGTACGCGTACTCATACGTGTCTTAGTGATTTTGAATTAATTTCACATAACTCAGTATAATATGATTTAGAACCGTATAAATCGAAGATTACCGTATTATTAGTATACATTTTTAAACGAAATGTTGGTATTACAAATATTTGCTTTTAACGAATCGAAATTGAAGTTTGCAATTATTTAAATTGTTTTCGATTTTTTATTTTTCGTTTAATCCAAGTCATTCGGGACCAATGCCGCTTCCACAATCCTCCCGCGTGCGTCTTTATGATTTACCTGCTCTTCACCATTCAAATACTTCTAATAAACTGAGATTCTCTTTGACTCGGTCTTCCCATTGTTGTCTTGGCCTTACTTTCGGTCGGCTTTTATTGAGTTTCCATTTTGTAATATTCCTTTTACGTTGACCCTCTGCCCCCTATACGTGTACTGCACACTTTATCTCTGGCTTTTGAGTGTGGTCACTGTATTCCAGCATCGTGGAATAAAGCGATAAGTTCTCTGTTTGACCGTCTTTAGTACTCATCTTTTGCATTCCTCTTTGGTCCAAATATTTTTCACAAGATTTTTCTTTCGAAAATAAATAACTTATTTTCGTCCTACTTGGCAGACGCCCACGCTCCGCGGGCAAAGACTACAATTTATTAGAGTTAAAATTATTAAAATTCATAAAAACGTTTTTTAAAAAAATGTATTTTTTTTTGGTTAAGTTTATATTTAGTAAATATTATAATTATTGGGAATACTATAGCTTGAGAATATTATAGCTGAAAAAAGTAAAATTGGAAAAATTGATTGGGAAAAGTATATATACAGTGATTTTTTTTATCATGAATCAGCGATCATTTTAGAGGATTTTATGTAAATTTGATTTATGTTTTTTTTTTTTTTTTAAAAATTGAAGAATCGTTGTTGGAAAAATATCAATTTTAGAATGATAAATTGGTGTTCAATGTATCACCCTCCCTGACTTTAGTCTAAACTTTAAACGGTTAAACCTCATAAACGGTAAATCTAATATTAGTTATTATGTATATCGACATTTCTAGAAAATATTGTCTATTCGAATATGTGTTAAAAATGAGGGGGGTCCCTACATGGAAAATAATGTATATACTTATTAAAGGTATATGGTGTTAGAGTTAAAAATTAAAAATGGTTTTAAAATAGAGCTTAACCGATTCCACTATGATTAACAAGAATACAGGAATCAAATTCAATTAAAATCCTCCGAGAAAATTACTGATTCACAAAAAAAAAAAAAAAAAACTCATTTTACAAACATCATTAACATTTTTCGTATTATAATAGAAAAATATCGAATTTTCACAGAATACGTAAATTTAAAATTATGAATTAATAATTTTTCATTGCGGATTTTTTCATTGTAAAATTTTGAATGCGAAGACGCACAATATGAAATACTTTAAATAACAGTTTAACAACAACTATAGAATTCCGCAGTTTGTCATTCAACACAATGATATTTCGTAAACGTTAATATTAATTCGAACATAATACGAATATAATATATCATACCAGGTATCTAACAACTCGGATTCACTCGTGTGCGGTTTACAAGTGCGTACAGTTTACCTGACATAGTGGTAATATAAACTAATAACGAAGATTATGTAAAACTTCATTTTACAATTATACTTCAAAAATTATATATATTATTATATTACATAAATGACTTTCCCTGTCACGCCTTCGCACGCGTTTATGTGAGGTATAACATGGTTATAACGGTGCAACAATAATCACTCTAGACACTAGAATCTAGATTAAAATCCCTGTAGTATGATGCTTCAGTTTAAAATATTGAACCCCTATTTTAACACCCCCGGGATTAAAAAAACGTCTTAGTGAATCTCCAAATCTCCAAATTACCGTAAAAAAGTAAATCAAAAAGACAATAAAAAAAATATCTAGTGATTTTTCGATTAAATCATTTTTTCTGGTAAAAACCGTCCGTGTTTGTATACAATAATGAAATCGTGAAATTATACGTTTTCCTACGTTTTTTCTCACATAAGTGCTTTTAGTTAAAACATGTCGAAAAACAAAAAAATACTTCATTTAAAGTACCATCTAGACAACTTGAGCTTTCAGAAAAATTGCTAAACGTAAAAATCGGAGCAAGTTTACAAAGAAAAAACCTGTCTTCAGATTAGAAAAAAAAATAAACAGCATTGTAAACCAATAGCACCCCTTGCTACGCTTGGAATCTAAAAGGACGGACATACTTCGCATGTGTGTGTAGCCACTATCGTAGGTGGGAAATTGGGAAGGTTGGACACAGAAGGGAATTTAATGTATATCTGTTAGCAACGATAAACTATTGCTAACAAAAAAACAATTCTGAACGGAGTTCAGTTGATAGTGTTGCTTTGTCAACGATACAATACATGGTATAATATGTCATATTATAGTAAAAGGTAAAATGATTTCAATGTACGTTTCTATAACAAAAATGATAGTTTAAAAATATTAAAATAATAAAAACTTAATAAAAACGGTTGTCAATGACAACTTTATTTTTAATCTTTCAATCTTTTTAAACTTAATGATTGACGTTTTCTTCATTATCTCGAATATTAATCAAAATTTCAAAAAATTACCTCTTCAAAATACCACCCAAAGAATATTTCCTTTCAAAAAAGGTGCTATACTTGATAATTGAAGTAATTCTCTAGTAGAAAAATGTTCACATAAAAAACCAATGCATTCCTCCTCGCTCCACTCAAAATCTAAAATTAAACACACAGGTACATATTAATATTATTTATAACAACACTGCAATATTACATTGTACTAATTTTTTAGCCCAGGGTACTGTGATACTAAAATTATCTGGACCCCTCTCATGAAAAACTCCTAAATACACCACTGAATAATTCAGATAACAATGAGAGGAGAAAAACGCAATGATTGCAAAAGTCCTAAGACCGGCATTCCCTATAATGAAAAGACGGAAAAGTTAAAAATTTATTTTATTTAAAAGTACCCAATATTATTGTTCATTTTATCCAATGATTATAACCAAAGTTTTATCCTAATCTTTGTAACATTTGAGATCTGATTAGTATATTTCGGAGGTCCATTTTTGATTTTTCTAGGGTTTTCATACTAATTAAGAAAACTAGAAAAAAACGCAAAAAAAAAAAAAATTAACAAGATTGCAGCGTTAACGATTTCATTATTTTAAGTGTTTTATAATTTTGTTTTTTACCAAAAATCTTGCACCAAATTTTAAAAATCTATTAAGCTTGCACCAGCACAATATGGTAGGACTATTATTAATCCAATATCTGTTCTGATAGAAAAGTTTGTCTAATTGGTTAATAAAATAGACGTGTTTTTATTTGCTATTTAGTTTTCTTAATTGGGGAAAAAGAAAGAAAATCGGCATTAAAGGTTTCATTGTTATATTTTTTTTTTTTTTTGTGTGTGTTTGTGTAATTTGGTTAAAATTGTTGAACTATTGCCATTTTTGAGTTTTTTAAATATTTATTCGGTTTGATGTAGTTGAAAATGTTAAGCCAAACAAAAATGCTTAAAATTTAATACAATAAGGTTCATAATATGTTTGATTCATAATTTTTTATTATAGTCGTTATTCGATATCATTTGTTTATTGTCGATTACAAAAATAAATCGAATAATTTGGTTTATCCTATCTTTTCAATTTTTCGCCAAAAACGGTAGAATACCCATCTCCAGTATCAGCTCTTTTTTTTTTTTTTTTTATTAATAATCAAATGTTACCTCTGATTTACATTATATAACTATAATTTCAGATTCGATTTTAACTATATATTTTCTGTGTGAGAAGTATAAAAACGTGCTTCAATAAATGAAAAAATGAATGAATAATAAGATAGATATATACGGTATAGTTCAAAATTCGTGTTGCTACCTGGCAACGCGGCGAGTTATTTTTGGTCGTGGAAAACTCGCGCGAAACTTCCTGTGCGGTATAATCCCTGAAGGGCGGTGCGCCCTTTTGAAACGCTAACAATGGGACCCCCCGCAGTTTCGCGGGGTTTCAACGGGCGCAATTTATGCGCGACAGCCATTTTCGAAAGAGTCGCTAAAACTATACACATACGCTTTTAGGTATATATATATATATTATTATTATTATTATCGCGCCATGTTCAAACAACTGCAGCAGACACGACGAGATCCCTCTAAAATTATTATAACCGCGTTTCACGTGCGCACGTGTTCAATTATGTTAATTATATATTATTATTATAATGATGATGATGATAATGATGATACGTATATATATATATATAACAAAACCACTGTACTCGCACAGCAGCGTTCAGAGTCGGATTAAATGGTGATGCGTTCGGAGCACTGTAGGCATGAGGGAGAGGGAGCTAAGTGTGGGGCTATAGTTTTAAAAAAATTAAAAATGATAAAGGACGATACGCCGGTCAGATATGCTTGAGAGTTCCACCACGTCAACAGCCCGAAGATGGATTTTAGATTTTAAGTGTAAAGGATCGAAACGCTACCCATAAACGTTTATGGATTGTAATAGAGAACCAGTAGAGAACAGCTAGTTCTATATAAACATTCAATATCTCTTGAACTAGTTATAGGTAGGTACTAAGGTACCTATACTTAATTTATACCTCTCGACTATAAAATATTAAGAAGTTTTAGTTTTCGATTCTGTGTGCATAGCAAGAAGCATATTATTCTATCAAAAAAAAAAGAGTGTGAGGCGAAGATCCCTGTGGTAATGTGAGGGACACTCAAACATTTTAAGGAAGCTAATTTTTTAAATGTAGCTAGAGTACTTCTACTTTTTCCCAAATCAATCACTGCCTTGATTACAACGAAAAAAGAGCCGATATACTACAACAATACCAGTTGACCATAGCTCCACTCAGAATCACGGTTTAGAATCTAAGTGAAGCGAAGAAGCATATGGTTTTACAAAGATTTGTATTTCTATTTATGTTTTGTTATCCGTGGATAAATTTTCTACCGGCAATTTTGCTTCAATTTAAAATGACAGCACTTTGTCCAATATAAAATTTGACTGAAGAAATACTTTAAAGAGGTCATTTTTCGATTTTTTCTAAGAGATTTCCCAGAAAATATAAAAAACCGAGAAAAATGTAGAAAAACGAGAAAATCGGTACAATATTAAACAAATATTATTAAAGAAAATATATAATGCATATTTAATTATTTTATATACACAGATATTGTTGACAAAGCATCACTATCAATTTAATCTCAGAATCGTTTTTTTTTTTGCTAGCAATGGTTTACCGTTGCTTACAGATATACATTAAATTATCTTCTGTACCCTTCTGTACCTTTCCAACTTTCTATCTACAACAGTAGTTGTATCTACTTGTGAAGTATGTCCGTCTTTTAATCAAAATTACCATAGATAATACATCATGGATAATACTTTTGTATGTCAGTTACTTAGATTCCAAATAAGGATGAAATAGCCATATTGACAATAAAACAAATATATTGATTTTTTTATAATGTAGCAATACAATAAAAAAAAAGATTTCAATAATTTAATGTGAATAAATTACTACTTAAAAGTATTACTACGTATTTAGAAATAACATAGTAAGCTAAAAAAGAAGACTAAACCATTAACAAATAACGGAAAAAAATGATTAACTTTAATATAGAATGTTTCATTAATTTTGAAGTTCAAATATATGCATTTTATATTCTATACATTTTGTTATAAATTCAATTAGTATTTCTGATAGCAACTGATTTTTTTTTATTTTACACGTTTAATTGAAATGGAATTATTTCTGTTTTATGTAAATTTGTTTTAAACTGTTATTTTACAATTTTGATTTAATTCAAAAATTGTTTACAATTCGGGAATCAGTTAATGCGAAACGAATAACGACTACATAAGAATTTTCGAGTAAATTATTAATGAGCTCAATAAAATCGGGTGTATTTGAAGGAGTATAACTCTGAAGTTCCCTTGTTTGTATAAAAGTTCAGATTGTTCTTGACATAGAGTTGTTTAGTTGTGCTACAAAGAGTTTTAAGTTTATTTAACGACTTTTCTCTTCCAAAAATGTTTCTCGTTGAACCGATGAAACGTTGAAACAAAAACTTTTTTTTTTTCATTGAAAAATTAAAACTCCGTAGGCTTCTAATTACATTAATCCGCGAGGTAAATCCGAAGCATTGGCGTTGCATAGGGCGTAGGTTCGGGGAGTTTTTTTTTTTTAAAAACGCCGCTTTCGACCGTATACTACAGGGATAATCGATATTTGACCGGAGATATGAGGTTTACGGACAGACGATATGTTTTCGAGACATATACGTCATCGATATGGTTCTGTTGATGTGTTTTCGAGTGGTAAAATGCGATGACTAAAGTTATCATCGGGAGCTTTAAATTATATATTTCAGTCGCGTATCTCCGATATATTTCCGAGTTTCGTATAGACACGTAAGACAACTGATATACGCGAACAAAATAAATAATCGGAACTTCTATACTATATATTCTATAATATATATATTATGAAAAAAAAAGCCTATACCCATGTTTCCGGTGTGTCCGTTTTAATAAATAACATCCTGACTTAGGTATAACTTTTTATTTGTTTTTTTTTAAATAAATTTGTTCTGAATAGCAAATACAAAATTCCAAGTGTATCGAAGAAGCTACGTGTGTGTTTTCTTTTTTTATTTTTTATTTTTAAAAGATAAACAATTTTTCTGTTAGAAAAAATGTTTCGATTTTTCACGACGTATCTACAAATGTACGGTGACATAAACAATTTGGCGCATTTTTAATAATCGATACAGAATTTTTCTGGGAAAAAAAATGAATTTCTTAGGGGGTCAATTATTTGTGTATTTTAAAAAAAATATTTCAAGTAAAGCATTAGTAGACAGAAATTCCGCGTTTTAAAAATATTCGCGTTAAAAATTCGGAGTATTATTTTTACTCGCATAAAAAAAAAAAAAAATCAAAACAAAGTAAACTACTAACCAGTTCTGCGCTATACGTTCGAAAACTAAAATTAAAGCCTCTTAAATATTTTAACGGCGAGAGAATTAAAATATTAGGTAACTATTTCAAAAGATGTTTATAAAATATACACCATGAAGTCTGCGGAAAATTAACTTTTTCTTTCTTTATTTATTCTGCATACAATCAAACATAATGTAATGTGCGTGTATTATATTAAAACACAAACGAAATTATAAACCGATTTATCTGGATCCATTTTAATCGCTAAATTATCATTCACTATCGTGTATTTTTAGCATTTTTTTGTACGTAAATAAGGAATATCATGGTTTGATTATGAAATGTGCCTTTTTTTTTGTCGATCTGTTACTTACTAGAAATCTTGCTCTGATGAAAAACTACAAGATTGCAATGTTTTATAACATTTTGTATCTAGTTGGTGAGTTGAAATATCGTTTTTTTATTTTCCATGTAGTTTTCTTTCGGCAATGGCCTCCTCCCCAAAAACTTGTCCTTTACAATAGTAAATTAATAATAAAAGTAAATTGATAAAAAAAAAAATAATAATAGTTTAATTTTTAACAACTTTTTACCTAGAAATATCGCTGCGATTATCAACACCAAAGATGGTTTTTTGCAGACAATTTTACCTAGTTAGTGCACTAGAATTCCTTTGATTACCTGATTGCATTTGTCTTAATAATGTAGAATAATGATAAAATAAAATATTTACGGAATCATCCAAACCCCAACCCCCTAATTGTGTCAATGATCCCCTTACCAAACAAAAACCAGATAGATTTGAACACTTTTTAGGCATGACCCTAATCTGTTTGTAAATTCCTCTCATTCTACGCGCATGCTTAGAATCGTATTTCGTCAGCAATGAATTACCGTTGCGTACAGATATAATTCAAATAACTTTGTATAACTCGCCTGTGTTTCCCCAGTAATAATATAAATGCAGAAGACTATCTGAGCGAAAAAAACGGAACTCATTAAACTATTATTTATCATCGGGGACCGGAAGTTCGTCATCGTTGCAGATCGTCGCCGCCGCTGCCGAGGCAACGAAATACAAAATTGGAAAAAAGTAAAAATATATATTATAATCCAATTTTAAATGGGTCATGTCGTATTACACCGCGAATCCTCCGGATCGATAGGTCCATATCCCTGGCATCTCTACTAATGAATTTTGAAACGAACCAAGGGCCTTTTTTTGTACTACATTTGTGCCGATTTGTGCAGTTATCCCGACATTTGTGCTTTTAAACTTTCCGAATTACGGCCGATTTTCATAGGGGTGCCGGGGAAATAGTTATACTCCTTTCCGACGTGTGAAATAACTATCGTAAGTCCGTATTTTTTACGCGTAATTTATTATGTTTGGTTGTAAGCGCATATTAATGCTATCTATGAATACTTTTGTTAAAAAATGATTTGCTGTTTTTAATAATCGAACATTTTGGGAATATCGGATAATTAGATATTTTATTTTTTAAATAAAATATGTAAACATTTGATTCTATTATTTAATCATTATATGACAATTGATTAATCATCATGATAAATCATGTTAACGTACTTGCATTGGAAAAAAATTTGATTTTTTTATAATTTGAGAACTTTACTTTGATGAGCTTTACTGACTATAGTTTAGTATAAACTATTAATTGTAATAAATAAATATATTATATAATACAGTACGTTGGATATTTTTTGTGTCAATAACTCTGACTACCCAAACCGTCCAAATTATTTATTTAATTTTTTTCAACCACGACTTCATATTCAAATAATATAAAACAACAGTATATTACAATATTCTGTAGTATTTAGTAATTTATAAAGTATTTCAGAACATGAAATTATTCACAATAGCATTTTTAGTAATATTATTATAAATGAAAAAACCAATAGAGCCTGCCTTATAGATTAATTAAAAATATGAAATTCGAAAATAATAAAATATTTTTACTACATACACAAAATAATATGCGTTTATTGTGTAAATTTACAGAGACATAAAATGAGGCGGATGGCAGATTATAATCATTTAGTAAAATAATATTGAAACTAGGATTTTCAATAAGTCCATTTCCAATAGTGGAAAAGTGATCTAATTGTTTATTAGACCTTGTATATATACAAACACCAATAATTACTATACATCCATTAACTAAATTATTAAAAATTTGTTCCACATTGGTAATTGATGATTTGCTATCCACGATACCTGGCAACTATATTTACAGGTTGGGTAATGTTTTAAATATTAGCTTTTGACAAAGAATAAATTGAAAAATTGTCTGCATACTAGTTGTGATAATTAGAAATTGTTGAGATTAGCACATATAACAATATCATTTACAGTGTATCTCTAAGTTACGGTCACCCGCGGTAATTAATACCTAGTTATCGCATATTCCCAACATTTTCAACTATTAAAAACAGCAAATCATCTTTTAACAAAAATATTCATAAATAGCACCAATATGGGCTTACAACCAAACATAATAAATTATGCGTAAAAAAAATACGGACTTACGATAGTTATTGCACACGTTGGAAATAAGTGTAAATATTTAACACAAGTGTAGCACGAAAAAGCCCTTGGTCTCGTTTCAAAATTCATTGGTTGGGGTGCCAGGGAAATGGACTTCTGATCGATAACACATAACATCCAGAGCGTAAAACAAAGTATAGATGTATGCGCCAATATAATAATATGACAATATTATTATAACAAACGTACGTATTACGTGCGAAAAACCGTTTTCGCGAGTTCTCCGTACATCACATACTATGATAATAAAATATTTATTGGTGAGTATTTTATTGACACATGTTTTCGTGCTAACTTTTTTCTTCCCCGTTTTTTCTATGCGTAGATAGGTACTTGTCTCGAAATATTATCGGGTCAACAGGGGCTTTGTACGTATACATTTTGTATCCTCTTGATGAACGGCAATACGCCCACGATAATCGAAACACTGAGAAACGACTAGGGATCAAAAAAAAAAAAAAAGGGTTTTCCAAAAAAACTGGATTCTTCCGGAAAAAGTGTTAACATTTAAAATTTCCCCAAAAATGTTTTTTTTTTTTTTGGGGGGGGGGAATTGAAAAGTAATAGAAACTACCCAATGAATAATACATTAATATATTAGCATTTAAATAATTCTGAATCTTGCGGATTTTATACTTTTCGGATAACAATAATAGTATTGTCTTCATTTATTAATTAGGTATTTTAATTTATAATATTTAATATTTTCCATGAAGTAACTAGTGTTTTATTTGATTAAACTTTATTAAAACTATCAAATACTATTCCTAAATTATTTGTTGACGATTTCACATTTTTCCAACTCAATTAAATTAAATTAGTTATGTAAATTAAATTTATGGTTATATTGTAAGTTTTAGTTTTTTCTCTTTTTATTATTATTTAAAAAATCGTTTAAACCAATTTTTTTTATAGTTATATAAATTTAAATATAAACAAAAATATTTCAATTTTTTAAAAAGTCTTTTTTTTCGTAAATTTATTATTTTAATATTTTCTAGTTCTCTAGAGAAAGAAAAAAAAACGGATCTTTATCCGAAATTTTCTGGGATTTTGATCCTTAGATATAACGATAAATGCGACCGTGAGTGTCAAAGTTATAATACCTGAAGTAGACGTTTTTTTCAAAATATCAGCGTTCTGGTGTACGAACCCGGAATATAATTATGATTCAAACAAATCGAATCACTGTTCGTTACAGCCCGTGTCGGGTTGGACGCGCAAATGTACCACTGTGTGATGGCTGCTACGGAGAGTGAAGTTTTTTATGTTTTTTACGTCACATGTCAGTGATGCAATCATTTCTCCGTCTTCGGAGAACGAAGCATTGAAAAAATTATTGGTAGAAAAGTTACGTCAAAAAAAAAAACACCACACATCATAGATACATCACATTAAAACCAACACAATCCTCACTCCACTAAGCATTTAAAAGAGTGAAAACTAACGCGGGTGGTTTTATTCCTGGGTATAATATATGGGTTTCGAAATGTCGAAAATAATTTTTTCGTTCCCTAGGTATTTAAAGTAGGTATACATACTCGAATATAAATTAACATTAAAATAATATATAAATTATGCATATGTTTAAAAGTTCACGGTTATCCTTTAATAAATGCTCTTTCCGTGATATGAAGTACAATAATTTATATCATATGCAAATTAAGTGCCTATTTGCACCGTATCTGTTTTATAATTAATATATATGGAAATAATATATTATATTTTCGTAAAAGATTTCCATTTAGATTTATTTTGAATATTTTAAACTTTAAAATATTTAGACACACGAAACAATATGTATTTTTCGCACATTTTAAAACTGAAATCGTTATTTCTCTTTGATATAATTATTTTTAAAAAATAATGATAATTTTAAATTATAAATTAATATTTAAGAATTTATAAAAAAAAATCCGTGAGTAATACCAGCTGTTAATCGTTGATTTTTAATAATTACGATAAATTACCGATCGCGATAAATCGGTTTTGGTGGAAAATAGCCAACGTGAAACAGTTCAAAACTATAATATTATAAAGCAGTGAAAAATTAAAAACGAAAATTGGTATATTTTTCAATCGTTTTTAATTTTATTGATAGGCTTCTAAAATCTAAAGTAATTATTTTGAATATTATTTTGATTTTTATCAAATACACGTTTAGCAAGATTAAAGTAATTCGTATCAGAAGCGTGTCTCTGATATAAGGGGAGGAACATCTACTTTCCCTCCCCGAAATTGTACGCATTTTAAGTTTATTTACTGTTTGATTTTATAAATCTTTCAATGTTTATAAATTATAATGAATAAGAAAAAACGAATACTCATAGCACGCTCCTGATTACGATTTATTGATAAAACAAAAATAAATACTCACCGTTTTGCTTTATTTCTAGTCGTATTATTCATAAGTTTGTATAATTACTTTGTTTTTTATTTCTGAAAACGACTGTTCTAAAATAAAGTGTTCTTCAGCAAACAATTTATGGAAACTTACAACATTTCAACAGTTCTCAAATGACCGCAGAGTCCTTGGAAATATCCCGACTATTATTTCGAAGACACGTACTATTTAGTTGAACTAACTTTTAGTAAACTTGATCGTTTCAAAAGCAAGTTTGTTTTGTTTTTTTGTCATTAAATTGAAATTGTTAGGATGATTATAATTTCCACATTGCCACGAAATAACATTTCATTACGTTACGGCAGAAACGGGTTCAGTTTTATGATTACTCCACAGATTAATCGACGTATACGCGATAACTGACAAATACTTACAATATTGCTGACGAATATATTATTATACTAATCGAACGTTTATTTGATACACTCCGCAGCGCTCCCGGTGTCCGCAGATTCGAGAGGCCTAATCAGAACCGGCTGCGCAAAACGAACATAAATACGTGCGCACCGAGTCATTTTCTAGCGCACATATATATATATATATATATATATATTACCCTCCGTCCGTCCAAATAATATATATTTGTATGAACAAAACAAACACTAAAATAATAATTATTATATGTAATCAATGTATGTATAAGCTTGAGTATAAGATACTATTTATTCGAAAAATCATATTAATGTTTGACAAAAATCGATTATAATAATAGTATAATAGTATGTATTATGGTATAATATAGTAATGCTTATAATATGATTATAATTTAATCATTGGAGTAAATAGATAATAAATTATTGTATGTTATATACAATAATAATGAGTAATATTTTAATTAATCGCTTCACATCAAGAGAAAACATTAGATTGATAATAAAAAAAAAAAAGTATAGTAATAAAAACACACATATAATGCAATATTGAATATCGATAGTATTATAATATAATAATAATTGTGTAATATATGTTGTTATGTATTATAAGACGTATAATATAAGTATTAAATAAGACTAAAAAATTTGTATTGGGTTCTAATGAACTCAATATCAGAGTTTGTAATGTATATAAGTATAGTATATTTTCCTGGATTATAGTATAATATGTTATGTGTTATGATTACCAGCTGAAAATAGTGTTTTCGTTTATAATTTTATTTAATACTATGATATTTTTTAAAATGTATCTTTGGTATGCCTAGCCTAATAATTTCCATTTGATTAGAAACGGGCGAAAATTCGCGTATAATAATTATTGATTAATAAACAAATATGTCGTAATATTAATAATTATTGTAGGTAGTAGTAATGAGTAATATAATGATAATGATAATAATATTTAATAATAATAATAATAATATGATAATATTATAGTTATATAGTATGAGTATAACAATAAACAAACGATTATTAATGTAATTATGTATAATATAATATTATTATGCCTCGAGACGAATATCTTGAAAAATCCCAATATAATGATAATAGTAATGATAATAAATATAATTAATACTAGTATTACGTACCTATATGCTAATGATAATAATAATATAATAATGAATAAAAAAAAAAAAAAAAATACAACAACCGCGATGTGTTTTTTGTGGATTTGTTACGGTTTTTTCTCGTTTCTATACCGTCGTGCGTAAGCTGCCCTCGCAGTGGCAAGTGCTCTAACTACCAAATTGTCAATAGAGAGATTTTATTGTTGTGGTATTAATAATTTTCATATTTTGCGTCTTTTGTTACTGAGGTAAAGAGCAGTAAAAAAGTAATTTGATAGGTATCTAAAAAGTCGATTTTAAAATATCGTATCTGCATATTAATATATGCAACATTTTGTGTATACTGCATTGGTTAAAGTGAAATTTTTCATACGTGAATATATTTTTTATAATAATTACGAGATAAAAGTGCAGTAAAACATTAAAAATAATTATTTTATTGTGAAATTAACCGGTTTGAAAATAAAATAAAAGTGTACGTGTGGTTCTTACATGTATTACAGCCACACAACTTGATACACGTACATTTTTACTATCAGATATATCAAAAAAATTGAAAATAATTACTGCACTTGCCACTACAAGGGCAGTATACGCAATTATTCACGGTATAATAGTATTCACAGATATATGAAACAACTATAGCTAGATTATCGATTCTGGATGATCAGTATACTGACCTATAGGTAAATCCGGAGCTTCGCAGCTGTATACCAAGAGGTAAAATTTTATTGATTTTCCCCCGGTATTATTTGCGAGAAAATGTTCGTGCGATAATATGAACAAAATCATGCGAAATTCATAAAGAATTATTGCTATATTGTGTGTATATCGTCGCACACAATATTCATAGCATAAACGAATATTTCATGGCATAAACAATGTTAACACAGTAATACTACGCGGGCTCGTAATCGAAATAATTTGCCCTCTCGGTGTACGGCTGTCCGACTTCATGCTCTTATCCTATTGCAGGCGACCGTCTATAGTTGTTTCATGTATCTATTGTACAATATAGTATATTATTATTGTTTTATTTGTTTTTTTTTTTTTTATATAACCAACGAGAAAATGATAATCGCAGCCTACCTAATATAATAATATTTATGCCTCGTGCAGAGAATTAAACGCTACAGTGTTTTAATTTTAATTTTCATTCATTAAACTACAATGTATTTAGACTAGAAACGTGTGATAACAGTGGTAGTAGTGTTAATAAATAATGACCGTAATAATAACTACTACTAGAATATTTACACAGGTAATTAGAATATAATATCAACGCAGTGTTTGCGTGCAAACGCTGCGTCACGAGTCGCTAAATGTAATAAGACATCGCAGAATGCCAACGTTTTGTAACAAACCGTTATGTATATTATATTATTAAAAGTATTTACGATGATCATACTTTGTCCTTAGTATTATAGTAATAATAATTAATAAAGTATACCTATATTTAGTTAATTTAAAGTTGTCCGGATTAATATAGTATTCGAAAAGATGATGGTTGTGAAACGGGAAATTGCGATTTTCGTAACATTATTATTATATTATAAGTAGGGCCGGCACATAAACCGATACTTGATGTCAGCAGTAATCGGTTTTTTTCCGCAATATTTTCAGAGACAAATGTTTATTAGGCCTCTGAAAAAAGTATTCATAAATTGGGTTTTCAAAAATGGTTTCGGTCTAGCCCTAATTATAAATTTAATAATGTGTGCGATTGAAATACGATCATAACTGAAAACGAGTAATTTCGTGTGTGGGTGTACGTAGGATTACAAACTATGCTATTAGGATTATAAAATTATACATATAAAAAAAAATAAAAAAAACATCGTCTGTGTAACTGTATACGAAAATGTCCAACGGAGGAGATGCGCGACTATTTACTGCGGACGCTTACACTGCACACGGTTGCCATTTTTGATCTTGACTCGGATTGGTTTTCGAACCGAAAAAAAATATTATTGACTACGATAAGAATAATAGTAATCATATAGTATGATATTAGTTTAATTAGGTATGATAATATATGTCTAATAATAATAGGTATAAATCGTATTATTATTATTATTATTTTTAATTATTACCGCAATCAGAGGGTGAAAAGCGATAAAAATACGTAGTATATTAAATTGTGCGTTATTTATTTTTTTATGGGGGTGGGGGTGGGGGTGGGGAATCTGGGTTATTTGAAATTGCGCGGTCTTTGGTACGGAACGGTTGTGATTTTCTGAAATACCAGAAGTTTATATGTAGATATGTGATGTATAGTTTTGACATACGAAGACATTTTAGAAACTGGCGTTGGTATTCGAAATCGCGAATTGCATGGTTTTTAAAATAGGTCGAGAGAGCGAATTTTATTTTCAGTTTTTATTTTAAGTATTTCAACGAGACTTTGTTCGGTTAAAACACACTGTACGTAATTTACGTATAAAAATTTATTGTTGTTTGCGCGTTTTATTATTCTTTTGCACTTTGGGTGTTTGTTTTTGTTTGTGCATTTGAATTGCGTTCGGGTCGTAACATTAGTTTACATAAACGTGCGTTCGAAACATATTATTTATCGTATTCCGAACGACGTTCGCCGCGACTTGCGTATATGCGAGTGACGTACGATTCCGGAAGTCATTTGACCGGATCCGACCTGTATTCGCCTCTGTGAAGCTATCAAAGAATAATATTTTTAAATTAACCGAAACTTTAGTTTGCTTTTCTTTTTTTTTTTTTTTCTTAAACCACGCTTTAGTCGCTATTTCGGATAATTTTGCGTTTCTAACATTCGCGCGCGGACCGCGACGGTGTCGTGATGATTCCCGCGAGAATATTTATGTTGCTTTTGTTATAAAGTGTTATGACCGGCTACGGGGTGGCGATCTGAAGGGAGGGGGTTGGGTAATGACGAGTGTTTATTGTTAAAGTATACGACTACGTTTGACTTGGGTGCGGCGTCTATTGTCGGGCGGCCGCGGCCACGCCGGCCACGATCATCGACTGAATGAAGTGGATGCCGGCGGGCTGAGGACCGCTGCCGGCGTTGCTGCCACGAGAGACCGCGGCGTCCTTGCCGTTGTTGATGACGTCGTCTGCGTCGGCCACAGAGGAGGCCGACGACACGGACGTGAACGCGTCAGGCGGCGGCGGCGGCGGGTCGGCGCGGTACTTGTACGCCACTGACTTGCGGACGGAATAGTACAGGTTGTCGGGTCGGCCGGATTTCCAAAAGCCGTCAGCGGTATCGTCTCCGGGCATTTTCAAACGGCACTCCACGTCGATCGTGTATGGACGGTAATCCGCCGGTCTCTCGGTGGTCCGATTGTTTTCGTCGAGTCCGTACTGTTCCACATCCTTCAGCGACACCACCTTGCTGGCGCGGATCGAATAATTTCTGAACACCTCGCCTTCTCGATAGCTCCTGTAACGGTTCCAATGGTGCACCCTGGGCCTGGGAGTGGTAGTGGTCGTTGTGGTCGTCACGTTTTTCACTTCTTCGTCGTTGGTCTCGTCGTCATCGCCATCGTCCTCTAAAACTAACACGGACACGAATTGCTGCTCTCTGCACATGACAAACAACAAATACGATAGATTAAGTTAGATAAATAAGGTAAATTAAATTCGATGGAAAAATCGTAGTTTTGTCAATATAAAACTTATGAATGGGTGTATGTATTATACCAATCAATAAGATTAACATTTTTTTTTTTTCGTATATTAGTTTTACTATGATGTAAGTTTATTTTCTTCGTTTTTGCTTACAACTTTTCTACCAGAAATCTTGATTAAATCAAAAGAATAACAAGTTTCCTTGAGGAGGTTATTTTATGATTTTCTAATCAGTTTTCATAATAATAACAGGAAAACCGAGAAAACGATATATAGGAAAAACGGGTAAACATCAGTGGCGGATTCTGAGTTTTGACCGGTCCGGGAGAATTTCGTTTTACCAGCCATATTATTTATTTATTTATATATCTGTAAACACGACACATTTAATTACCTTATTATAGTTCGTCAGGCAATCGTATCATTTTAAATCGTGATCGGTTTTCTCCTCATTGTCAAATACGTATACGTAATACATCAATACGTCTTAATTAATAAAAAATATTTGTATCGAAAAATAGAAAGCACAATTAGAAATTAGAAAATAAGTTTTATGATAAAATTTGTTTAGTTTGTGTGTAAGAAAGTAATTTTTTTAAATTTGTGATGAAGTTGTCTTAATAATAAAGTAACTAACAATATTTCAATAGTGTCTAAACGGAGTAACATTTTACTTCGTTTAGATTTTACGTAAAAATATTCTGGCGATTTTCAACATAATATTTATAGGCATTTGACATTTTTGCCTTTTTTTTTTTTTTTTTTTGTTTGATATAGAGAAAATTGTTTGGCCGAATAGAAATATAAGTGATGGAATAGTTTTCTTTATTTTTAAAAGGGTGTACTATATTATGTGTATTATAGCACTTGAAAATATCTAAGTATAACCAAATTCTATGTTCAGAATCTTTTTGGCACACCCATCCCCGGCGTATCTGCTCTTTTTGTATCCCCAATACGGGCGGAAATATTTTTGAAAGAATAATGAATATTTATATTCGTCGACTGTTTATAATATTTACTCGATTATTGTTTGCCCGCATTTTAATCTATTCGAAACTGTGTATAGTGTACAGCCCTACTCTGTTATTTGGATTCGCGTAAAATAAATAATATCCAACTTGAATACATAAGTTGAAGTTTGTATAGTTATAATCGTTTATTTAAATATAACGATAATATGGTATTTGAAATAAGCGGTGCGTATATAATATCAACCAAACGTTTTAATTATTTAAGGAAATGTTTTGAACTCCGTTAAATGTAATAAGAATAATAAGAATAATAATAATAATAATACAACTTAGTTGACGTTTGAAATTCGAAATAATGATTTCATTAAAACTGTTAAATAGTTCCCCGAATTTTTAATAATTGGCGTTCGTTAAAAACTACACCGGTTTTTTAGTGTGTTTTAATATTATTATTATATAGGTAAAAACATTAAATATAAAAATGACCAACATTTTTATTTTACATTGGTCGTATTAAAATGGCGGATGCGAATATTATACAAACGGCGATTGGAGTGGGATAGATAGATCAAACCCCTCCAAAATCATCCGTAGACCCCTAGAATTATTGGACACTTTCATTATTACGGCCGGCAATTTAAGAATGAGAAGATTATGTTACCCTTGCCCCCAAAAAGGGTATCAGATCTTCATCTAAATGCTAATCTGCTTCTAAATTATGCTAAATGTATAATTTTGCGGTTCCGGTACTACTAAAATGATAATATTTCGTTGAATATAATTTATAACTAATATAATACATTTTTTCAATATTTGCCATTAAAAACGAAATCAATAAAATAACGGTATTTTATGTGGGTAATGGGTATGATTGCGTTTATTTTCTTAAATCGTTCAAGAAACGCTCTATACAATATGTGTCGTACGCAATATTATCAAATCGAAAAATCTACTAGGTAACATACATTAATAATCCCTATGCCAAAAAAGAAAAAAAAAACCTTTAAAAAACTAATAAACGGTTGACTTATATACATAATTATTCGCATAGGTATAATTACTGTGGTTTTTACTCAGACGACATTTTCATTCCAGAATATAATACGTTAATGATGTATGTATGGTAAAGTTATATGTATAGTTTTACAAGTATAATTTTAAATTGGTTTCGGTAGAAATATTGGCAATTTGGATTTTTTTTTTTACTTGTTTTTTTTTTTTTTTTGTATAAACAACGATACCTATAATATGTTAAAACGGGAATTTTATTAATAAACGGAACGGAAATTCGATGTATGTACGCATTGTTTGGTGCGTTTATATCATATAAACCTATTTAACTAGTGGACTGCGCTGTTACACCATTTACCCCACGAAAAAATAAATATCACAAATAACGTTTTGTAAAATATTCCAATACTTTTTTTATACTTGAATACTATTCTAAATACTTAAAAGAAATATATATTCAAACACATTATATTCTAAATACGTTTGTGTTATGTGATAAGAAAACTACAAAGAAAATCAAAAAATGACATTCTCCACACGCTACCAACTAAATTGAAAATTCTACAAGAAAGTTCCTATAAAGTTATCGATTGAAGCAAGGTTTTCGACATTAAATATATTAATAGAAAAAAATACATGGTAAAACCAATATACATTCTTCGCAGAATCTAAAATATTCGAAAAGTATATTAAATGTTTTTTTTTTTAAACTTATATTCGAATGTGTATTCTGAATACTTTTTGACTCATTCGAAACTTAGACACTCCAAATACAAAATATTAGTACCTATTCTTTAAATACTGGTATTAAATCGTATTATTTATGATTAAAACTCCAAACACATTGATTTCCGTGGAAAACAAGACAAATTAATTTTCTTTTATTCCTTTACCATTTTCATTTATCAGATGATGTTTGACTAAATAATATGAAAAATGATCCCACAAGTCAATATAACCTATAATATAGTCAGTATCCCTGCTATCGCCACTCATTTTTATTTTATTCATAAATAGATGTAATTGTATGCTTTAATAACAAGTCATATGACTTGTTTTGTTCTTCTTCAGTAATTGATTTACTATAAGTGATTTTTATGTTTCAAAAGACTTTGGTAGCGTAGATGACCAATGGTAAAATACGTTAGATTATACATTCGCTTATACCATTTGGACCTAAATATAAAGGTATATAAAATTATTATAAAAATAATAAATAAAAAAGCTATAAGTTTCTAAGTGACCATAGATGCAAATTGAAATTCAAACTAAGTATTGGTAAACTATCAATGTATACCTATTAATTTTTTTCAATAGCCATAGATTAAATCAAATATTGAAAGAAAAAATTGTACATTATTATTTTTTGGACGACACAAAATGAAAAGCCGGCAGACCGTTACGTAAATAATTATGGGTATGCACTTAGGTGCACGTGATCAACAACGCGTGGAAGGGAGGAGAAGAGGGAAATTTGGATTTCGTCGTCTCTTCGCGTGCCTACACGATTACAAAGTAAACATACAGGTATACTGTAATAACGTTTTTTTATCATTCTTTATTTCTCCCATGATAATATACTTTTTTGCGAGTCAAACGTACCTATAACAATAATAATTCTCCGGCTGACGAATATCCGATATCTAAGCCACCCGAACGCGGGCGGTCGTGTTATCGATTATAATTATACGGGCACATACTCGTAGGCATAATGTGTATAAAGGGTGTTTGCATTATTATAATATCGTTTGGCTAAGTGCGTATTGTGTAACGATACCTATGCGTATATGAGATTGTTTAGCGTTTATTATCGTTTCCTTTATCGCGGAACCCGGGTGTAGTGTGTGGTGTACGGTGTACCTACTTTATTGATAATATTCCACACTACGGATTACCCGACGATATTATTATAATAATATTAGGGGCTCGTGTAATATTACGTAAGCGATGACGATGGTTGTTGTCGATAATAACATTACTGTTATTATTATAATATTATCTGTGCGCTGGTGTTAACTTAACGTATTATCATCTAGTGTTTGTTTTACTGCAGCGTTTGACACTATACACGACTATGCGATAATCCGTTGTATAGAGCTGATGGTGGGTATATTTTGAAATCAATAGGTGCCGAATATACAGTAGTTGATTTTATTTTATTTGTCTAAATGCGTAAAACAAACGAAAAGCAATTCCGAAAGAGATTTAGAGTTAACAACAAACCAATATCATGAAATAAATAGAAAAAAATTGAATATTATTTATAAAAATCAAAGCTTAACGAGTTCATGAATAACGTTATTATCAATTCCAATGGTGGATTTACGGAGAGGTCTAAGGAACCTGAATCCCCCCAGATACCGATATAATTCCAATAAAAAATCATCTAAAGAAAAGGTGTCTAATAATAGATACTTTCAAAATACATATTATTTTTAGAAACCCCCCCCCCCAGAAAAATGTTGAAAATCCGCCACTAGACGTATCTTTAGAGTGATATGTCAAGCAATGGGTCACGGGTCCATGACATATAGAGGCCCCAAATCAAGACCCAAGACAATATTTTGAGTGCCTTTTTTTATTATTACTTTTTTTTTGCTTCAATCAGTGTAAATTGGAAACTAACTTAGATTGTGCTCTTGGTTCCAAATTAGGTTAGTCTAGAATATTTGATTACGGGCTTTAGAAGTTTTAGAGACGTCACTGAACAACTCGTTTAAATTGAGTTAGTTGAAAAAAAATGTGACACGTTGAAAGTTAATTGTTTTGTTCATATTAATCAAGTTAAGTTAAAAATAAATTATAAAACTGAATTAACCTTTAGCTGTATTTATTATTATTTTAGTTTGCAGTGATAATGTGGGTAAATATCTTATGAAGTATTTACGTCATGAATAAATTAGAGGGGTATGTGTGTATGTGGCAATTTATTATAACTCACAAGACATGTTAACTAAAATGTTAATGTACAGGAACATCTACGAGTAGTAACCTCAGTTACAGCCTCCGATTCTTCTGGACTTAAATTGTGGCATGTTATTCCAAGTAAGTATTCACATGAATATCGACAGTGTAACCTCTTTTTAAGTTGAAAGTTAAGTTAATTTAAAAACCAAAAGTTAAAATCTAAGTCAAAAGTTAAGTTAATTTTAACTTTTAAACTTGTTGATGTTATAGTACCTATAAGTAAATTGATAATGGTATAAGACAAAACATACAAGTATTATAACCGTGTAGACGTTTTATGATAAGTTAATAATATTTAAATATTTAAACATATAAACAATTAATTCTTATTGTCCGGTGATCTTCTTGTAGTTCAAAACTTGGTATTAACCACTCACTCACCAAACGCGATACAAAATTTAAAATATACTATTTTGTTTATGTGTACTTAACACCACTGCTTTTTGTAATAAGTGAATTAATTTACTAGTGAATTTGAATATTTTTGAGTATTTATCTCAATATATTATATCAAAATATGTTCTACTTTTATTTATAAATTAAATTTGTCGACACATAAACGACGATATTATTAGATCATTTTTAATATAACCATGTTTTCCAACATTTAATTAAACAATAGATTTGTTGGAAAATTGTTGGATACCAACATTTTTGGATTGCGTCAAATAATAGAGCATAACTGTATGATTTCAACATTCTCTTTATAATATATTATTGAACACAATAGGCACTATCATATTTCTGTCATAAATTTTAATAAATGCAATAATGAACAAGTAAAACCTGAAAAAGAAAAAAATTAATATGAATCTGAAAAATTGGTAAAATTGAAGGCTATGAGATCCGATGACAATATTTAGTTGACAACACTGAATTTTGGAACAACGTCCGAAAATAAAAATGTATTATGAAACTGATGAGTTTCGCAACGACGTGTATTAATATTTTGATTGAACATCGCTGAATTTCGGAACTACACCCCAATATCACGTCGAAAAATCATATTACGATTCCTATACGGGTGTCTAGAAAATATATTATCGAAAACGAATATCTATTTTTGCCAACGCCGCGAGAAAACGATACATACATGTTATAACATATAAGATAATATTATTATCGTAAATAGCGTGTCAAATTTTTTTTTTTTTTTTTATATCACATCAACTTTCTATAAACATACCGAGCGATTAAATTTTGATTTGATGCACATACCGTTTAGAAAAAAAAAAAAAAAAAAACCTATATAAATAATGATCACTTTTTACGGTACATCAAGACTATTCGCTTTTCTATCTGCCTAATATATGAATGGCGGGTGACGGTTGTATACCAATGCATATAATATATTATTATTATTGTGTGTATTTATATTATTATAAACGCCACTGGCGTTGGAAAAAAAAAACCGCAAAAAAAATCACTCGACGTCACGTACGGTTTTCTCTACAAAACCGTGCTGACCGATTAAAATGTAACGGTTTTCTATTTTTATAGTGTAGAGTATATTATTTGTTTGTCGGGAAAGATAATAATATTATAATAAACTCGCGATCATCACACGAAAAGTGAGTCTTATAATAGATAGCGTTTTCGATTCGATACGCTATTTGCAACAAAGTGTGCGATTACTCGTTGAACCAGTGTTGTGTATTAAATCGTTCGGTTTAATTGCACCATGACGGGGATAGGTCACTGTTATTGACAAGCCGGTATTAAGACATTTAACGGACCCGGGGCCAACAATTCTGATAAGGTAGGACATTAGTTAAAGAATAGTTATTTAGTGTATACTAAAAAAAAAAAAAAAAAAACAACGCTTTAAACAAAAGCGATTCTGAGCGAGCGTAGCTTATTCGATATTTTAGTCGGTTTTGTAACCGAAACGCAAAAATCCGAAAACTATGAGCCGCTGAGCCTCCGTTTTAAGAAATCGAAAATATTTAAAAATCTATTTACAATTTTGTTGAACTAGTTTTCTAGCTCCACTCAAAATCTAAGAAAAAAAATTGACATTGTAACAATATTTACAATTCTACGAAAAAAACCCAATTCATTTTATCCTGTGCATATATCGAAAACCCAGTCTTGTTCTGAAATTTAATATACAAGTATAGTGTTGCACACGGCTAATAATCGAATTTAAATCGGAAACGATATTTTATGATATTATTATATGATGCGATGTGCTCTGCTGTACGGTCGTATCAAACGAACGCGAGAGAATTTCATCGACGAAACCATTGGCGCACAAACTTAACGAAATGATGATAGGCTTTTGATCTCGGAACGGCTATAACTGCAAAAAGAGCTTATATCGATGGAATGGTTTTCGCCCCCCACCCGGAGTAGCGCAAAGGAATTTAATTACGTACTGGCCTTTTGTAATCAGTAACGGAGGGGAGAGAAATCACAATATGCTTTGATGGCAATACGGTTGTGTAAATATATTAAATTCGGAAAGAACAAAACGTACAACAAGCGTCGGTCAATACTTACACTCCGTTCACCCAGATGCCCATGGAAGGTTCGGGATGCATGCCGGCGGCGTAGCACGTGATGTTGATTTTGGTCGGGAAATTGTTCGTGGACGATGCACTGTTGCTGCTGCTGGTGGTTGGTACCGGCGGGGACGTAGAAGTTGTCACGGTGGAACTATTCACGTTACCCAAATCGCTTCCAGCACCCTCGTTGTTATTTTCGTCGTCGTCCACATCGTCGTCGTAGACGTCGCTCACGAGGACTTTGAATACCCGTTCCGGTACTATAATCACAACAAAAAATATCCGATTGAGTTACAATACGATACAATATAAAAATCATTGTCTGATAGCATTGAAGAGCATAATATGGGCACAATATATTTTAGAGATTGTCTGTAGCAAATGCTTTTTTTTTTTTGTCGATGAGTAGAAATAAACATTTTGGTACAACGAAGAGAATATTAGGAAAAACGATACGGGGAGAACGGTAAACGTACAATAGTAAAATACTGCGCATGGTCTACTGGCTAAAAATAGTCTAATACCGGACATAGATGACATGAAAATCCGGTCAACTGTTCGGCAACCTTTCCAAATATATTTTAACATACATAAAATAGATGACACTAGTATCACCTGGAAAATAATTAATGATTCCTACAGTGAATGATTGACGTCACGGATACAGATTCTAGACGGACGTGCCACGGCCAGTTTGTTATTCATTGAAAATTTACATATTCGGAAATTTAAACTTAAATGAGATTGAAAACTGAAAAACGCTGTCTTTTTATTCCAATTCAATATTGGTCCATGGATTTTTCTGTGCTATGGCTATCTATCAACGCGTAAACAATGACGAATAAAACTATACATGGGCGAGCACTTTTAAGGCCTATTCTTCATTAGTTATGCACCCCTAGTAATTACAACCAGTCGAAATTCTATAAAATATGCTCCACCATCACTGGTATGATATTGTACATATTATTATAACATATTAATACATATTATTAAGGGGATTCAAAAATAATATTTTCATCTGATATCACATACGCAGTATAGCAATTTATACCAATTATCTGTCCATGGACGTGACGAAGCGATACGAACTCTACTGATATTTGAATTATTCGGCGTAAACTGTGCACAAAATCGATCAGACCACATTTTCGACTTTCAGTCCTTAATTTTAATTAAAACTTTAATTTTCCAAAAATCTGACTGGTATAAAATGTATACAAATAAAACTAAAAATGATGTGAATTACTATTCTGCGCATATGTGTGGCTAAAGAATACATAAAACGTCTGTTTCGAATCTTTAAGGTTAAGTTTGATCTGCTGTTTAGATTGCAAAACAATTTCTGTACACTTGCAAAAGCATTTTCCGAAAACTTCAATGCCTCGTGCTTTCGTATTATTGTCGCTTTTCTATTTTCGCACGACAGGAGTGCGCCGTTGACGACGGGTGGTCGACGATGTGGTGTATTCTGAGAGAGGCAAAAAATAAAAATTCTTTTCTTTTCGTCTTCGGAGTAAACGCGGAAAAATATAAAAATTACGAAAACAAATAATATAAAATGGTTTTCACCGTTATCGGCATCACCTCCTGCGTACACAGCCTTACCAACACACTAGTAATAATAAGAAAATTGTTTTGTTCGAACATTTGAATTCTCAATGTTTTTTCACAAATCGGGAATGATTTTTTTTTAAATTTTTTTTTTTTTGCCAACACTATGATATTTCACGTACTGGAACAAAACGATCCGTTCGTACACAGGATATGATCACGTATAAATGTATTTCCGTGTATGTTTGCAAATCGACATCACTATGATGATTGATGAATGTATTATTATTATAAACGCGTATAGGTATGATTATATACGCGGGGTGGACGTAAAATTAATGACATAGCTATAAGTACTATAGTAACATAATATTATTTTGACGCCATGAAATGTATTGCAACTCGGCCGGAAATCGGATAAAAAACCGCATCCTTTTCTCTTTTTATAGGGCACACAGAAGGGCATGTGCGTTTAACATATAGGTAGGTAGTAAATCTCACTCACGTTCTAAAAACATAATAGATCCGCATTGTAATCAGTGTTGAACAAAGATAAATTTTAAAATATCAAAATAAAAAAATTAGTAATTACTAGAAAAATTATCTAGAAAGATAATCAGGATAATCAGATTCTCAGGAACTTTGTATTTAGATAAAAAAAAAAAAAATGAAGATAATTTTGTTTTTACTAAACCTATCCTAGAATTAGGAATACCTACTCAAATTTGATTATTATAAATGTATACGATTTGATAGACATCTACGTTTCGTAAGGACGGTAAGGTTAGGTTAGAATTTGTGTGATTTATGTAACTTAAATGCATAATTTATTAAACCATATTAATATAATTTAACTGCTTTACTATAGGTACTTATTATTTCTAACAAGTATATTATTATAATTTAAACAAAGGTATCTAAATAAATTTAACTAAATAATTAAATTATTTATTTTAGATAAATTATTTCTTATTTGTCATATTTATTTGATAACGAATTTAAAAGTACCTACATACCTGAATAATTTAACTAGGTAAAACACGTCACTAAATATAATGTATAGGTGGATATACATCACAAACTTTTCGTTTCTTTTGCCTATAAATTTAACATTAAATCAAAATCAGTATTGTTGAGACACAAAATGTACCCAGATAAAGATAAAATATAAACTATTGCTCATATATACATAAAGATACAATTAATAAAATTAAACTAAACTCGGATAAGTTAATAAGTTAACTAGTATTTATCTAGATAATTGTTGAGAACATTACAGTAAAGATAAAAACATTTTGAACGGTTAAAATAATTGTATAAATGCAAAGTGTATAAATCACTAAGTAGTTAGTAACTACACATTTTTATCTAAAAGAAAAATTGCCTCGGTTAAATAATATTTTCCACCATAGGGAATACTTTTATTTTTATTATTATTTTAGGTACATTTTACCTGGATAGTTACTAAACTGATGATTATTTTATTATAATTATTTTACTATCATAGTGCCATGTTTCAAAGATGAAAAACAAACACAAAACAGTAAACAAAAATATATTCATATCATAGACAGTGTACATAATTATGTCTAATTTTCTATGATAAATTAACTTACTGACGTTTTGTAATAAATTATTGTCATCGAATATATTATCATTTTTGCCCGTGTTTGCAAGTTATAACAATAAAATCTCTATCGTGAATTCCTCTGAATCCTACCCGGATTACATAGATCCTCGAAAAGCATTTACTACTGTGTAAATGACGAATGCCGTATGTCGTGACACTCGAAATCAAATTTCCCTTCGCAACACATTTTTATATTAATAGTAAATACACGTGCGCTTCTGTCGCACGGTTTTCCAGTATACAGCGTAGAATAATAATAAACCTGCTAAAAAAACGTCATTTTCTTTCTATTTTTTTTTTTTTTTTTACAAATTGTAACTTTATCCGATATTTGATAAAAATCGGAATTAAATTTGTAATATTGACATTTTACAATCTATTTCTTTCCTTCATTGACAAAACTGAAACACTATAATATAGTTAAAAGTTTCTTGTCGCCATTACTGCGTCATTTTCTCTACATCTTGAAGAATCTATTCTCGTTTCCATTCTACTGAATAGTGCACACGTTATTGTTTGTGTTCGTAATATAGTCACTTTGTTTTTTTAAGTTCTTGGGAAACAACGTATGTAGGTACTAAAACTACTTTGGTACCCATATTACAAGTAAACAGAGTAAAATTTTTACTTTTGTGTTTCGTGAAAAAATCTGAAATTACGTCTAATAATGCTCACATACTCTGGGAGTGTTTCGTTAATACATCAATGTCTATAATGTAGCAATGAAAATCGAAATTATAATCGAATCCGCAGTAAACCGAATACATTAAAAATGTATTATTATTTTATTATACTTACACCGTGGCCAATGAATTTATATAGGACGGACGACACGGGCGTGTAAGGGTTTTCTGTATAATATACTAGTATTATACATAGAAATTCTTAGAAAACGGATAAGATTGATAGCTATGAGTGGAGAGGGGAAAAGAACGGTAAGAGGGAGTGGTTTCGTGTGCGTCAATCGTTCGGGAAAATTATAGTGACGGGTCCGCTGGGAAAACAAGTTTCCTCGGCCGAAATCTCGTCGGCCGGGTCGTAAAAATATAATGATCGTCGTCGTCGGGACGTACCCCAGAGGAATACATCGAGAAAATTGAACACCCCCTCCCCCTCGACAGGGCCACGGTAACTCAGTGTTATCCCAGCCCGTTCCCACTCGTTCTTTTTTTTTTTTTTAATATTTTGCGCGCTCCTCTCCGCTTACCTATAGGTTACTCGTAAAAACCGCGACACGGATACGTAACGCAATAAATATTACATTTTATTATATACACGTGGCTTGATAATATTTTCGTTTTATAAAGGGTCGTAATATTACGGCAACGGCCGTCTGTTTAAAAATAAAATTGACGGTATCGCGTTTGTCGTATATTTTTATCGTGATTTATCGTATCACACGGCAGATAATATAGTCGCATAGAAGAGAACCTACAATATCCTACATTCTATTATCTAACTATATAATTTAATTTACCTCACTATCACTAAATTTGATTCCCCGTTGCTCTTCTCACTCATCAACTTTAAAGTGCAATTATGACACAAGCGCCTTACTGCTCAACTCATTAATTATTAAATGAACCGATGAACCGAATTATGAAATTAGCAAACGAAGACCTCCCCTTCTCTCAAATATAAACTTGTTTGCAGAATCTAAATAATAATATTGTATAATATACTGTAAGTATATCAAAGCCCGTAAAAATCCCGGTGAGTTATTGTTGCAAGTGAGAAGTAAGGAAGATAGAAGGGAAATTTAACTTATATCTGTATCCAACGATTAATTATTGTTAACGAAAAACTATTCTGAGTGGAGTTCAATTATTTATGTTTTGAAATGCGACGATTTGAAAATAATATATTTTGTAAACTTTCCCATTTTTCCTACGATTTTTCCCGGATTTATTATGAAAACTTCTGGAAAATCAAACAATTTTATGTACCATCCCAGTCAAATTATCTTCCAGAAAGAGTGTTACACTTGGAAATCAGAGCAAAATTTCTGGTAGAAAAGATGTTTACAAAAAAAAATAAAAATAATACACATCAGTGTAAAACCAATATATTCCTCACTCCATTCAAAGTATCTAAAACAACAAACACAGGAATCGTGTGCGTATCGATTGCGTAAAAATAATAGACTTCTCGTCTCAAAATCTTATTCCAAGGAAATCTTTATAGGAAAGTTCGTTTACCATTTTTGAACTAGGTGGTGTATTATGGAAGTCATATTTGATTCCCTTTGTAGTTTTCTTTCCACAGTTTTTTAAAATTTGTTAAAATCGATTTAAGCGATTTTGCTGGGAACCCACTATTATATAATTAGGACTGCATTCCATTTCATATTTATAGACTTTCGCGTTAATAATCTTTACAAATCATAATAAATAATTATTTGCACTATTTTACATATTTGGCCGTCATTGCATAGTTTTCCTTAATTATTGCACATTTCAATAAAAAATTATACGCTACCGCAAAAAAATGCAGCAGTCCTTACTGATAAATACAAAATTCCTGTTTTTTTTTTTGTTTTTACGTTTTTTCCTAAATTTTTTCTCTGTAGTTCCCAGTAAATAATAAAACTACAAGGAAAATTAAAAAAATCACCTCCTCAATGCACCGAGTAGATAAACTTTTCTGTCAGAAAAATACTACACTTCAATATTAGACCAATATTTTGGTGAAAGTTGTTTACAAACAGAAAAAAAAAATACACATATCATAGGAAAACCAATACATTCCTCGTTGTGCTCGTTATCTAAAAAGAACTTGATGAAAACATACATAATGGACGTTCTAACCGGAAAAAAGAATAATGGATATAACACGGAGAATGACGGAGGATCGGGTATGAGAAGCGGGATGGTCCAATAGAGACCTATAGAAACCGGGGGAGAAGAGGATTATCGATGTCAACAATATTATATATAATTTTTCCCCGCGACAAATAGTGAAAATCCGCGCACGACGAGTCGACGATTTTCGGATTCAGTTCGTTGGACCTTCTTCATATACCTGCCGTGTTATCATACCGGATGGATGAGCGACCTCAAATCGCGGCACGGCGCACATCTATTGTTGGCACCGCCGGTTTTTCCCGGTTATTACCTGCACTGTAGTCAATTGCCTATTTATATCGCGACGTCCACGCCGCCACCGAGACGTATTTCGAAAATATATCGCATCGTATGAAAAAATAGGCGGAATGTCGCGCTACCCGTATCGTCGGCGTTGTGTCGACGCGGCTGATCGATTTATTCGCTCGCGTCGTCGCCTCGTTGCGCACAATTGCGCGCCGCCGCGGCCGCAGTCGTCGTCGCCTCCGGATTTGTGGAAAAATCCGCCGGGCCGACGACGACGACGACGTACAGCAGCAACAGCAGCAGCAGCAGCTGCAGCCGCGCCGAAATGCCGGAACATTCGACCGGCCGTACATTGTTATTGCACGCGCAATAGCACGCAACGTTATTGTAATACGTACGAGCGTGTATATCTATAACGCGTAATGTCAAAATAAATATTATGCAAACACGGATTCTCGCGTTCGTCCGTCGGTGAGATTGTTATTATTTCGTGCCGCCGCCGCCGCCGTCACGCCTCGCACATTATTATTATTATTATTACGACTACAGCGTCGTCGCCGCCACCGTAGACGTGATTTTATCGGCACACAAGCGCATAAACAATCGACCGAGATCAATAATAATAATAATAATACGCAGGATCCGTTGAAATCGCACGTCTCCGCCGCGCCGTCGCATTCACGGTTCTATTATAAATTATTAAACACATAATTGTGTTTCGGCGCGCCGAGAAACTATAGGTGTACGTGCACGGTCTCGGGGGGGGGGAAATACATATATACACGTATAAAGATCAAGTTGGTAAAAGGGCTCGTCGAGAGGAGCGAGAAACGATACGTGACAAAAGTCAAGTACCTATGTATCAACGTAAATGCACGTCAGAGAAGAGATGCGCACACCGGAGAAACAGTGGCTATAGAAATATTATATACATTTAGATGCTCGATCAACGATATTACGCTGTTCGCCAATCGAATAGAGTTGAAAAGTTAGATAGGACAGGATCACTCGATTTCTAACTGGTGATAATACGTTTTTATATTTTGATAACCGTGTTATATTATGGGAACAATCACGGAAACAATGGTAACGGAACAGATACACAAGTTATCAGTATTAAATTGGATTAATATCGTTGGCATAATAATATGACACGATAGCCGCGCATTATACACGTTTTGTGCGTAGCACCTCAAATGATGTAAACATATTATGTGTAAGACAGACAGGCTCTGACGTAACTTTTGAAAGGAATTCATAAATAATTTATCCCGTATTCTTTTAGATTACAATGATTTATTATTTATGGTACAAAATAATCGTCATAAACAAATTTCATAGTGCATAAATATTTATACATAACAGAAGAATTCTTCGAAATTGAAAACGATAAAGGCATTATTTTCGTAAATTTTCCCGTTCTTTTTACTCTTTTTTCGGTTTTATTCAATTGTTATGAAAACCAGCAGAGAAAATCAAATTACAACGTTCTTACTCAATAACAAGATTAAAAATTCAACAAAACAGGTGTCTTGTCGTTTTTATATTGGAGGAGTAAATCTGGTACAAAACATAATTTACACGAATTAAAAACAATGAAATCGGTAACGTCACGGGGTCCCGTAAATATTTGACGTTTTACCTAAACATTTTTTCCGGTTTTTCCCAAATATTTTAAAAACAAAAATTGACCTCTTTAGTGCACTAACCAGATAATATTTCCTTTGCCACACTGTGTTAAAATACGTTTATTTTTAACGAATTTATACGAATGTTTTACAAGACGTGCATCTGTGTGTCTATGAGAGCGCGTAGAGAAGAGAAGAATAACGGTGAAAAAAAAGCGAATGCTGGAGAAACAGTCGGGGGGTTCTGGAAGGCAAAGCAAATAAGAGTGTGGCGGAATGAATGCGTCGTTCAAGGCGAAACCCGGAACGCGAACTTCGAGCGGGTACGGGTGTCCGTAGAAGACCATAAAGCGCCGAACCCGGCGGGTGATTTCGATAAAAGACGAAATTCTCTCCGAAATAACGAGTGTGTTGGAAAAATGCGCCCCCCTGTATAATTAAAACACTTGTGCGGCTCAGCTGCGCGCGAGAGTTTTTCAATCATATTATTTGCGAAATATTATATAAAAACCGTGCCGACATAAATATTATACACTGTTATATATTTCGTTGTTCATTATTGTGCGAACCGACCGAGTTTTCTCCCTTATTCGCGTAGCGACTTACAGTATAATATAATACACGCGTACACATAGACATTGTTTTTAATTAACCTGTCCCTTACAAACTGCCGTGATGGCGCAGTCATTTTTTGAAAAAAAAAAAAAATCGAAAAATCCAATTAACGTTTTCTGACAAAACTCAATAGAAGTTTATGTCGAGTTTAGGGTTTTTTCCCCCGTCTTTTAAACGAGCGAGATAAATAACGAGCAAATAATTAAAAGTTTTCCCTCGCGAAGACGTCATAACTTTTCGATCTTATTATTTCTTTTTCGCTATTTCTCCGTCCCTCGGAAGTTTCGCAAATCAAGTCGTTTTATGATTATATTTTCGAAAAATTATAATAATATTAACAGCGTGTAGCGGTCCGTAATAACATTTAACAATTTCGTCCGTTCGATGAAATCTAAAATGTACAACAACATATACAAGTTGCCGTCGTCGTAAAAACAATTTCGTATCATCGCTATATCAGAGACATTTAGAATACATTTTTCTAAACCTCTTCAAAGTCTCAAGACGTGTGTGGGATATAGAAATATACGGGTTTGCCAGTAGTGGATTTAGGGGAGTAAAATACCACAATTTTAATTTTTTTAAAAAAATGGATAATTACAGTCTAACATCCTAATTTCGTCTACGGCGAGTATTCTAAACATAAACCGAGTCTTGGTCCTCCGAAGACATGGAAAAACACTGAAAAAAAATGCATACTAAAATATTTGTAGCCAGTAGATATACTTGAAGAAACCGAGTAAAATTGAAACTGGTACAATATCACAAGCTGTTTTTAACGTATATAATGCAACGATCGTAATACTAAACGAATTAAACATGCAGAAACAATAGGTTTTGATGAAAGTGTGCAGGCGTCTTCTAATTTGATGTTTCATTGTATGTATCTGTACTGAAGCAGTAGATACGTGCAAATGCACTTTTCCTCTTTGAGATATTGTTGTTTTATTCGCAGTGATTTACAATGATCATTGTTATGTACACGGTCATGAAATAATGCCAAGGACGATTTAAACGTTCGTTTATTATACTTCTATCGAATTTATAAAAAAAAAAAAAGAGAATGAAAATCACCCGACGATGTGTATCTAAACGATCCGTAAAGTGCACGGTGGACTGGAGGTTCGTTTGGGTGAAATACCTAACTAAAATTAATACTGTAAATCGCACGGTCGACATCTCGCGTTTATTGTTTAAACGAATTGAATATTTAAAAAATAATTTAAATCGTTGTTTCAGCGAGACTTGTTTTTATTAAAATAAAGTTCCGACGATAAGCTTTTATATAAACATTGTACTTTTTTAAAGAGACTCTTTCGCGGAATCTATCAGAACCGTTACGTTTAAAAGACATTTTATCGTTATTATTATTTTTTTTTAATTTGAATTAAACTTTTTTCATTAATTTTCGTCTAAACTCGCCGTTATTTATACCTTTTTGTTTTAAAAATCACAATAATTAGAAGTTGTTCAACAAAACCTTTTGAGTACATATAGTACCCGAAATTCACTTTTATCCAATTTAACTTCTGAACTGTTTAGGGAGTGTTTTTTTTTTTTTTTTTATCCGCTCAAATTAACATTTTTATATTATATTAATAAAAATTAAATTTTCTGTTCGTTTCGTGCCAAATAATTTAAGGACCCACGGTGGCTTGAATCCCCGCGCGCTGTGGACACACACGAATCATAATATAATAATATAGACTTCTTTCAAGCATATTTATAAATAAAACTATTCACGGTTTTACACGCGGGCGGTATAGTATAGTATTCATTTTTTTTTTTTAATATATATAAAACATCGACCGAATTTGTACGCAAGCCAAAAAAAAAAAAAACCAAATATATTATTAAAATTATAAAAACGAAAATTATAACATTATACCGCCTGGCCGCTTCACGTGTGCCGACACGAAAAAAGTGTCGTTTTTTCCGCGGCAAAAATATCGTCGCTTACGGCACGAGTGGAGATAATTATTAGGTATTGTTTTCTGAAATGTGTACGAGCACGTCGGCCGCCCTGTGAAACTGCGCGAAAACCGAGGTACACGCTGTTGCGGTACAACCGACGATATTGTAATATAATTGCATGCAGCTGTCGTCCCGAGTTTTTCCGAATGATCCGCGAATCGATCGGAACTCGCGGCTGCGGCTGGTCGATTCGCCGGTGAAAAATTAAAAATTCGTATTGCTTCGCGCCGAAATGCAGACGGACGCGCTCGATACCCCCGTTTCGCCGGAAATCGGATCGCGTGCAATAACACAAGGCGGTCGACGGTAATTTTATGCGTAAACGGTGCGATTCGCGAACCGGTGGTGGCGGTGGGTGGGGCGGGGAATAAGAACGGATTTTTTCTCCGGCGATTCGCACGGTAAACACGCCGTATACCCATTCCGCGCGACTAATTAGGTTATTGGGAGCGGGCGCGCGCGCGCGCTAGTCAGCGTCGGGCCATTCATTACGAACGCACAATCGTCGGACGACAGAAAAAAAAAAAAAAAAAAAAAAAAAAAAAAATACGAAAATAATTATCATCACATTGTGGATGACCACCGTCGCCACCGTCGTCGGTCACGTATCTTTCGATCTGAATATCTGACACATTTTTTTTTATTTATTTTTTTTTTTTTTTTTTTTTCTTTCTTTTTTTGATAATATGTCTCTTCTCTCGGCTACCGCGAAATATGTTATTATTGTGTTATTGTCGTCGTGGCGACGACGCGCGACAGTGACTTTTCTTCCCGTCTCGCCTCCTCCCGCCTCACGCACAATACAAATTCGGCCGCTAATATAATAATATATAACACGATATACACAAATACGTAGATAATAATGTATAAATACGGCCGTACACAATGTACACGTGCATGCGAAAATAATAATAATACTTAATAGTAATATTGCCGTCCGAATAGCGCGCATGTAGTTTTTTAAGCACGTGACGCGCGCACCGGAGTCCGGAGGCGGTGGGCGCGGGAAACGAACCGAAAATGAACGACAGGGACTCATACGTAATTAACGGTTAATAAGTTATCCAAAACAGACATTAGGTAAAATATTCAATTCGCATAACTGCTATAATAACTGTTATGTAAATCGATTTCGCACCTGTCCTTTATCTTCGTCTAGATAATAATTATTATTCCGGAAATCATCTCTCATCGTTATCTAGATATTTTAAAACTAATCTTTACTGCAAAATATGATTGACATAACATAAGATAACTAGACCGGGAAAATCACGAAGTCGCGATACGAACAGTGCACTTACGGTTTTACCAAACATTTTTTAAACGTACTGAAATGTAATGCCGTGTAATATTTTATCCTTATCAAATTATCTTTGGATTAGTAAACAGTGACGGTAAAACGTAGTTCGTTTTATGGAATTAAAAAGTCTCGTGAATTGCGATAATTCGTATTTGTCATGATAAACAAACTCGTCTGTGGTTTTTCTTCTACGAGTCTATGGTTTTCAGATTTTTTTTCATAATTTTCTTTAAAAAAAAAAAATAAAACATATAAATAAATTGTTCCCAACGGGAAAAAAACACGTCACCCTGTCTCTTGCACATGTTATGTCGACTTCGGTGTATCACATGCAAAACAGTCATCATTCCTAGACAATTTATTGTGTGCCTATGTGGGACTGGGGCGCTTTTTCGTAAATGATACGACAATGACAAAAATATTGTCAATAATTTCAAATGAAATTACCACGATGGAAATAATCTAAGTTGGCATAATCTAATTTTTTTTTTTTTTTTCTTCCAGAATTTCGGAGAAAGTGCCGGGCGTTACAATAGCTATTATCACTATTAACACTGTAACAAAACGCGTACCCACGAATGAATGCAACTCATTATATTCGTAACATTTCGGAACCTTTAAGGGCGGCCACCGTCATTTTTCGGCGCTCGGTTCTTATCGTATTTCGAACAAGTGCTATTCACCGTTTTACATAGTAACAATAAAATAATAATAATGATGATAATAATAATAATAATAACAGACGGCCATTATTGCAAACACATAAACGCGCGGTATACATGTACACAATACGGTCCTATACACCGGAGCGCGGACGTATAATAATAATATTAATAATACAATAATTTATAAAATAGGGATTCGCGGGGATTTTATCGAATTTCATCGCAGCCGAGCTTTATATTGTATTGAATAATATATACGGCGTAATTTTATTTCGGAATTGGTTACGGCCTTCGGGGGGGGAGGGTAGGGGGAGTTAACAGCACGGTTGACCTCTCTACATTATACAGTCACTATACAGCGCTGAAAATCGTGTTTTTGAACACGGTGGCGCGTTTGTATATAATAACATTTTAGTCCTGATAGCCGGTAGGTAGGTATACGAAACGGGGGAAACGGGACAAAAATGATTCCCGTTTGAAAACAGTCGCAGGGCCGAAAAACTCAATACAAAATATTTTTTTAACATTAATTTTTTCACCGTCGTATAGCTTGTATAATTTATATAACAATACTAATATGTGAATACAGCTCGATTTTTTTTATGTTGCCCTTCTGATCAAATTAACTCAAACTCAGGAACTAGAGTTGTTTTGTAGGCGGATTGAAGTGTTAAAATCCCGGTTAAATTTCAATATGAATTTCACCATGTTGTTGCAGACGGAGGACAATATTTAAGCTTTGTACATCATAACAGACCCTCTAAATGAAACTAGGAGGATGACATTTTGTGTCCGCACGGTGTAAGTATCATGAATGTAATCCCAAAAGCACGTTCTTGATCAACTTTCAACCTTCTCAAAAACAATTTGTATGATAAATTCCCTGATTTTAAATACTACTACAAACTAATATCTAATAAAACTGTAGCAATCATAAACATTTTAGTATAAATATTTAAGTTAAAAAAAAAAAGGACTCATTGTATATAAGTGCCTGTCTGTTTTACAGTAAAAATATTATCATAATATTTTATAAATATTTTTTTTTAATTTGTTGACCAAACAACTGAGTAGAATTGTTGTCCCCGGATTTGATGACGGTTATTCATAAAAAACAGCGGGTAATATCATGGACTTTTAAAACATGATAATCGACACTGCTTTGATGCTCGAATATGAGAAAATATCAATAACGGACGACAGTTTTATTATACTTTGGTCGTTTTATATAATATAACAGATAGGTAATAATTATTTTTCCACATCCACCCCCGTAAACACAAATTGAACGAATTGATTAATTTTACAATAAAAAAATAAAACAATATAAAATGATAATCCGATGCATAATTAATTATTTTTATAACGACAAATGATAATTTATTTATTGTATATTATATAAAAAAAAAAAAAAACAATGTTTTATCTATAGTTACAGCAGGTTCTAATTGAAAAATAAAACAGCTTAAACTATATTTTAGAAGGTATACAGTTCATTTATTCTAGGAGTTTCAATCGACGTCTTTAACATAGTGAAAAATTCGTCGTGGATTGGACTTAATCTTTTTTTTCATAAGCACTTCGAAGATAAAGAGATTCAGTTTTTTTGATTATATTTTTCAAAATATAGTTAGAATTAATAACAAATAAAAAATATATCTTAAGTATATTATATATACCCAAAATTAATGTATAACTGCAGTTTTCAACTTTTTTTTAATAACCGTTTAGTTGATGAATATAATTATAATAGCTATACACATTGAGCAAATAAAGTTAACATAATTGTATATGTAATTTAAAACGTACGTGTTTGAATTTATAACAATACATGCAAAATCATCGTAAGAAACCTTAAATTACAATACTAATATAATATTACGGTTTGAAGGGGAAGTGGGAGGGAGGCAAACAGAATATTGCTCGAATTGTCGTCGCGAAAGAACGACACGTACACGCGACGACCAACCGCACTGTGCATTTAACCGGATACGTGAGCGAGCGCGTGCGGTCGTGATTTCCATCACGTCGAATTATATTATTATCATTATTATTATTATTATTATTATTATCATCACCGTTGTTATCATTATTATTATTATGTAGGTAGGTACACTCTTCTTATTATTTTTTTTTTTTTGTTCCGCCATCAATAATTTAGGCCATCATCGGATTTTTACGGGTCTTATTTACACTTGAAGTAGTCCGTATACATCATCGCGTCGTCAACGATATTTTTTTACGAGATGTCAAAAGTCTTGAAACGAACGAGATAAAAATAATTAATACCCGAATTAAATACAAGAAAAATTACATAAAAAAAAAAAAAAAATAATGGAAAATTCCCACAAATAACAATTATTATAGTTATTAGACATAGTATATTACAACATTACAAAATTGATATATTTGATTTATTTTGCATATATGCAATCACGAACGTGACAATACCAAATAATACTAAATTCATTATCAACTTTCTAAAAATTTGCTCATTATGTATTTCTTAGAACAGTAATTTTGACGAGTAAAAGCAGTTTCCAAGCAGTACTTTAAAAGATCCCAAATTTTAAACATCTGGTACTTTATTTTATAAATTTTTTTACATTTCTAACAGATATTCTAGAAAATTAAATAATCCGAGAACAAATGTTAATACATCGGTTTAATATTTGTTGATATCTAGGTTACCACTTGGCTACGAGAAAAACCACCCCACCAGTTTCCGAGTTCAGTTCAGAATTGTTTTTTGGTTGCAATGATTTGTCGTTGCTTTCATATGTAAAAAAAAATTATTCTATGTCTTATATACCTCCAAACGTCCCACTTAGAACTGTAGTTCACCAATGATTCGAAGCATAATATTAGGTTTGGCTTTTTAAAATTTGTATTACTATTGATTTTTAACAGAATTTAAAAAAAAAATTAAAAACTTTTGTTTTTTAACCAAAAATTCATGTTTTAATATATCATGAACTAAAGTGTATAATAAAATAGGTTTAAAAATGTATGCATAGTTGACTAATTAAAAATAACGTTATTTAACAATTTAATGCGTGATATTTTTAGCGAATTTGATTACAGAGGTTTGAATGTTGAACGTAAAACTAATGAGATTCAGATTGGGACTCCGATTATAATGATAGTGTTTTTTTTATTCCGACAAAGGCTTTTAACTTTTAAAGCTTTTAAAGAATAATTCAACGCAAAGAGCTCAAAAGCTTTGATGATTTAAAATATAATAGCCCCCTAGGCCCTGATAAATCCTAATGGAGTATATGAGAACGACATATTAATATTATATGATTTTGTCTACGTGTAAAAACATTCTATACGACGGAGACTTACATCAAATTTTCGTGTCAAAAGCCACTCGAAACGGGTTTTATAATAACAATAATATGTAAAAGTGATTGTTGGAAAACATTGTAATATAATATTATTGTACCGTTTTCATCTCACTTTGTGACTTGTGTTTTATCCAATGTCTATTGCGTGTGTTTGGAAATATTAAATTCTGTTTAAAATATTGTTGTTTAAACCGATATCGTTACGGTGGATTGTTAAACATAATGTGCGCATATTTTAATAGCTTCGAAGTGCTCGTGTTTCCGGTGGCTGCGGAATATTATAATAATGTATAATACGGCCCTGTCTGCGGCGACGTGCGTACATATTAGGGAACAGGAAATTATTACACACTGGAAACGAAGGGAAACCGTAGAACGACTTTTGTACAATATTATAGTAGAATAATAAAAAAACCGAAATTATTATTCTATGATTTACCATCGGAGGATATATTTTCGGCGCATCTGTGAGGAAGCTTGACACTTTTACACAATTTTACCCTACCGGACGTTAGGGAAATTGTCCACGCTTTACGCTTTAACCTACCTACTAATTCCTACCTTTTTCTAGCTACGAGGACATTTATAAAAGAATATGTATAGGTAATATTGTATAAATTTTTTAAATTTTAAAAGCGACAAAAGCTATTTTTATATTTTATTATCACTGTTGACAATTTGCAAAAAAAAATAAATAAATCGTACATGTTTGCGAAATATGAATAGGAATAATAATTTTGACGAGTAAATGTTTGAAAAATCAATTTAAAAGTGTTTTAGAGGGACTAAAACCTTCCACGGCTTAAAAACAATCTTACCCCCCTAATATTCGCCAATGATAGTTATCATTATAGATGACCATAGGTAGTCGGCAGTCAATTCAAAATATTACTACGGAAAAAATTACCATGTTCCAAAATAACTAGAATGAAAGAATGGCCAAAAATATGGAGATAAAAAAAATGTTCAATTTTTTCTACTATGCGTATTTTTTTCTGGCAATTTTTTCTTGGCCATTATTACCTAGGCTCGATACTTGCGTACCTACTTCTAGTCAATACTATTTGAAAATTATAACCTTAATATACTCACGCGTCATGAAAATATGATTCCTTCTCCGGGATACCGATACCATAAGATCATAATATTTCAATTATTTTTTCTATTACTATTTTAACACTACCTACTACAATATTATTATATAGGTATGTATAGAAAAATAATTATTTTAATAACCGTTTTTCGTTTCGATGATCTTTCGAGGTGCGTGCGCACGTCACGTTTTTGTTCTTATTTTTCTTTTGAGTTTCGATTTTATTATTTTTTTTTTTTATTTATAAACCTGTGCTGCGACAATGCTATATTGAACAGCAACGACGACGATACGGTTTAAGTTGAAAATGCATGTTTGCATTGTTTGCCAATATAGAATTTGAAATACAAAAAAAAAAAAAAATACACCGAACTTAAAAGGAACAGAAGTTAGTATAAGTACCTATAAACGAATACGAAAATATCGATAACCAATAAGACGTTGTTGAAAAATATTTTCGAATGCTCCAGGGTCCTCTTCGTTTTTGGGTTTTAACAAAAAGAAAATCCGGACGTATTTCACATCATATGGATAGACCACCGCAACTGTATTAGATGAAAAATTTGCATGGGTTATTCGTAATAATTACTTTTTTATAGGTGCTGTAAGTAATGATAAAACGAAAAACGAATCTGGGCGAAGCCGTGGCAACTGCGGGTAGGGCTTATAGATCATTAGTAGTGTTTTTCCCATATAGACAAAGTTACTGAGAAATCAACGAAATAAAACCAATTTATCGGCATATTTTGTTGTAAAATACGATTATGCGAACAGTTTGGAGAATTTTTTACCAACCGGAAAACTAGTATTTTCCGAGTAAATCAAAAATTTACCAACTATATTAAAAATGATACAAACAAGTTTCTATGAAATAAAGTTTTTGATTGAAGCAAGATTTCTGTTAGAAAAGTTTGTTACAAATAATAATAAAAAAAAAAAACACATCATAGTAAAACCAATACATTACTCGCTTTGTTCAGAATCTAAAACATAGTAGTTAATACTTAATGTATAATGTGTTTTTGGTATTTACTTTATGCGAAAAAGATAAATACGTTTTAAATAGAACGATTGCGACAACGCGACATTATAGTGCATTACTTACAAAAAAAAAAAAAAAATCAAAAACTTTATTACAAAACGTAGAAACAATTCGCACACACACAAACAAAAACTGTAATCATTATCATCCGAACTTGGTGAAAATAATGCTCCCTCTCGTTCCGAATGTAATAAATTACAAATTATTGTAATATACGACTTAAAGAAATGCAAATCGAATCGACCGTTTATTTTTTTTTTCGAAATTAAAAACAAAACAAAAAAATAATAATAATGATTTACACGATACAATAAAGAAACACCAAACTAACTTGAAAATTGACTGGCGCAGACGGCGAGGCGGAATGAAAATTCGGAAGACAAAAAAGTTTTCATCCGAAATCATTTAAATAATAATGTACACTGCTGTATAATACGATTAGATAACGATATTTGTGCCAAATTTACCGTAAAAGCATAATAAACAAGGTAGTATAGTTTTGAAAGGTTTTAATAAAAACGACTATTATATTGTTCGTAAAGTTTTGTTAATTATATTATTATATTGTATAAGCGAAACTTGGAACTCCTCGGGAAGAGACGACGAGCGGTGAATGGGTGAAATGGAATAAGAACGGCTTTTGTGATCCAAAATGTTAAACAGGTATATACGATAATAAGTCGAGAGATATTATGCTAAACCATCTTGAATGGTTTCTTGTAGACTTGTCTACGTGAACGTCATTAAATGTCTAAAACAATCGACCCCGAAAATATGTATAATAAAAAAACGCTTTTGGATTAATTTTGATTAGATAATGAAAAAAAATCTTCGGTAAAAAGTTTCCCATCAAAATTTAACAGGAAATAATTTCTCTAATAAGCTATAGGAAAAAAAAAAAAAATAATAATAATAATAGATTATTTTGGATGGAAATAGAATTAAATGATTCCTTTCGTTTTTATTTTAATTTATTTAATTTAATATTTAATTCATAATTTTTATTTTAGTCCTGTACGTTTACTAAAAATGTTTGTGTTGTATGCGTACAAACAGAAAAAAAAAAAATATTTTTCAATAATATTGTTAAACTATCAAAGTTCACTAATATAAGTGTGTATCATCAAATTGAATACATCATTACATTACACTAATTTGAATTATACTGGAAATATTATTGCAAGAGGATGTTTTTTTTTTCGATTTCCCGATTTATTGATAATTGCTAGAGATGGACGATACCGATACCGATAAATTTAGAACTCGATACCCGATACTGACACTCAATTTTCGATACCTATGTTTAAAAATAAAAATGAAATACAAGTAGAATACATATAAATCATTTGTATTATAAAAAAAAAATATGTGTACAATTTAAATGCAAAAAAACATTATTATAAAATGAGAAAAATACTAATTTATTGAATCTAATCTAATCTAACGATGTACGTGTGGCATGGTTATCACGTTACAGCCTTTCATTTTAATTAACATGATTAAATATCGAAAACAATACCGAAATCACCTCGTTTTCGATATTATGTCAAAGGTATCGAAGGCATCCCATCCCCAATTAATAATCGCCTTTATTCAACTGTTCAAAACAAAAAAAAACAAAAACAAAAACGTTTTACCCATGAACTGTTTATGCTGTACCTGTACAGTACACACAGGTCGCCGGTAAAATTCTATGTAGTAACTACAGTATTAGGCAAGTTACCGGAACAGTAGGTAAGCACCTTAAGTAAGTATGTATCATTATAATTTAGTCAATACTGGATTAAACGCATTGGGAACCTTGCGAGGAGTTTGCTTTTGATAGCTTCCCTATAATGTGCACATACCTGGGTTTAATATAATATTCGCGTATATTAATCCCGTCTCATTATACTTCGCAGTGTAATCGCGCAGCGCATACCGTATACCACGTACCACATGCACGTACCGCGTACATAAGTACCTAAAACGAGGATTAAATAATAAGCTCTTAATATAAATGTCAATCGGCTTTATTGTTAATAGAATCCTAACAACAGGCCGATGTGGCTGTGTCCCTGTTTTAGAAGAGAAACTCGATGGAAGTGTGTGCATACATACATATATATAATTACGTATTATAATTTAATTTATACCTGTAGGCAATGACAAACCATTGCTAACGATTAAACGGTCCTGATCACAGTATTATTAGTCGTAATTCTCCTTTCGTTGTCAAGGTAATCCATGAAATCAACAATCAATTGCCAGGTTTTCCCATTCATAAAAAAATACCAAGAAAATCAAAAATGTGACCTACGCACCAAACTAGATCAAAAATGCTACAAGAAAGTTCTTATAATGTATTCGATCGGAGCAAATGATACTGATACGTAAATTGTTTACACGTGCACACAAAAAAACAAACGAAAAAATAGTAAAACCAATAATTTCCTCGTTTTGCTCAGAATTCAAACCGATTATACAAAATGATCGTCGATTTTCGAATTTATGATGCTTTCGAATACGTTCGACGAAAATATTCTAATATAAATGTTATTATCTACGATCGTTTTTACAAATATCGACTTGTTTCCGCCGTAGTCGCTGATAACAGTATTATTAAATTAAATTGAATTTAATCGTAGGTAGTACTTGTTTGTTTGTTTGTTGTTTTTTCATAACTTCGTTTTTTCAGTAGGTAAATATTATTTTCTCTTATCATTTCTCTATTATATTATTATAAAAAAAAAAAATTAAATATATACAAACTATACAAACAAAAATATAAACGACCTACGTGCAACGGTAACAAATAAAATATTGAGTATTATGTGTGTTCAAAAAATATAAAACAAGTGTTTATAACGTTAATATTCAAAACACGCACACACGAAACGGTTGTAAACGCTTTGTCGCTTTATTAATTAACATGGGGTTTATTTTTTTTATATTTTCTTTTAACGACGTGTTATGGACTTTGTAAACCGACGTATTGATATTATTATAAACATTATTTTAAACACGATAAACAAATTAATCGTATTTTTTAAATTCTGAGCGTTTAACGTTTAGCTACATTGGATTTACTGTAACGATGTGCGTGCTTTTTTGTTCCTACTTTCTGTTTATAAAAAACTTTTTTACAGGAAATTTCGCTCCGATCATCGATTTCAAAGGAGATTTTTACCAGTGGATTTTATCTAATCGGCGAGTTAAGGCGAGCATTTTTCGATTTTACTAAGTGTAGTTTATGCAAGAATGGGGAAAAACCGAGAATTTGTTTACCCAATAACGGGTTTGAACATTTCAAAACAAATAGGTATACTTTGGCGTTTTTTGTCTTGTTAAAATTGTTTAGTGTTTTATTTATTTTTATCGGCGTTTTAAATTCTAATTTATGATAAAACACGAATAATTGTAATTTATTTTATAGTTTCAAATAAATATAATTTTCATTTAAAATTTTACCAAAAAATGTTTTACCGAACTTTGCTCTAAAATCGGTTTTTATTTGTAATTTGATTTATTGTTACATATACAGATATAAACTAAATAATTAATTGCTCCATAGATATATTATGTAATATTATCCTGGTTTCCCAACTTCCCACCTACAACAATAGCCCACTTATATTGCGAAGTATACCTTCATCTTTTTTTTATTTTTATTTTTATTTTTATTTTTCAAAACTGTTTTTGACTCTGGTTTTTATCTTTATAGAAGTGTAATTTTGTAGAATAATGAGTTAAGTAAATTTACTGAAAGTTTTACTGAGAGTTAATTTATACAGAAATAATATTATAACATTAAAAGAAAGTTGTATTTTTACTTTTTAGTATTACAAAACTTGTAAGTTACAATTTGAAACGATGTTATGTATTGTGCATTTAAAACAAGTTTCGTTAAAAATAAAATTCAAAGATCACTGCATTTGAAGAATTATCACGAACACGTTAAAATTTTAGATACCAAGTGGAATGAAAAAACTTGTTCTCGCGAAAACTATGCTATACTATACTTTTCGGGACGGTAAAAATATTCAAAAAGTTTCATCCAACAGTGCCGTTTGCAAAGATATGAGTTGAAAAACGAATAATTGAACGTGAAAAGTTCAGAGAACAACCAAGATAACCCGACGATAACAGAATATTATGCGAGTGAATGGAATTTAATATTTTTTTAGATAAAAAAAAACGGTAAAATACATTAATTTACAATAATACTCGTAAATATAATGTTATTGCAAACGATTTATCTTAGATATCGAAGTGTTTCAAGTACCTATCGTCTAGACATAATTTCGACGGAACAATATCATGATTGATTTCATAAACCTAACAACTGTATGGACCGTGCATAGAGAGACCGAACTCCAGACCCCAGCCGCAATAAGGGCGTTAATCCTCCGGAAAATTATCCAAGATCAATCAGAGCCTAATATCGTAATATTTCGTTTTCCTTTTTGCTCATAAACATTGTGTGTGCAGGAAAATGCAAATAGCCTTCCAAAGATAAAACTCGAAATTGTCTTCGATTCGATAAAACCTAGACGTATAATACGTGCAATATACATGATATAAATACATAAATTATACATCCAAGTATATTTGTATAACGAAACGGGTGATAAATCGCGCACCTATAATAATTGTATGTACAATAGAGAAGTGTTAGAAAAAAAAACTGTTGGATCAAAAAGCATAATATGAAAAAGAAAAATGGTAGTACTTACAGTAGATCACTATTGGTTGCCAGGCAGACCGGCGCTCAGCGGTCCAATCTTCCACCTGACACCTGTACTCGCCGGTGAGATAAAAGCTCGGGCGTTCGACGCGAATGACACGGTGCAGGGAGGTTTTGTCTTTACGTGGTGTTTCATCTGTGATATCGACTGCGTGGCCGAGCAAGGCTCCCAGCGGGCCACCAGGTTCACCGGGCATCCACTGGTACACCTGCTCGTTGTCGTTGAACTTGGCCATCGGGTCCGGGTCATCGGGTATCGGGTTCCGCCGGAAGTACCACTTGATAACGAGGCCACGTTCCCTTTGCTCTTTATCGATGGCATCGTCCAAGGCCAGTTCCGGTGACGGCGTCGTCGTTCCCACAGGCGTCGCGTTGGTCGGGCGCACCTCTCCGTTCTCGCCGTCGTTCTCACCGCCTTTTAGCTTGTACGCACATTCAAATATCAACGTCGGCTGATCTTTTACGGGTTTGCTCGGATCGTACACCGGAAATATGGTGGGCACGTCAACGCGGACTATCCGAACCACGTTGGGTCCAGCTACTACTTGCGCTGTGGGGAACAAAAAAAAAATCGAAATTAAAAAAAAGCCGAACAGGATTACAATTTACTTTGCAAAATGTATTATTATTGTATAACAGATGAGATAATTGTATTTTAAATTATTATTGTAATGTTGTTTTTGTTTGCTGAATAAACGATGGTGACCCACCACTTGAGGCATTTCTTCACGGTAGTAACAAGTGGCGGGTGTATTTCCAATACCGAGGNNNACCGGGGGGGGGGGGGGGAAGGTGAGAAGTGAGGAGGTTATATATATGACATAAGGTAATTAAATTATTGCAAAACAAAAATCAATTCCGAACGGAACTCATTAAAAATACTGGTTGTCTCTTTCACTAATTTTAATTATAAAGTATTTTATTCGCCCTGTGTTTAACCTACGGAACAATCAGTCAAACTATTTGTCACCTCTTATACGACAGGTATTCAGATCCCGTCTCACAAAAAGAATGGTATTGTCAACTTTAAAGTGAATTTCTCCACCCAACAGAAACAATACCATATGCCCACTGGAATCACCCACCTAGACTTTTCACCAATAAGAATTTGGGGCCCCCGACATAAAAACAAATAAAAAAAAAAAATGTGTTCTAAATAATAACGAGTCAAATTAAACGCTTACTATAATCGTTTGAACTAGCTAATCTAATCTATAACGGAAGGACCGCAATGTGTTAATTACTTTCATTCCGTTAACTACGTGACAATTCTATTTCATTATTTTTTCTTCGGGAAAATAATTCAACGGCACTCGTTTCGTTTTCTCACTTATATTTCATTTAACATTAATACATATTAGATATCATTCAACGATTATTTGTATTTTAAGTGATACATACGAGTTACAACAACAAAAATATCACTTCTCCCCAGGTGACAAGAAACACTACGACAAAACAAAAGCGCCAACTATTATAATTCATAACGGTACGAGATTAATAACAACAAAATGACGACCCTAAATCGTGATAAACAATGCTTTTCTATTTCGGAATGTGATTCGCCCGGCGTAGCAATTCCTTTCCGCCCCTACCTTTATTTACATTTGACGTGGTTTTCCACCGCTAAAAGGTTTTAGGTTTCAGGTTTACACTTCGTTGGACGTCAATTTCTTCGGAATAGTGTCAGGTTTGAAATTCGAACGAGATTTTTATGCTTTGAAGTTGGCGTACCTGGATCTCGATATTTCGGTCGTATTATTTTTATTATCATTTGGGGAAAAGTGAGTGTATCCCTGGCTCGGTAGCCGCGTATGAAACCTACCGTAAACAACTACACAGCGGCGGCGCGGGTCGGGCGACAGCGTATTTTATTTATTATTAATGTCGCGGTGTTGTTATAATAATATTATATTACAGTATCCTCGGTACGTAAACTCGCGTTCGATCGTATTATTATTATTATAGTATAAATCGGACCTACTATATAATATCATCAGCCCGGGGAGTTTACAGAATTATATTTATAGGCTCGGGTGATTTATCGGCTGTAATACTCGCGTAATAAGAAAATAGTCGAAGTTTCTCCGTCGGGTCTCTTTATATAGAGGGTTCCGCCGAGTACACGATACCAGCGACGCACACGCCAATAACGCGTGTAATTTATTGTCATTATCTTATGGTAGACCGAGCAGACTGAAGTCTCTTATATATAAATATACACACATATATACACGATAAGAACGTATACAAAATAATTGAAAATCGTATATCACTATAGGTATGGTGAAATAAATCCGCCGAAAATATAAAAATATTAAATGGCGCGTACGGTATATACGCACCGGTCGTAATAATTTGATGCGTTCGGATGACTGACGCGGTCCGACGAAATTTAAAAAAAAATATTATTGTATCTATCGGATCACTAACCAACCACGCACTGAGATAACGAAATACAGCAACGATCAACAGCAAATCCTCCAATTTATTAAATAAATACAAATTGTATTTATTTGTAGTTTGTAGGTTCTTATGTGATTTAAACGAATCAAATACTATTTTGTATTTTCTGTACATTTTTTTTTTTTGAAATTCAAAAAATACTTCATAAAAAATTATAGTATTTTACTAAATAATCATTTCGGAAATAAAAAAATTGTAATTTTGCAACAGTTCAGTTTTTAGTCGTCAGTGATACTTGATAGATCCATGATACACAAGTTTGAGAACCTCTGATGTACAGGATTGGCATCGGATACCTCATTAGTGAACTTGTAATGTTTCCAAAAATCCAACTGGTGTAGTTCATTCATCTATTTATTTCCCTTTTCACAATCAAATTTGCTATCAATCACAATACTCCGTTGCTGGGGCTTGGCAACAGGGACAGCAAGAGAGCATCTCAGAAAAGGACGCGAAATCCAAAATGTATAATTAATAGAACTATTTATTTATTTATTATAATTATGAGACAAACTCTAACAGGAAAAAGAACGTAATTTACAATTGAATTCGTGAACACATAACCTAAAACTAAAACCTAACAGTCAGTTAGAAAAATCGACAAGTTTTGGGGATGCTATAGAAATAAAGGGTAAAAAAAGGGTCGTGATTAACGGTGCGCATAAGCCGAATAATTAGGAAGTTTTCAAGGAAATTAGCTAGAAAGAAAGATAAATGTACAATTTGAATGAAAATTAATAGATTTAAGCTATGGGAGCAGATATTTGTGTGAGACCAGAGGTGCTAAAAATTCCTATTGCGTTAAGGCTCTGGCAACATTATCAAATGCTATCAAATAAATGTAGTAGTGCTCATGAACGCAACTGGGTAAAGTTAAAAACACCCTTGCATACAAAATGAAAACGTTTGTAGACTATTCCTCTATCCCCTAGCAACCAGACAAGTTCTGTATGTCTCAGTCCGTGATACTGTAACTCACCGTTTGAGAATCTACTTTAAAAACAAATATTGAAAAATTGTAAAGAGAACTGATGCAGCGCACGTATATAATCCTAAAAGTGGCCAGGTACGTACTCACGCGAAATCTTCTGTCAAATGCAATATCATTTATTTATAAACGTGTATTTCGAATGTTATTTTACGCAATCATTTTGTCTTTTTTTTTCTACAAAATCCGTTCCGGAGGTGTTTGATCACGTAGGTATCGACCATCGTACGACGACGTGTAACGCTCTATAAGTGTGTACTCTGGTGTGTGCTCATCGTCACCTTCAAAGAAATCGTTTGACCCTTTGATGATCTACAATAATAAATAATATACCAACTGGAACATCAAAAAAAAAAAAATACCTCTCAGCCTAAAACTGTAATATATTACACGTACACGCACACGCACGTTGCACACGGCTAAATAAGTAGGGCCTTTGATATTGTAATGCGGACGCAGGAAAATATCAGATCTGTCGGGGGTCCGGGACCCGATATAAAGTGCAGTGTATATGATTTATATTATATACCGAAAGTAAATAATCCGTTGGTGTTGTGCGGTGTTGCGATATGAGAAATAAAATTAAATGCGAAAAAAAGGCCGCGGAAAAATATGAGTTTTCGTGTAGAATGTGTATTATATAACCTACACTATGGATAAGTACATAATATCGTTGGCTATGAAAAGCCAAAAATTGTATCACTATATTTTTTCTCGAAATCGTTCTATACAAACTCCATTAATAGTGTAGTATATCTGGGTGTCGACTTTTCGATTTCGCCATATTCGAGTACCAGGCCACACTATACATTAGGTATTAACTACAATAATTTCGTATTGGTTTAACTATGATGCGTTTTTTTTTTTTTTTTTTTTTTTTTTTTGTGGTTGTAAACAGCATTTATACCGGAAATCATGATCTTACCAACAACTTTATAGGAACTTAATTTTTGTATTTTTTGATCTAGTTATAGCGTGATGTTGAGGAGAAAACATTTTTTTGATTTTTCGTGTAGTTATCTTAATAATAATAATAAAAAAAAAAAACCAGCGATATTCAGTATACATTTTTATTGATCTCTGTCGATCTAACTTTATCTTTGAATCAAAACTATTGTTATTGAACCAGCAAGCCTGAATAGTCCGCCAAAATCGACGGTAAATAATGACAGTAAACTGAACGAACCGAAGAAAACGTACTACGTACACATTTCTTTGATAAAATTGCAATTGTATTTGAGAAACTTTTTTTTTTTTTTTTTTTTTTTTATGAACGTACTCGCGCATGAGAAATACATAATATCTCTATTTTCGGTATCCTTCACTCATCATAATAATATTATACCTACGCGTAATAATTCGTATTATAGTCGTAATAACGCGAAATTGGCGAACATACCGACCGCGGCAATCTAGGTACTACGACTCGAATTTCCGCCGGTAGACAATATTACAATAAGCATGCTGACCACGTTTTATAATAATATAAACGTGCCTACCATCCGTTTGTTTACACGCAACCGTCCGAAAAGCACACACACACACACGTTTTACTAGTAAACAGTGAGTTTCACCACTCGAATGGTAACGCGAAATGTTTCAGTCGGACGAATTGAAACGGGGATTTCAAAATGAGGAAAACAAGAAAAACACATGACGTTAAACCGCCAGGTTTTCAAAACGATATGCACTTTTGTCTCGATTTTTCAAAAAATGTAAAGTGTATATTAAATTACTATATTATAATATAGGTATGTCGTGTTTTAAACTGAAACTTCACGCGCTTATGAAATTGTCAATACAATAGGTTGCCGTTTGAATGTCGAATTATACAGTGGTGTTTTCGTATCCGAAACATAAGGCGGAAAAGGGCAATTCGTCATTTTAGAATATAATATTACGGTTGCAAAAAATGCAATTTTTTTTTTCTAAATAGATGGGTATTGCACGATGGCGAAAATATAACGTAACTTGAAATTCGGATGACCCTGCAGCGTACAATACATTATATTGATAACACGTATGCCTTTATAATATTATAACGGTGTACCTATGTACTCGGATCGTAAGTAGATAGGCGTATAAAGTGGTGCGCACAATAATAATATTATTGTTATTTCGATGGCGTAACGATATTATGATGGTTTCGTGGGCGGACGGTGTTTCTGTGAGCGCACCGCTAAATTCGACGCGGTGTCTGACGCGGCAGTTACGACAGATGTTGTTCGGGAACGTTAAAAAATGCAAATAACATCACACCGGCGGACGGACGGACATCGGCACCGCCGCGTTACGGTCGTTCGTTCCTATCTATACAATGTAATAATGTTGTTATGCGGGTATAATACAACCGTCACGACGGTTCGACTCTCAATTTCGAAATTGGTTTATAAAAACCGAAACAAAACAAAACCCTTAACGATGGTCCAGCAGCAGACTTCTTCCAGAGTAATTATATACTAAAACCACTCGCGGACGAGACCGGGGGCCGAGTGTATAGTATTATTATTTTTGTGTTTGTACAACGCGCGTAAAAAAAAAAAAAAAAAGTCACCGATAACCCACACGTTTTTAATCTCCCGGTATACAATGTGGTAGCCGGTGCCGCGCCGGACGCGTCACGATTTCACATTCTTACCGATAGCACGTCGTTGTCGACAAATCGCCGTGTAAAAAAAAAAAAAATGTCACCGATAACCCACACGTTTTTAATCTCCCGGTATACAATGTGGTAGCCGGTGTGAGGTCGAATAAAAATATGCGGTCCAGGGATCTACGATATTATGATTCTATAGGTCTGCGAAATATCCAATCGGTAGTTTTATAATCGTGCATATGATGTAGGCTAATATAGAGTACAATAATTATCGTTTATAGTATTTACACCGATCAAGTCAACGAGAGAGTAAAAATAATACCCGTGAGCAGTCGACTTGTTATCGTTATGATTTTTAGATCTCGAACATAGCTTGAGAACTATTACTTTTACTAAGATGTTTATTTATTTTTTTTTCTAATCTGTGGAAAGGTTTTTTCCTAGTAAACTTGCTCCAATTTTTACGTGTAGTAATTTTTCTGAACCATTCAAAGTTGAAGTAAAATTGCTGGTAGAAAAGTTATTCACAGAAAAAAAGAAGGCCGTAATATAATTTAGCTACTACCTACATTTCATATATTTTCCCATTTTTTTTCGGTTTTTCACATTTGATGAGAAAATTCTGGAGAAAATCTAAAAATGACATTTAATACCTCCCTACACTAATTTCCTTTCAGAAAAGATGCTACACGTAAAAATCCCAGCAAGTCTTCTGGGAGAAAAGTTATAAAAAAAAGTAAACATCTCTGTAAAACCATAAGCTTCTTCGCTCCACTCAAAATCTAAAAATAAACCGATACTCCCATTGTTTTAATAGGGGAATCGGGAGGAAAAGTATAAAAATATACTCGTATATTCAATTAATTAAATCTATATGCAATTATAAATCATTGTTAACAAAAAACTAACAGAGTATTAATAGTCGCATCTTTTCTCTTGTTGCCTAGATACCTTGTATCACAATGGTAATTTGGATTTTCCCATGTACCACTTAAACAATTCGGTCCCATTGGTAATTAAATATTGTCAACAGTATGATATAATATGTATTTTATTCTATGAGTATATGATTGACACATTGAATAAATAAGTTTAAAAAATAACTATTCGTCCGTAACTTTACTTATTCTTCATATTTCCAATGATGTGTGGAGGGAGTCATGAGTTGTTTTGGTACACTGTATTATGTAAAATAATTAAAATATTGTATTTGTACAGTTAAAAATGTGTTTATATAAATAAATATGTTTTGTATCATAAATAATTTACGAGTTCATAGAATTTATATTATATTATTACTTACCTACCTAAATTAAATTAAATAGTACGTTAATTCTGTAGTTAAACGCTTTATTGACGTATTGTGGATATAGATAATAATAACATGGTAAATAACGGTTTTGGCACCAAAATGTATTTATTTGATTAGAAATAACATATGCTTTACGGTATAATAAGATGATAGTAAACATACTAGAAACTGTATGTCGAGTAAATAGGAAGTGATACTATGATACCATATGGCAACATGATCGCTGAAAGGCTTAACGAATTTTAATTTAAAATGTTGATAGTAATAAATTGTAATATTCTCATCCGTGAAAATAGAAAACACTCGAAAATGTCAATTGGAGTTTTATTTTTTTTTTAAATTACATCAATAGAAAGCGTTAATATTTTAAGCGATTGAAAATAATCAATGATATATTCAATATCGTTCCATACAAGTTATTTATTATTTATTTACAAAGCAGTAATAGATGTACCTAAATACCTAAACCTTCAACGATATTGTCAGAGAGTTATAACTTTATTTTATAAAAAATGTATATTCGTTTTAAATATATTGATTCGTACCGATTGTTAGCAAAACAGATTTCGGGGCATAGAATACATGCGCCCTATCTATTCCGCGGCCGGGGGCAAAATTATGGGCGAGGTCCGCGACAGACTGTAAATCCGGCAGCTTATATGCACAGAGAGCTGCAATCATTATCATTACGAAATTTAGTTCCTTCCGGTCAGCGGCAGCATGGACACGGGAACGGGCTTCCGGCGGGTGCGTTTTATTTTATAAAAACAGACGCAACCGGACACGAGCGCTCGACGTGGTATTATTACCAGGCACCTACACGAAATTCGATACCGCGTTTTAAGGGTAAATTTACAACGCAGCGTTGTCGTCCGTGGGCGGTTTAAATAGACGGCAGTAATATAATAAAGCGTCGAGATTATGCCGGGGTTCTTTTCCGTGCGACGAGAAAATCGAAACCGACGACTACGTTTTTATACCGGATGTATGCGTATGCAACACTCGTATATACGTATAATATACAGAGTGATCAACTACATAACGTAAGACGCTTTATCTCGGAAAGTATCAATTGTTTTTTGAAAAATTCAGAAACAATAATCAGCTCCACAAAGTTACATTTCCGTGGATTTTGTCACACATAATGTTTGGAGGTCAAACAAAAATTATTATTACCGCCGGTCAATTTCGATTTTCAAATAGCAACGTATTAAAGACGTCGTGAATATAAATAGTTTAAATAGGTACATTTTGGTGTAGTCATTTTCGATTTTCTTCGACCCATTGACGAGATATTCCACTTTTGAGTTTAAAAAAGTTCCGAGATAATGAGTTTCTGTTAATAATGTTGGTAATGTTGATCACCCGGTATATATAGTCAGAGTCGTGTTCTGTGACCCCCCCCCCGGGTCCCGTACATTAAAGTATAGTGCCGATGCTCACTATCGCCGTCGACGTTATTTAATATTACGGGTTTATAAGAGGGTACGCCCTCATTCAGAAAAATCGAAAACTAATTTCGCTACGCGACTCTGGATGCGAATCGTGGGTGTTTATTTTCCTCTGAAATCCTATTAAAACTAATGGACATTTTGGTATCGATACCGGTGTGTGAGTATAGATAAATATAATACTAATATTACCTGCTCATTGGCAAAAATAGCTGGGGGGCTTGGTGTATGTAGCCCCTCCTCCCCGAAATAAATCCAAATCTCCATTTCAAATCAAGTTCTTGTGAAATGTGTCCCAAATATGAGTGTTTTTTTTTAAGAGGACGGGGAAGGGATTTGAGTCACTCCCCCTTCCTAAACAATATTGTGATTATTTGCGCTTACGTATACTATCTCCAAGTATAATAGGTAAGTATAGAAAAGTTTTTACGATGCGCACACGTCAGATTGTATGTACGACGAATTTAGTCTGCTTTAGAAATACACAGAGACTTTCGGTGAAAAATTGATTTTTTATATAGGTATGTATATTTTTTTTTTTTTCGTAACTCGGTTGATCCCGTGCGAAATTCAAAATCGATCGACTTGAGTATACAATAATATATAGGTATATAAAACTCCGCAGTCCTTTTATATTTTCTTTTTTTTTTCTTCAAACTTACCTCCGGGAATACTATATGTATATATTTATATATACACGCGAATAAACAGCGAATTACCTTAATATACATTTACTTTTTTAAGATATTATATTCTTGAAGCGACGACGACGGTAATCGATATTATATTGTACCTGTATTGTATGTACAAGGAACATCGTCGTATTTTTTTTTTTTTTCGAAATCCAATTATTTTCAGTGCGGCGTACCGCACGATTATTAATATAAATAAATTGTATAATATATTACCAGATATATAATGAAAAAAACTTTTGTCGGTAAAATATAAAAATACCTCGCGATGGTTGGCGGTGGCTCCACAGTGTGAATTACGTGGTGGCAAAGAAGATTATACTTATGTTTTTAAAATGCATCTGTAATAGCATCAGCGGTGACACCACTGACAAAAACCCCACATCCAGTCTTTACATATCATCAACAGTCTCGTGAACAAAGTGAGTGATAAAGTCATCTTAGACACCACCGGTGTTTTCACGGATTAATTAAGGGACTTAAGTAAAAAGGACCACCCGGCTGTGTCATCGGTACTGTAATATTATTAGTATACATGTATGAGTGTACGTGTGTGTGTATGTGTATGGGAATAGTGCAAAAGTAAAAAGAATTAGATACTGATAACTATAAAATCTTAGAAACTAGAATATAAGAAATCGCATAATATAAAGAGAAATAACCAGAAACATGGATTATTGCGACTTATACTTCAAGGGGAAATAGAATGGAAAAGATGTGTTGGAAGAAGGACATAACGGTTGAAAAACTTTCACGATTGGTTTGGCGCAACATTAAGATAATTATTTCGTGCATCGTTCGACAAAGAAAAACATTTATTGTGGTTTCAAACATCAAAACGAACAGAAACTACAAGAAGAGAAGATTTTATGTGTGTGCATATTATAAATAAAATATCATAATATAGACAATACGAGCAGTGTGGGGTAAGTATTACATAGATACAATCGTCTAAAAAATAATCTAGGTAATGGTATAAATACTATCTTTTATTTTGATGAGACCAAAATATCTTATTTTTATCTTCTTAACTATTTTTAGTTAATACATAGATAATAATAGATACTTAGTATTTTACCAAGACGAAAGAGATGACATAATTATGACATCTCCTCGAAAATAAATACTTTTGAATACGCTATAACCTCGGTAATTCACAAATATATCATACTATATATTAAAACATTATGTTTTGTAGGATACTATAAAAACTGATTTTTTCATATTCAACAAAAAGAAATTAGATAGACCTTTATAATACGGGGAGGTCTTTAACAATACATTTTGAATTTGAATCGCCTACCTTCTTAGTTCTTATAATAATATTCGTATTAATTGTATTAATTTTTAGTAAATTATCTATGTCTGGGTAAAAAATGTTGGTTATCTTTCCCAACACGGGTATAGTGCTGTGGTTGACTGTGATGAGCTGCGGCCAGAGAACCAGATATATAATATATACGTTATTCGTATTTAAAAAAAAAAAAAAAAAAACACTTTTTTTATGATATAACATTATTATTAGCGGCCGAAAACTACGACGTGCCGCTGGTGGTGGTCGGGTCGTACTAAAAAACAAAATATATGTATATAATATAATATAATAGTAATAATAACGATGACGCGGGAAACCGGCCGTCGCGTTGGCGGCACCGACGATGGAACGTTTAAATTTAGCAACCGCCAGTGTGTAGTATAGTGTGTCCACCAATTATTTAGAAAACCATATAGGACACTATAGTATTATTATGTACTAGCATTATAGTTGCAGGATTGAATCGAGACTTTTTTTTCTGGCTACAACTGAGTCGGTGTCTAAAATAGGAATCCAGGAAAAAAAAACAAGTAAAATAGACCGCGAGAAAAAAAAAACGTCAAACGAAAATAAGTCTAAGGAAAAAATAACCGACATCAGAAATGATTACTTGAGTAATAAAATATAATAGGTACCTATTTTCTACTATATTTTTAATTTTTTGACAAATATATTGTTTTTCTATGTTTTCTACTACGAACTTTTTTTTTTTTCGACCGCCCCAAATACAATATACTTAAAACAAATGGCGATATTTCCTACCCGGGTTTTGATTATTGGAGTAGGTATAGAAGTATACAAAATGACACACTAGAGAATTTCGCTGCATTTTCGCTGCTGCGATTGGTGACGGATTAGAGTCAATTCAGCTGATCATGTCCAAAAAATGTGACTTTAATAATAATAAAACAGCAGTTAAAACTCCTACAGATAACAATAAAACGGTTATCATATTGTTTCACACTGTCGAAATACAAGGATTACGAACATTTTGTCATTTATTCCACTATAGCTGTTTTCCCGTAGGTTCCCTACTGTATCATTCAGGGTTGCAAAGTGTTTTTAATAGATGTTGAAAAAATTTTTTTTTCCTTTTTTGTGAACACTTTTAAATCAATAAAAAAAAAAAAAACATACATATCAACTGTGACATTACACTATACTACACAGCAATTCTATCACTGCGATAGAAGCAATGCCGATTACTATAAAAAAAAAAAAAAAAAAAAACGGAATTGATTCGTCCCGAGAATTCAGGTCAAATCATCGTGTGAACAGGGTAATACAGTTGAGTATCGTAAAAGCCGATACCACGCTATCATGCGTATCGCATGATAGTCGATAGCAACTGTCAACTATCGTATAACAAGTCAACAAATCGCAGTTTATCCTTATCCCGTGGCGCATGAAAATCGTTGTTCTCGTTGCTTATTGATAATCAATATAAAATGTATTACTGGTTTTGCGATGACCCGGAGGACAGTTCGCTGAACCCGTAGCCCGTAGATTTATATGTAAAACCGGAGTATCCGCGCGAGACCCGGAGGGGTAGCAACCCTACTCGCACACCGACGCATGACGTTATATTGCGGTTTTAACGCGTCTGTAATACGCCCAGCATGTATCAGAAACGTGTTCGATTCGCCGGAACCGTTTTCGTATTATTCGCGATCCGCGTTTGACGGGCGTCGAGCGCGTCGTTAGGACGAGCTACGGCCACGTCGCGGACAGAAAATCGCGCGCGAAAAACGCGAATGGCAATGGCGTTTATGCGCGACAGAAAAATGAATTTCGATAAGGGGGTCGCGGTACGTCAGAACGTGACCGGCGGAAAACGGAAACGGGCGTTTTCGACGGGGACCGGTGACCGACGGGACCGCCCGTTTTGCCGATCGTCGAAACGATCGCGTCTCGTTTGGGCGTCCGACGCGCGTGCCGTCGTACGAGCCGCGCGGAACGCGGGTCCGCGATTGTCGCCCGCCGCGCGTTCGTTTTTCGCACCGGCTGATATTTCGTTAACGCGAACCCCGCCGCGGAGAGTGCGCGCGCGTGAGAGAGAGAGAGAGAGAAAACAAAACCGTTCTGTGCGCCGCGCGGCATGCCCGTATTTGTTCGTCGATTTTCCGCGGAAATACGGTGTCGGGCCGGCGCGCACAGCGTTATGATGCACATCGGTTTTTGTCGAATCGTTATTTTACGCGTGAACCGAGATGCGGCGGTCCGCGCTCCGTGTGAAACGTATCGCGGACGCCGACGTCGTCGTTTTTTCGACACTGTTATCGCGTCATTGTTGTTGCGCGTCAGTACTGCATCGGCGATAATCGTTGCCCCGCAGCGGGTCCCGCGTAATCGCAGGCGTGATGTGTTTTTTGTTTTTTTTTCGATACGGCGAAATTTCGTTCGAGATTTTTTTTTTTACCATTTTTGACGCTATGCACACAACAGCCTCTCGTTTCCCGCGGTTATTCCCTTGCGGAATCGTCTCGTTTTATTTTATATTACACGTTACGCGTTAAAGTTTTCCATCGCACGCGTACACGCGCGCGAACACATCCGAATCGACTTTTCTCTTTTTTTTTTTTTTTTTTGTTCGCTTTTTGTCTACACGGTTTTTCGAATGTTCAGAATAACTTTTGCGGAAAAGACGCACGGCGTGCGCAGCGCATGCGTCGAAAACGATGTCGGAAGAACGCGTACACAGTTTATTATAAACATAGATATAATTATATATATTTATATATAATACAGCGAGAGAGTCGGCCGTGGAATAGTTTTTTCATCACATCACTCTTTAAATATTAAATATCTATATATATAACAGAATCGTATTTTTTTTTCATGCGCGGTTTATAGTGTATACCTAAACTGCATGAAATTCGTAATTATTAATTTTACATTTTAACACTATTATAATATTATTACGGACGTCAATAATGAGCGAGAAGAAAAAAAAATGCACAGTGTCGAAAATGTTTACCGGCGTACGCGTGTAAATAAGAGGTCTATATTTCCGTGAAAATTCGCCCAAATCGTATTTCAAGTATAAATATATAAGTGTAGATATGCATATCATTGGCTAATCATCGAAAAACTCTGAAGTCGATTATTTTTTTTTTTTTTTAAACGACTTTTTTCCCCGCAAATGTTGTTCCAATCAAAAATTTTACTTTCTAGTATCATTTTCGATCCGATTGACGCACTGCGCGGTTCGTCGGCGGATTTTTCATCGAACACCGTAAATTCCCGGTTTTCCACGGTACAAAGTTCTACAGCCGTCGGTTTTATTGACAAAGAGATTCGTGGCACTGTTGCAATTGTTATTGGCAATTTAAAATTTAAACGAAAAAAATTCGCAATACTATTTTCGTAGTTATTAATTTTTGTCGTCGTTAATTCGAACGTTAGGCACTCGGGTTTCCACGCGTAATGTTCGGATGCACAACGACGACGCATGGAACATAAGGAATATACAGTCTGCTGTTCAAAATAATAATAATAACAATAGTTTCGGGTTGATCCGTTCGGTAGTCATTGACGCGAAGAGGCGACAAACACATGCCGTCCGAACACTTGGATTTATTGTATTGGGGATAAATGCAACAACGTTAACAACAATATCGTTGTGTTCGGAGTAATAGGCAATATTATAATGCATACGTATCGCCTTGTCGACCGAACCGACAGCGGGAACTATGCACGGACGGACGGACACGGCGGAGACGCGTATACGATGTTCTGAACTCGTGTGTTTAGAAATCGATTGCCGTTCGTTTTTTCGGAATCGGATGTTGTCGTCTCGATAAACGGCGCCGGTGCTCGAACGGGGTATAAAATATCCGCTTTCAGGTGCCCACCGTAAATCCGTTAGATCTTTTGATGATTTATCGTTGTTTTTTTTTTTTATTTTTTTATTACGGCCACGAGTAGGTACGCATATTGTTATTGTTATTTATTACACATATATTTTTTAAAAACATCAAGTTTCTCGCATCGCACGAAATCAATTTAGGCGCAACAATATAATGTAATATTTCCATTGCTAACAGAGTTTTAATATAGAAAGTGCATTATTATTTAGTATATATATATAAATAAAAAAAAAAAAAAAAAAAAAAATAATAATAAATCGCGTCTCGAATCGGTATACAAAACTAAACGAAATTGTTTACGACCATATAAAAAAGCGAGCACACTGAATCCGGTCGTTTAGCAATGAAAATATATTAAACCACGAGCGATCACCGCGTCCGTTCAGTTTTCAGTTTCCTGACTTTCCGTCCGCGTCAGTTCGGCCACCGTCGTGCCTTAACAACAAACTTAACAACAACTTGCCAAACAAGTATATTTAGACGATTTAATTTATGCAGCCAATGTCAAAATCTCGACTGACGGACAGGTCATTCGAAATGCAACTAAACTCGACTGAACAAATACTGCAGTGTGCTCACCCCTTAACAGAACGTCACACCGAATGGGTAACATAGAGAAAACATGTTTACGCAGCCTAAATATAACTCGTTTAAATCTCGTATTAAAATGTAAAAGCGCTTATTATAAAATTAAAAGAGGACAATATTCTGAGGGAACAAAAACAAGTTATTTTAAGAAAATTATTTAAAAGTGTTAATATAGTATTTATTTCCATACGTTGTAAATTCTAACCGAAGCGAGAAATGTTTTGGTTTTACTAAAATATATTTCTCATATATATTTTTTTTTCTTTTGTATCTGTAAACAACTTTTGGAGTTTTCTATCGGCAATTTTGCTCCTATTCAAAATTGTATAGAAACTGTCCAGTAGAATTTTTGATTTGATTGGTGCGTTGAGGGAGTCATTTTTTATTTCTTACATTTATCTTAATGAATAGGTAGAACTGGAAATTTTTGTAAAAATTTTGTCGATCCTGAGTTACATTAGGCGACAAGAAGAAAAATACGACTACTATATTATTCTGTTCAGAATCGTTTTTCATTGGCAATGTTTTATCGTTGCGTATAGATCAAAATAAATGACCCGTATACATCACCCCTTCCGGAGTTCCTCCTAAAACCGTGGCACACCTATCGGCAGTTTCAAACATTTTTTTTTTTTTTTTTCGACACGCAGAAATCCTAAAGCGGACAAATCGGGCCGCTGTTCCAGACACATTCGTACTCGTATAGTGCAAAATATGATTTATTTATTTCCGCGTTGATATGATTTATACGCGTCGAATAAAATGGAATTCACACGCTATAAGTATAGGATTCGTAAAAAAACAAAAAAATAACCTAAATTTCAGGGACACAGTTTGTACCATTTCACTCACTATCGTTCTATATTGAGTTTTGAGCGGTAGCTGAAAATACGCGTAAATACGTTAGATCCTAATTATAATGTAGAATATTATTGTTGACGCGACGTGTTAAAATTAAAATCGCGTATAACGATAGTTTATTAAAACTAATTAAAAATCTGTTAATTGACACGAAACAATAATTCGCGTCTCAGTTATAATTCACAATAATAATTATTTCACGAAAATTCGCAATGTTGATCCCGTCACCGTCGCCTGAACGCGATGGCCGGTTTTGTTACTTAATCAATTAAAAAATATAATTTCGAATAGTATTACAAAAAAAGAGAGAAACGTTTTTCGTAATTGTGTTGTTCGGATGGTTTTTTTCTTTTCTTTTTTTTTTTTTTATTCAATTATATATTTACCCGCTGCTGCCTTTCCCGTGAGTCGTTACATTTCGCAAATTATAACGATATTGTTTGCTACTCGTATTTCGTTGTTGAGAAAAATAACTCATGAAGGGGAATAAATATGACGCTGTTGTTGCAGAACGCCTCGAATAAATTAAAATATAACACGAGAGTAACGATGTAATATGACGATTATAAAAAAAAAAAAAAAACGAAGATCGATTTTCGGCGAGAGACATTTCTCGGGGGAGGGATAGGTATAAAATCGTTAAATAATAAACGATCGCAACGGGTCGGAGTTAAAAGTAAACATTTTCGTCGCGTAAAAATTGTTGCTGACATTGTATTGCGAACTTATATACGCACTGAGCTTCTGAGCGAACGGTGTTGTGTTTTATCCAGGCAGGTAAATATTATTAAATTTTATTCGATCCCGGAAAAACGGCAATTGATTTATCTGAGCCTTTATCCGAAATAAATAATATGAGAATAATAAATGAAAATCCACTAGAGAAATTTCACCCCCATCTCCTTCCTCCGGGATAAATATCACGGGAGTTGACACACAATCGATAACGCGCCGGTACCCGACTTCTACAGGCCGCCCCACGAAGACATTGCGATATCTCCCGAGATAGTAAAAACAATCAAATTCTGTTTTTTTTTTTTTTTATACGCGTATAACTTACATATTACTCACAGGGATAAGGACTTCGAATAATTATATTTGAATCGATTTCGTATGATTCATGAGTAATACAGAAAAACAAAACACAATTCGAGTATGTTTATCGTCTCCGGAGATATTACGGCGAGTACGTCTTCGCGGGACACCGCCCGGTCAAGTCAAAACTCAGAACTATAACCCGCGGTGTTCTATCGTTGTTCTCGCGAGAAACCGTTAATCCGTGACGTCCCGGACCCGACCGTTCACGCACATGACCGTATTATATTACGACGCGAAATTCGTTTTTGGTACGCTACACCGGACGCGGCAGGCCGGTTTCTTCAAAACCGACGTGTTGCCCGGGAGAAAAAAAAAAATTTTTTTGATAAAATCCGACCCGCGAAAAACCGTCAGCCCGGCCGCGCGCCGCGGAACGGTCGTCACGCGCGAGCATTACCGGGGCGTACGACGCAGGAACCGACCGCCACCGTTGACAATAATGTATTACGCGTGTGCGCGCGTGTCGAATTTTCGTTTAACGGTTTTTCGATCTCGCGCAGAAACGGCCGCGGACCGCGCAGCCGTTCCCCGACGGCGCAATAAAAAAAAAAAACCGCCGCGTGAACGCGCAAACAAAATATACGGTGCGCGTGTTAATCCGTCGTACCGTCGTCGCCGGCTCGGTCGGAATGAATCGATTACGCGCGACGGACGTTCGACTGTCAATACGTAAGCGCGCGCGCGCACGGCACGTCCGCGGACGTCATGTCATTGACGGGCGCGCGTGTACCGTACGCGTAGACAAGAGAAGACCGGAGAAGACGTTGGCGCGGCGAAAAGACGTTACCGGAACGATACGGGGGGGGGGGTAATAATACCGCGCGCGGGGATTCGCGGTATGCGTAACGCGCGTTATTGCGCGTAATACGCAACGGGACGGTCGCCGGTTTTCGTCGGCGTGCGCGGACGGCGTTCCGTCGACGGTCTCGCGGCCGCGCCCGGGTGAAAAGCCGCCGCGACCGACGAGTAAAGGCCGGTGTTTTCGTTTTGCGTTTTGCTTTCGCTCTTGTTCTCGGGCCCGCTGCCGGCTCCCGAAATCCCGCGGCCGACGCTCTTCCATCCCGCGCCGTCCGGGCGTTCGGTCGACTCTGGTTATTAGGCCATCTCCGTTTCACGACCGCGCACGTCGGTTCGCCTCCGGCTCCTCTCCGCACGCGCGTCCGGCACAACTCAATGGCTCTGAAGCGTGATCGCCCGTATTGATATCGTTACGAGTAACGAGTCGTCCGCTTGAACTTATTCCGTAGCCGCCTTCTTCACCCCGACTAATCTTCGTGAGAATTTTTCCTTTCGAATAGCATTCGTTTTTTTTTTTTTTTTTCCCGTCAGACTTGGAATTACACCAGTTATATTTACCATAATGCATACATATGTGCGTACGGTCATTCCGTATGTTTGTTGCGTTCGTAATAAATTACTAGTCATTTTTTTTTTTTTTTTTTCATATATTGTAAAATAAACTATTTTTAGGATTATTCGTTTGAGTATTACGCGTCAAGAGTGTAATATTATGTCTGGATTTCTAGTGCATTTCTCGTTTGGTTTAGTTGTAATAGAAGCTTCCGGCAGCCAGACGGGGAAAAATTTGCCACGGCTATGTACGCTATACAATTGAAGCAACACTATTGGGGTAAGGTATTAAGGAATCCCGAAAAGTTAACATAATATTTTACTTTGAAAACAAATTTTAGAAGTGGTTATAGTTAAATTATAGTTGATTAACGCTTTAGGTATTATGGAATTCGAAAACGCCGCGCTGAGAACGTAATACCCTCGAGGTCCAGGCCGAAACTTCAAAGTGTACGTGTTCGTAACGTACAGAGGTACGGAAAAAATAAACATTCGATATTATACGGATCGTGAAACATGTAATACGGAAAATGTGTATCCGACCGTAAAAATCGCAACTATATTTTTAATAATATCCAAATGGAATACGATTTTATTGGAATTTACGCGTGGGTCGTGAATGGAAACACGGGATTCGACATAAAGAGTTTTTATTTTTAATATTAAAAATAGTTTTAGCTTTATAGAGTTGGGTTTTTTTTTTTTTTTTTTACATATTATTCTTATCTTTTAGGAAACGATCACAGATAACAATACGGATTATACAAATGCGAAACATCCGTACCGGCCTCATTTAGCACACAAACAAATTGACGGGTTAATTAATTAGGTGCATTTTTCGATATTTTTTAAAACCAACTCAACCGCGAACGTAAGCCAAAACCGCGTACTTTCGTGTCACTTAACTACATAAATATTATTAGTGTACATTATGCCAAGTGAACACGCGGCAACGAAAATTCGGTGTCTGCAACGATACAGTGCCGTAGCCAGGGCAGAGAACCGGAGGCGCGTCCCCCTCCACCGAATTCTTTCTATATTTTGGTGTTTTTTTTTTTCTGTCCGTCTGCAAATGACTTTTCCGCCAGAAGTCTCGCTCCGGCCGTAGACCTTTGTGGGGCTGATCTCTCACGGGAAACCGCGGCGTATTCCGAGCGTACCGTTTTCCAAAGTATGCGAACAAAACTTTGCACGCCCGTAGAAACGTCCGACAACTCGAGACGTGTTGAAACGCGGACGACAATAGTCGTTATTCATTTGGCCGTGGTCCAAACTACAGTGTACCACGGTGTTCGCGATGTTCAAGTCGATCGGAACGCAATCGCGGCGGTGTTTTATGGTTCGACACACGCGCGTCGTCCCGACGGTCCTGACCATCGGCGCGACCGTCTCGGGTGCGGGCGTGGGCGAGTGCGGGAGGGTGGGTACAGCCGGGCCAAGCATAACGCGGCGGAGACGGTCGCACCTGGTCCGTCCGCCGCGCCGGAAACGCCCGCGCGAGACGGATGCGGTCTCTCGGACGCGGCGTCCGTTCGAGGGAATTCCCGTGCGCCGCGATAGGGCACGGCGACGCCGGACCGCGACCGTATCATCGCCCGATGGCGCGTTGTTGTTCGTTCGGCGCGCGCGCGATAATTGCAATTATTGTCGCGACGCCGCCCGCGAACGGGTCCGCAAGGGGCCGACGATGCGGCCGCCCTCCGCTTGGCCATCCCCGCCGCGGCGGACGTGCGGCGCGCCACCGGCAGAACGCTGCGACCGAATGTTCCCCTGTCGACAACGGCACGACGCTTTTTGCACAACAACAACAACAACAACAACAACGGCATGAATAGTAACTCGCGACGACCGTCAGTACCGTCGGACGCCCGGGACAGTCGCGTGATAAACACGAGCGTAATGCAATATCGCAGGGCTGTAATAATAACGCGCGTTGCGGACCGGCGCCATTGTTTTCGCAATAACAACCGTATTGTTTCCGATCGAAATGAATATCCGTAATTTTTTCTCGGGCTCCGGACGCAGCGAGGAATCCATATTGGTTCCACTACATTGATTTGGGTTTTTAATTTTTTTTTTTTTTTTTTCGTCTGGAAACAACTATTCTGTCGGGAATCTGGCTTCAATCGAAAACTTTATTGGAACTCTTTCTTGTAACATTATCGATCTGGTAGATGCGTCGAGGCGGTCATCTTTTGATTTTCCTCGTAGTCTACTTAATAAATGGGAAAACTGACCATTTCTCGGTTGCCTTGGCAACAAGGGAAAAAATACGTCAACAATGCTCTGTTATGAACATCAATTTTTCGGCCGCGTACCGATATAAATTATTTTAATCTTAGTGTAAAACGAACAGCTATAACACACTCAGAATTCAAAACTATGATAGTTATTATTGATAACTGTAATAGCTGTGCAGCGATTTTCCTTGGGACTGTCTATTTCAGCGAGAGTGGTATAGGCGAACATTTTCAAAAAGTTTATTTGATACTCTATAACATGCATTTAAACCTACAATAAATTTAAACACTATTCGATACTCAATTGTGTATAAAATTGTAATTTGATGTATAATTGCTTTCCTTCGTTCGGATTCTCATCGACAATATACGAAAACTATTAGAGTGAATGCATATTTTTGTTTTTTTTTTTTTTTTTCTAACTAATTTCTAGTATTTCTACTAGGGTACTTTGTTTTACAAGTTTTACCCTCTGAAACACATTTGGATATGTGAATATGTAATATACATATTTCACTAACAGTTCAACCGGGAACCGACGACAATAATGTATAATATTATTACGATATTATCATTATGTATGCAAGTGGCGTTTTACGGTAGTACTCTTCTTTACCGCGGGCTGCTTTTCGAAGTTAGTTTTAGTTTAAACTTTTGAAGTAGACGCAGAGTTGCAGAGTTTCTGTAATAATATTCACTATATACACAAAATATATATTCGTCTAAAAATCAATAAACCCATAATTGTTGCACTCTCAATTTACTTGTAACTGTATAAGACTGATATGCCATAAAAACTATCGAAAAATGTTCTAAATAAATACTTCCTAATCGAAAATTCCCTAAAAAATATGAAACAATATCCATACAAATGTTTCACAATTTCCTCTAAAAGCGAAAAACTGCAAAAAATACAAAATAAAAGTTCCAATTTTGTAGTTGCAGTTATTTGTTTGAACCCGGGTAACACATCATAGTCGTTGATATAGAAAACGATTAAGACGTTACAAAAATCGAAAACCCAAGGAAATCGACAATCTACAGGATTGATTAAATATTATTTAAAACATGTAAAAACAAATTTTCAACAAAACAAAATTTCTCGATGTAATTTATTGAATTACCTAAATTTAAAGCGTTGGTTTGTATAGTGTATGATAATATGCAATTAAAAACTGCAAAAAACAGTATCAAAAGTTGATACAGTAATGTAGTTTATATACTGAGTACAACGATTATACATTGCGAATTAAATGATTTTAAATATAGTGTTTTTCCCTTGTTGCCAAAGTAACTAAAAATTCAACAAAAATTAATAAAAAACATAAAAAAGGATCTAAATTGCTGAAAAAGTCACGAAATATCCCAAATAAAGTAACATTAGACAAAAAAGCGACATCTTTTGAGGTATTGACGTAAATTTATTGGCGTAAATAAATAAGAAAAAATGCATAACATATTTAAAAATGGAAAAAAATGAAAAATAAAAGTTTCACTTTAAAAGTAACCGTTAGATAGGGTTGCCTGTAAAATAAGGTTCCCGAGTTTGCGTATGCAATTTTCGTATAAATTAAATTATGTACTTGAAAAGCATTGTTTTAGATTACCTCTGTCTAAAAAAAAAAAAAAAAAAAAATAAAAAAATGGCAGTCAGTAATAATGACCGTACGCCGAAACTACCGGGAAAAAAAACAAATAGCTTGGCGGAACAATTTGACATTTTCGATTTAGCCATTTTTACGTACAATTGTTTACATTTATCAAAACCATCATTAATCATATCCGAATCGCAGTAGACAGTAACTAAAAATATAATTTTAATACGATTAGATGAATGCGCTAGTAAATTTTTTATTCGCCAAATGTTTCTCTGGCCATTTTGATGTACGGCCGTTGTTAATTAGACTGCGAAAACAATGCACTCTGCATCGATATCCAGACACTACAAAAGTGGGGTACATTGAAAGGAATACAATCACAACTAGAAGTCGGTTCCGATTTATGGTATACGAGTGGATCATATTATTGTATTATAATAATTAATCTCGGACGACGGTGTAAACGTGCCCGCGATATCCGTCCAGATTTATAGTCTCTATTCCGCGTTGTGAATTATTATTATTGCCAATACGAGCCTAATTTGACGGGGTCTCATCGGCACACGACGAAATTGTATAAATTTCACAGAGTTACGCCGCGCAGACGTAAAACACTACTAACGCCATAATATTCGACTAAAAAATCGTATATTCCGTATTATAGCGTAGACTACAGAGGGTGACCGTCTGGTTTATTTTAAGATTTCGAATAACGGATAGGCGGTCGTGGTTAATTATAAATGATATTTTTCATTCGTGGCGCGATTTTCCGTGTACGATATTAGCGTACGGCGCGGTTTGTACGCAATATTGTACGGACGCGGAGAAAAAAATAACAATCGTTGTAAATATGTTTCCGACGATGAGTTTTAATCGCGCAGTAGTTGGCCATCACGGTACTGTGGGCATTATACAACGAAATATGGCGTACAACAATAAAATACAGGGTGTCTATAACCGCGTGTCCGGCAAGTGAATATATTTTCTTCAAACACGCAATACGAAAAGCATAGTTTTAACGAGAACCGTCGGAAACCTTTAACTCGAGATAAAATAAAAACCTATTTTTAAATTTGTCGAAAACTCGCAAAATGTGTAGTCGTGCAGCAGATTTTTTTTCTTTTTAATGTAAAACGTTCCGAATAAAGTACCGCCGGAAGCAGTATTATTATTAATATTGAAAGAAAATGAAATCCTGGGGAGCGTGGTATATCCCTTCATTCCCCTTTGTTTGATCGCCTCTAGCCGCTTGTTTATATTCTCATGTTAACTGATATATTTGTTTCCGGAGGTAGTAAAAACTAATATCATAATATTATGAACTTTAATATATTAATCTCTTATCGCTACGCTCCTGGGATCTGAAAATATTGTTTAATAAAAAGTGTGCAACTAGGACCATACAGATATATAAAATGACAAGATAGCCGACTATTATAAGTAAATCTGATGTTCGACGACCTTACACCGAAAAGGCGAATTGTATTTATTTGTCCACGAATCAATAATTGAAGTGTACGCCGTGAAAAACATTTAAATTAATCACAAATAATTTTTATATTGTCGTGATATAGAACAATTCACGGGTTAATTAGTTCAATTTCGCCCCTTAGTAGCCATTAACAGTATATTATGACTGCTGACTTTATACTATGTCTTATGGGACTCAAATATGATGTGTAACTGGCTACATCGACTATCTTAGTTTTATAAATCTATATGACTGGGACTAAGGATGTAAGTTTGACAGTTTTTAATTTTGTTTTGCTGAAATAGTCTGAAAAATGAAAATTGTTTTTTTTTTTTTATTTATTTATTTATAATTGTGTGATGTACTGGTATTGCAATGGTCGGTATTACTGACAATGTGCCACAGATGATAAAACTGTTGCTCGTCAATTTTACTTGTTTAGTAATTATTGTGTCTCTTCGTAGTAAACTCTATGGTTTGTTTTTTTTTTTTTATTTGAATTTTATCTCAAACGATTAAAGGATAATAGGAGCCACTACAATGGTACGCAAATATTGTAATAGTTACTTATGTAATAACGTTGGAAAATGTTTGAACATTCATAAAAAAGTGAAAATGAAAATGCTTTTATAATACATTATGATAAAAGTATTTTCATTTTTTGTACTGTAGTATAACTTTATTGAAACGAATATAAAATACATATTTCAATTACTGTAAAAGCCGTATTTCGCAACATGAGCAGGCCACACGTTTTTTGTTAATTTACATCGATATAAAACCGGGACACATACATAAAAAGCGGTGGCTCGTGAGCCTTGTAAGTGGCGAGACAAGGGGTGTAGAGGTGTAATAATATATACGGAGAAACGAATATAAAAACCATCGGAAACAGAAAACGAAGTAATTTTATCGTTGTTCAACAGTTATTTTGTTCAGTATAGACTTCAGTTAACAATAATTATTTTGAATTTAAAAATATTCAATGCGGGTAATAGTTTTCAATACCTATACTATAATTCAAACGAAATTCGTTTAAAAATATTCAAAGACGGTATTTACCAACATTGAAATAAAAACGTTGGTACGTGTATTTTTACAGGCTGTAACGGGTTATAAATAAGCTATAAATTGTCAAAAAAGCAAAAGCCGTAATGGGTTTTTTAAAGTCACCATTCTAACGGTTCTGAACCTATTGAATAACATTTGTTCACACTGACAAATGATTAACGCAAAGCATTTTTTCTTTTCTAATATGTATACAACACGTACAAATATATTTAAAGGCAATTACTTTATAACAATTGTTTTTCTGTTAGTGTAAAAAAATTATTATGTACACGTTAGGAACAATAGATGGGGAACCTTTTGAACCCCTATTGTACTTTTAAATATTTTTATGGCGTTTTCGAGCGCTTTTCTGTGAATTTTGAGCACATATTATGAAGCCGTTGCCGGGCCTATAAGCTAAGGAAACCGTAGACGAGGCGCTGTCGCATCTGACGAACCGCCACCGCGCGACACCCTGTATAACGTATGCGTACGGTATAGGCGAAATAATGCATTACGAAAATGGAACGATCGGAAAGGGACCCGGAGAGACGGATGTTCGTGAAAAATATTACATTTCGACTATTATTGTCTGCGCGCGTACGCTGTCGGCCGGCGTTGGCGACACGGTTACCGGCGGCCCGGGCAGATAAGAGGGGCCGGCCACGTATCGCGCGCGCGTTACGGGTTGTTGGAGACGGCGTTCCGCGCCGGCTGCGGGACGTCGTCATCAAACCGCGAAAATATAATAACAACAACACCGGGCCGACGCATAGTACACATCGTACGCGTACATTCGTTGTGTGCGCGTATATTGCGCGTATAGAGAGAGGTAAAAAAAAAAAAAAAAAAACGAACGAACGAACGTACGTACGTACGTACGTTATTATACCTGCGTCGTATAATAGGCGGGCGGCAGTACAGTACCTCCTGGGTATACAGAATATCGTTATACCTATAGCGCTGCAGCGTGACACGGTCCCGTAAGTCGGAAATCAGACTGCGTCGCCGTCGGTCGCGGTCCGCCGGGTCGGCCCGGAGAGGTCGAAAATTGTGCGGTCTCCGCGGCGCGGCGGCGATGATGTCCCCGCCGCCGCCGCGTCGTTTCCCCTCGACGAAGCCTTATCGTCGTCATATCGTACGTTGTCGCGTACGGCGAGTGGCCGGAGGGTAGGGGACGGGACGAGAGTTAGGTCGCGGTCATTAGATTACACGTGGACGGACCCGAAAGTTTCGGCCTTTTCTCCGCCGTTCCCCCGCCCATCCCCGGGGACCGAATTCGGCGATCCCGTAAAAGCCGACGCCCGTATCGCGTGGATACCATACGAAAAGCTCTCGCGTCGTCCGTACACATAATTATTTATACCGTCTAAAATTATGTTCGAAAGTCCGGCGGCGGCGGCGAATTTCGCGTCTTACCTTATAACATAATATCCGCGAATATATTATTACAACGCGCAGTCGGCCGTGAAACAGAAGAGCTGAGCGCGTTAATTCGGTTATATTTAGTTCGCTCGCGCCGCCGCCGCGTGTAACATATAGGGGGTCTGCCAACGCGGATCCGGCGTCCGCGTTTAAGACGCCGCGGACTTTAAACGAACGACAAAACGGGAGACGGATAATTCGATTTTCCCCCGACGTACACGCGGCACGTCTCGCGTGCGGCGGGGCCCCGGACCCGGCGATCGAATTATAAACCCTGCGGCCGTCTGCGAGCGCACGTCCGAAACGGCGATTTCATCGGCGAAAAAAAAATTGCGTTCCATACGCGTGGAAACGAACGTGATCACGAACGCGATTTTATACGGAACGGCGAACGCGGATTCGTCGGTTTTACGTCGAACGCGAACGATAGAACTCCATAAGGACAAAATGTAATTTACGTACGCGTATGTAACGTGATACGCGTGATACACATTTCGCTCCGAATTTCGACGAATGCGAATTCGGTACGCGGTCGTTACGAAAACGAGGAGGTGACAACACATGGAAATCCGTTACTTTTTCAAACGCGGTAACGCATTTCTCTGCAAAAGTTATTTTCCAAACACCGAGTTCTACGCTACGCTCGCGGCCGTTTTATTCGTTCACTAAAACAAAAAAAAAAAAAACAAAAATCGTGTCGGCGGAACTATTTTAAGCGACTAACGCGTCCGACGGCCAATTATTACAATGTGTCGCTGTACGTTACATTTTAACGAACTCCGCGAAACAAACGTGTTGAGAATCTGGACAATTATATTTAGACGTCTAATGGCCGGTGCGAAAATGTCGGAAGATTTTTACGAACAAGAAAAAACGGTCACCGTAAGGAAGGCAAAATCGTTTGTAAAACCAATATGGTTCTTACACACTCCGTTTAGAATCTACATAACATTAACCGCCCATATATTATTACGTTTGTAAAGTTTCTACTTTATCTGACAATAGATTATTTTTCTATAATTCATTGTCCGTGGTATCCATCGAGAGGCAATCGGATTACCTACCGGACGTATACTGGAGGTTTCGAAGAACATCTAAATACACCGGATTTCTAATCTGCTAGTCTAATGAAGTACACGCACGGACAGTCGAACCGAACAATCGAACAAACCGTCGGCCGACCGTCCGATCTATACGTGTGTTTAAAATTACTTCACGATTCAATACACCGTTACGCGTCATAAGTGAAGGATGAGCGGGTGGGAGGGAGGAGCTAAGAAGGCTATACTTCTCGAAATCTCTTCTAAAACCCTCTGAACATTTCTTACGGCTTCCCCGAAAACGAGCACGCAATAAACGGTTATCCGGTTACCCTTTTTTTTTTTTTTCGCGAAAAGTGCCCACACGGCAAAAAAATATTTCCATAATCTGAACGAAATATTTTTGGGAAAATTTTATAGTTGTCAAAATATTTTCGATTGTTGTTAAACAATGGTGTAAACGTTATCGAAATATTTTCCGCCCAAATAGTTCGTGTTTGGAAAACATTTTTAGAATAACATTCAACGAACAATTTAAACCCATATATTTCTAAAACTTTTAATTTTCATATTTTCTTGGATACGTTGTACGAATATTTAGAAAACGTTTTTGTAAAATATCATATAACAGAATATTTCGTTACACAATATTTACACAATATCATTAGCAAAATATTTATTATTTAACCCAATTCGAAATATGTATAAACCGTTATCGTTTCCCGAACGCCGTGTGGGTGCACGGGCGCGGTTTAGCCCCGTTGGCCCCCCCCCCAACCCCCGCCCCATTCTGCGCCTGTGTTCCGCGTGCACGTCGAATACGCGAACCTCGCGTACTCGCGCGTTATTTTTAATACGCGACTAAAATATCGTAGTGTACAGGTCGAGACTTTGCCGATGTTGAAACTTTAAAACTATTGTTCTAACAAATATAATAATAACCGGTATAAACTCGAACGAAAATATTAAATTAAATAGCGGCGGCGCCGAGTTCGTTATCGTAACGTATAGCGCGTATTAGTTTGTTAAAGTTGCCGAATATTCCGCTAAGTAACAATAACATCGCAATGTACACTGCAAAGTATAGGTATTATTATTATTATTATTATAATATCGCTGTAAATGCAGTACACCGGCACGTATTATCAGACGTTAATATTGTTATTGTTACAAACACCGCGCGTAAGTCGGCGGCCGCCGCGGGATATTCAAGAGCGCGCGTACACGTTATTATTATACACGACCTCCGGCCACGCGTTTCGTACGCGTGTACCGAGCACCGTTCAAAAAACGGGCGCCTGCATTGTATTATCGTCATTATTATTATCATTATTATCATTATTATCATTATTATCATTATTATCATTATTGTATATTTTATACGGAATAATAGTTCACAAACAATTATCAGTATTAACTCTCGCCGGTTTGGCCAGGTGAAAACGGCGGCGCGAGCGGTACCCTTCCGAAACACCCACATAAATTATCCCTTTATTGTTCGCTTCTCGGCACGTCTTCGCCGCGGTATACGCGTGTATCGCCGTGTACGGGTTAGCCGTGTATGCGTATAACGCCGGTAATTAGAATATTATTATTAACGCGCGTCGGAACCGATAACGCCGCCCGCGCTCGAACGGTACACAATATTTTATGCCGCGGGGGAGGTGGCGGCGGTGGTGGTGGTGGTGGTGGCGGTGGGGGGGCGACGCGGGCCGAAATATTAATTGAAAATCTCACCCCCCCCCATCCCCCCACCGGACACCGAGCGCGGCGCGCGCCCCGGGTAGAGTGGCCCGCCCGGTGCGATAACGCGGTCCGATCGACCCCCACCCCGTCCCGCCCCGGCCCGCCGGCGTTGCCCCGCGGACGACCGTTTCTCACTGACGCGCGGCGACGCGATTTGCGCGCGAATTGACGTGGTGCGTAACAACGGATAAGAGGCGGCCTCTCTTATCCGTAGGCATGCGGTCCCGAACTCGGCTGCCGGCCCGATCCGCCGCAGAGGAAACGATCGTCGGTCGGCATCGCTTTATCGGGCAATGCATCGCCGTTTCGCGGACGGAACAGCGTTTGACCGGATGTGTGTGTGCGTGTGTGTGTGTGTGATGAGCAATGTACGCGCCGAAAGCGAAACTTATTTAAAAAAATAATAAAAAAAAATACATATATATATATATGTGTGTGTGTGTCGTGTCAAAATTCGTTGTGTCTAATGCGCTGACGTGCTTCGAAATTCCAATTCCAATTACTCGACACCGCGTATAATACAATGGAAATACGGTTACTGTGTGCCCCGAGAATACTTTTTATAAAACGTTTAGGAGCTGTCTCGATTTGTACACTCATGACCCACCGATTTTGAGTAACGTATAGCGCCGACCGATTGTAGCGACTTAGGGGACGACTAGATAAACTGTGCGTCTAGTCAATACCGTCTCCAACCATTACTCTACCTAATTAAAATTAATTTTAAAATGTTTTATCGTTTCTATCTGTTTTTTTTTTTTTTTTTTTCTATAATTAATAAACCGATAAGAACCGGTGGCCACTCTATTCTCGTGTAGGCTTTCTAGGCATGAAGTATTATCGCGGTACATTCAACGCCGTTTTTAATTAGATTAAACGTATTTTTAAATATAATCAATTAACGACGGAATTTTCGACTTCCGGTCTTCGCGATACTCTACCTAGGAGTTTTCGTCGCCAAGCTGTCTAGCGGCGTGTGCCTGGCAAAAATTCAGACGGGGAAATTTTGTCAGGCAATGTTTTATTGTTTATTCCGCGTGATACCATTATAGAATAATTATTGCCGTAAACGGGGTCCGGAATAGCAGAAATGAATTTTCAGCCGACATGGAGCCCGCGTTTTTTTCAGTCACGGTTTGCGGAATATCTGCGGAATACGTGCAACACGGCGGTATTTCTCGCCGTTAATTTGATCTCTTCCGATAGGCAGGTGTCTATAATATTTATTATACGGTAAAATAGGCATTCTTCGCGCGACGTTATTTCAATAAACGCGCGATTTTATTGAAATATTCCGTTCTCGTTTTAACCGACTCTGCCGCAGCGAATTCTTCTGTCTACGCTATATTATTATAGCGATATTCGATAATGATAATAATAATAATAATAATAATAAATAACACAACGACGTGGCATTCTCGCTGAACATAATAAAGGTACCCGAGGTATATTATGCACAGCACAAGATAACGTTTAACAATTACGAGAGTTAAACAATATCTTTCATCCCCGTACCCTGCAATATTATTATTTATGATTATATTGCGCCACCAACGCCAGTGTCGGAAAATAATACGTATACTTATATACACTGTAAGTTTTTCGGGGAGAGTATATACTTACTCTCGTATAATAACTTGGAAAATGATTTATTTTAACTCTAAATATGTGAGACGCCTACTTACAGAGTGATCAGTATAACGTAAAAACATACCGTTACACCTCGGAAACTATTGATTTTTTTTTTGATTTTATTCTTTAATTTTGAGAGACAATCGGCTCTGGAATATTACATTACCGTTTTTCTCGTCACCCTTGTGTTTGGCGGCGAAAACATTATCCGCTTTTGATTTTCAAATGGCAACGACCCACGTTAAAAATGTAATAAATGTACGAGGTTTTTCGACTTGCATTTTTAATTCCCGTCGATTTTATATTGGATATTCCCTTTGTAAGTCCCCTATGCGTTAGCTGCGTGGCTGGCTGAAGAAAATATCATACATAAATAATGTTTGAAAAACGCAAGGGTTTCAACATATTAATGCAATTTCGAACTCTAAACGTGGTAAAGTTTCGCGCTCCCTCCGCGGCGATGGCGTGGGCCCTCGTGAGCTATCGACCGACGACGACGGGACTTGGTCTAAAAATAGACGAGCGTACACGAATGAGCTCGCGGACACGAAAGCGTAGACAAAAGGAAAATAATAATACGATTTAGTAGTTATATAAGACGTTATTATTATCGTCGTCATCTGCAGGCCCCGGCAGTGACGGCGAAGGCGAAGTCTGCGGCGCGTGACAAATTCAATACAAGCCGCCCAGACGACACAGTGTTGCCTGCGCAGTACGGAATATTATACTGGGAACGGTTAAATAATATTCTTGAAATAACGACCGTTCTCACATAATCACATACAATCGGTTACCCCCAGGTCCGTATAACAAATTCTGCTGAGTTTGGCAAACGGTCGAAATTATACCGATTCTTGTGCTCTACCGTATCGTTACTGTTATCGCATCTACTGCGTTAGCGATACAGCGGGCGGGGGGTAATGTACCGGTGAAAAAAAAAAAAAAAAAAAAAAAAAAAAAAACAGTGGTCCTTAGGGTTAAAATGTATACGCGGCTTTTGGAATACGGTCCGGCTTTTTGCACCGGCGGAGTTAAGTTGTGTCGTTCGATAATTTGTTTTTAAATTTTAAAACGACGTGACGACGACAATAACGACGGTTTACGTTGGTTTTATTTTTGTTTGTTTCCGGCTTACCTCGGCTATATTCATGTAGGATAGAAAAAAACACGATGAACATAACCAAACTGGTTTACCGAACTCCGTTCAGTATCGTTTTTTAATTGCAATGACGTATCGTCACTTTCAGTAATTAAATTACCATCAATATCCTACACACCTGTCTATAATTTTCCGCCTACAACAGTGGCTTCGGTCATGACACGATCTATGGCCGGCTTTTTATTTTACTGTTACGATGTATTGTATTTACACGAGTATTTTTATTTCTCGTATACGTTTCAATTACATACATTGGTCAACCAGTATTTCTCTCCGAGATATCGCGAACAGTTACTTTTTTTTTGTTTACTCGTTTGGAACTCGTATGCATCGTATAATATTTTAATCGTATCAGTGGATGATTGTGTATCGCAATTACGGATTCGAAACTCGTTGTAATGTATATATATATATATGAAAAATAATAGAAACGTGAGACAATATTACAATGATAATAATATTGCCTATTTCTTTTCTAAACAGTAAGACGGACGTATAATCAGTATTTGCTCGTGTCTATAACGTTTCACCTATACTCTCGTTTAAAATTTTAAAATGTTGTTCGACCGTTTTGGAATTCTATGTTAAGTTATTTTTTTGAATTATTATACCGACAAAAACTACAAAAGGGTATTTTTTTTTTTTTACGTTAGAATTATTTTTTCCGGTAATTTTTTTTTTAAGTTCCCGCTAAAAAACAACAGATATCTTAGAAATTTATTTTTTTTTTTTTTTTTTTAACAAAACTTTACGATATTTTGATATCTGCAGATAAGATCCACCAAATATACTGCGTAGAATGCGTATACAAAAACAAAATTCAAACAATTGCCGGCATCCGTTGGAAGTATGCCGTCTTCGCCGAATATTCTTTTACTTTTTCCCTTCTATTCCGCATCTTCTTCGAATGATGAATGATGCACTGCGTCGAACGTAATATATAATATTAGATATGAAGAAAATAATTTTTGTTGGCTTTCACGGTTCGTTATAATATTATTATGGATTCTTAAACATAAATTATGCTTAGGTATAGAGATCCCGTACACTGCGTAGTCGCATAAATCACATGAATGCTCGAATAGATAATATAGTTTATGAAAAAAAAAAAAAAGAAAAATGATGAAAAATAAACTAGTCAATGGCGTGAATGAAACGAGATCAGTGTGAAATTGAATGACAAAACAACTAGACATACCGAACACTATACACGGAAGGATGTGTCGATTATAATCTAAAGATATTATAATACATACGATTATAGCTGGCGACGGCGGAGCGATGTGCAACAATGAAAATATATAGAAAAAAAACGGGATGCAAATAATTTAATATGATCTAGTGCAATGTTGATTGAATAGAATATTATTATTAACATACAGAGGACAAATTAATAATGATATACACGTTTTCGTTGGTGCAGAGATTCTTAATTGAAATATTTAATCTATACGTGAGAGGATACTGCAAATTGAAATAAACCGAATATAAGAAGAGAGTCCAGACGTTAATTGACTTGTATTAACCCAAGGCCAAAAAAAAGTTGATACTGCTGATAGGTGCGTCACTGTTTTAGGAGGGGAGTTGGGAAAAAAACGGTTCTGAGCTGAGTATTATTAGTCATACTTTTTTTGGTGTTGCTCAGAAATCAAAAAAATATATACAAAAAATTGCCCGTTTTTCCCATTTAGTGAGAAAACTACTAAGAATACCAAAAAAATGGCATCTTTGACGCACCAATTAGATAAAAAAAACTACAAGAAAATCCCTATAAAATTATTGGTTGGAGCAAGACGACTGGTAAAAAAAAAAATTGTTTATAAACACATTATACGAGCAAAATCAATACAGCTCTCGCTTTGTTCAAAATCTAAAAAGTGGTGAGTATTTCTTTATAATGAACAAACGATAATTTTACCTTATATACATAATTGCATAATGATTTCACATGTGTCGCGTTGATGTTGGAAAACATGAAAAGTGAAATAATATTATATAGTGAATGCCGTATATATCCAATGGTGATATCTAATTTGTTTTTTTCGTTTTGTAGACGGTATGGTTGTTTTTTAACAAAAACGACAGTTTTCAATATTTGAAAATGATTTTGATACAAATAAATAAATTACCTTGGACCGTTAAAATTAACTTATTATAGTGAACGTTGGAAATTATATTTATAGTATAATTTTAACTATTATAATAGTTCATGTGAAAGTGTAGACGCTATGAGAAATTTCTTATCAAGACTGAGGTTATGAGGTTCTTCGTAAGACAAAAAAAAGTTAAATAGTTTGTCAAAGTCCGGTAATAAATTTTAATACCTATATAATAATATAGAAATGTAGAAATTTACACTTGAAAATTCGCAATTTTTGTTTGTTGTTTTTAGTTAAATTTTTGTGTTTGGCTCGCATAATAGCCGTCTTCCAGTTCCACAATTAGCCGTACTATATGTTTCATACGATATAAATGCATACCGCATAGGTACTTAAACAAATTTTACGATAAAATAATAATAATAATCGGTGTATCAATATCAAATAATAATAAATTGTAACGCGAAATGAAGATTACAATTTATCGGACACCAATAGCACTTTGTAGTAAGCCATAATACTATTATATTAGCGTGCGTATATTACTATTATCGTATATCACGATTGAAAACAATATACTAATCCGGATCATCAATAAAATCCGTTACGGTCGTATAGGAAAATGAATGTCTATACGGCCTACTTCGAATTAATTTATTATATTATTGTGTCTATATAACAATAATAATATAGAGCCATGTATATATTACTATTTTCTATTATCATACGAATAGCCGGACATACTTCGCATCGTGGGTAGGCCACACTTAGTGGACAATCGAGCAGATATAGGTAGGTTTAAGATGTAGGGTAATTTAGTTTACATAAATAAATATATTATATATTATAGGCTGAAAGCTGCGAATGAAGCATTGTAATCAAAAATACGATTCTGGACTTATAGTCAATGTTCTGTGTGGTTATTTTGATATAGATGAATAATCAGCACATTTGTGTCTAGATAAAAAGAAAGAGCATTTTGTTTACTATATATTACAGTACATACCTTTCACTAAACTAAGTCCTAAAAATAATAAAGGCGTACCAGATTTGGTGAACATCTAGATTTCAAAAGGTTGTGTGATTAAATAGAAAGATAACCACTTTTTTTTTATCACATAATTATAAATTAAAAATGCTAATAAATATGTGTATTAATTACAATTTTAAATTGTTTATCTAGATGATTAAATTATTCATCTTAAATAGCTTATTTTTCATTTATCTAGATAAAATAAAAGATATGGATATTAAACTCGTAGGTATATATCTAAATAAAATACGACCCTGTTTATAGAGTTACATTTTTAATATAGTCGTTTTACCTAGAAATCAAGAAAAATATAACCAAAGTATCGTCTTTTGTTGTTGGTTAATTTGATTTTGTTTTGTTTTTATTTTTTATTTTTGAAACTGTTGAATATTTTGAAAAATGTTTCAAATAAACTATGTCCTTTTAAAAGTAAGGTTAGGTTAGCTTACCAAAATAAGGTATATTGTGGACGGTTTAGAGAATTTTTACTTACCGAAAAAGTTTTCCCACAAAAAAACGCACGTATCGTATTAAAACAGCGCTACATTACTCAGAGTTTAAAACGTAATTCAATGAGTTTACTAATTATAATATAATAATATTATATATTATTAAATTATTTCTTCAAATGCACACATTTTACAACAATAAATTATTAGTAGGCAAAAGTTGTATATACACTACAGTATTCTTTATTCCCGAGCGCAAAGTTAATTTAATTTATTGTTCTCTATAAAGTGTTTGGGGTAGGATAGGTATAACAATTGTTTAAAAACATAATAATTGTATATGCTTAACCTTCTAACGAACAAAAAAAAAAACCCCTTTTGTTTTTTTTCTTTATTCCAGTATAAGACCTTTATATTAAAGGTATACCTTTATAATTATTACGTTACAGAAAAACGAAATTCGGGTACAGGTTTTTTGCTAAGTACTATTGTAGTAGTATTCAGTTTATATATAATACAGGGCATTTCTTTCATCACGAATCAACAACTATACAGTAGTTATATTGTAGGATTATAGGGATATTTGATTTTGGCTTTTGTTTTTTTTTTTTTTTTTTCAAACGTTACTGAATTGTTTGGAAGTTACCTTATTTCTTTTGATTATTGTAAATAAGATCGTTAATATTCGCTATTATAATGCCTGGAAAAGAGCCCAAAATAAAATCGATAATTCTTGATAACCGATCATCAGGATAAAAATATCACCCTATAGATAATATTATATAGTATACTGTGTGACATCATACATAATATTTTGACACTCGAGACTTTGTTGAAAGTTTATTAATTTTGTCGTGGGTATATACAGCCTTCAATTTATTCGTTTCCCGCTGGTGTTAAATTTGTGTGGGTTTTTTTTATTATTATTATTCGGTTGAATTAAAAAAAAGATTTTTGCATCACACGAGTGCATTTGTCGGTTTTTATTAATTCAATAATATTTTATTTATCAATTCGTTTAGTCCGGGCCTCTGGTTAAACGATGAAAAGCTATCGCGACGAGGGGGCTGAGTGGTTTGTTGTGAAGTCCGTATTATACATTGCCGGTTTATACGCGCTAATGCGATCCCAGGGATTCTGCTGCAGCAATGTGTGGTGTTGTCAAGGCTGCGAAATCATTTTAAACGTTATTCTATTTAGCTATGTATGTGTGTGTGTGTGAAATCCGTACAAATAATATATGCCTACTTGACACTCGACTGGTTTTTAAACTCACATACTGACTCGCCCGATATTGAATTAAGAACGACGGGGTGAGGAGGAAGTGAGAATACACGTTAGTCGTGATGGTGTGTAATTTCACGTCCGCCAGAGCTTTAGCGGAACTTGTATTATTTTAAAAGGGGATTCGCTGCGTTATAGAGCTTTTAACGCGTGTTGCAATCGCAATAAATATTAATAATTGTATATGCTGCCCTGGGACGGTAAAAAATTAGTTTTCACCGTGTAACTAACATTATATTATAGTCAACGAAATAACGTGTCCTGGCTGACTGATTCGTCAGCCTAGCCCAAACCACTGGACGGATCGAGCTGAAATTCGGCATACATATAGACATTATGACGTAGACATCCGCTAAAGAAGGATATTTGAACATTCAAACCCCGAAAAGGTAAAATAGGGATTTTCGGGTATTTTCGGTATGAATATCTAATTTTTTATTTATTTATTTTTGTTTGTTCACGGGTTACCTCGGTTATGTGGATGACAATTTAGTTGTCACGGACAAGAAAACTATTATCATTGTCATTATTTTGACTATTAATTAAACTTTTATCTATCTAGAAATATCAATCACCTCTCTCAGGGCGATGAAAAAAAATAATGACCAAAATATCAAGGTCCGGGTACTAAAACTACTCGTCCAAATTCCAAACCTAATATTGATTCAAGGAAATACGTGATAACCTAAAACCTGAAACCATTAGTGGTTGAAAAACCACGTTGGAAGTAAATATATTTAGGGATAAAAGGCAAAACCACCGTCGGGTAAATCACATTTTGAAGTAAAAAAAAATCGATAATCTTGTTTTTATGATGGTCCAGAGTCGTCATATTGACATTAAATTCGTACCGTTATTAAATTCAAATTTCAATATTTGGTATTTTTTTTTTTTTGAGGGTATAGTTCTTATATATTTATTATATTTACATCGTATTATACTTATATTTTATTTCTTAATGCCGAGAGATAAGTGATATTTGTCCAAATTTATAATATAAAACAACTTCTAAATTTAAACCGACTCGAAGAGTAAATCAGAAGCTTGACAGCCACAATATTATACGCTAAGAGAGCACATCTCATCGATTAACCCATGCAATACTATTTGGTTATACCATGAATTTCGTGATGAAAACATATTTTATTTAGTTTTAGATTTTGATTGGAGTGAAGAAGCTTATAATGTTACAAAGATGTTTATTTTTTTTTTATGTGCGCAATTTTTCTACTAGAAAAATTTCTCGGATTTCTATGTGTAGCACATTTTCTAAAAATAATTCAGCGTGGAGAGGTACTTTGGGAGGTAATTTTTCGATTTTCCCAAGGTTTTTCCCATCAAATGAGAAAAACTGGGAAAATCAGTACAATATTAGACAAATATAATTAAAGAAAATACATACATAATGCCTATTTAATCAGGTATTTTACCGTAATATGACATATATAGTTAAAAAAAAACATCACTATCAACTGAACTTTGCTCATAATCGTTTTTTCGTAAGCAATGGTTTATTGTTTCTTACAGGTATACATTAAATTATTTATAACAGTGACTACACCCTTCCCCATTATTCTAGGACGTCTGTTTAGCTATAAATCGCTACATTAAACACGGAAAATATTTAAAATTAATTAAAACAAATTTCTACATGCCTATACCAATAATATTGCACCATGATTCATAAAACCATTCACCCAACATATATTTGTCAGTTGCAGCAAAACGTAATTTACCCACTCACCCACCACCTCCTTAACTTAAAATTATTATTTAATAAACTGTATCATATTTTTAGTTGATAATATTAGTAAATATTAAGGTTAACCAATGTAATCTGTGTTTTATAAAGGCATATATATTTCAAGTTAATTATTTTATGTTATTATAAACCCACCCGCCCCTTGCTTCCAAAGTGTAGCAACTGCTACACCTAGTAATAGGGTTGGGTGCCACTGTAAATAACAATGTCATATTTTAAGGGTCGTTCAGTATTATTTGTCCGTTTAGTATAATATTTATGCGGCTGCTGACTTCATAATAAACCACTTATATAGGACTCTACAGTATAGTTGTTGTTATAATGGACGGTGGTGTGCCCAGGAATTTTCAACGGAAAGGCAAGTAGTAAATAATATTTATAATAATTCATGAATAAATCGTATAATCTTAACCGTATACCCAACCCAACAATGAGAATTTAAAAGCCGGTTCCCAAAAAAAAAAAAACATTTCTGTTCAATAAATTAAGTATTCGTCCATTTAACTTGGTTAAACTATATAATTTAAAGGTAAAACTACTAAATAAACACTCATAAGTCATAACTGTTGTATTCGTGAGCCCGCGGAGAGAACATTATAACCCCTGACCCCCCTCCCCCAATCATTGTACACAGCACTGACTACGCGCAACTATACAGTTGGATATTAGACTGTTAAATATTTCAACCGTTAATGCATTATATAGGCTAACGGAATGCCTAAAGATTATTTTTGTCGTGTTGTTTGAATAAACGACTATAAAGTTTATAGGTATTTTATTTATTTCTCGAATGTTGGTAAAGAAAAATAAAAAAAAAAAACCTTTGCAACGCATGTGAATATTTATAAAATAAATAGCTGTGTGTATAGGAACACGATTTCAATTTTGGCAAAGCACACACTACAGGATATGGCGGTTATACATTTATTATGCCAATGAGATTATATATACGATCGGTTTGAACATAATAAAATATTAAACACGTCCGTCGCATATAGGACAACGTTTCGCAATAAACTGCTTTTTCCGCACTTTTTTTTTTTATTTTTTTGTTCGCAATCGTTATCACCAACGTGTAGTTGCTGCAAGGGATTTTCGGAAATATAGACGGGCTCTTATAAGTTCTAGCATAAAATTAGGTTAAAATCGCGGCGTATGAGTATGGTAAAAAAAAAAAAAAAAACAATTCTCTCCTTTTAACATCGCCGTAGTTGTGTGATGAAAAAATAAAGTTCAAAGTCGTTTTATATAGTTAGGTACCTACCTATACACGTATACCTACACGGCGTTATGGTCGGGAATGTTGTATAGGTAAATACCGCACACGCCGACCGCAGAGTTTCTCGAAGTAAAATATTCTCTTTGAAAATTTAAAATTAAATACATGCTACGCTATTCTAGTACTGCATTTGAAATTCAAAAGTCTGTGTACGACGTGTTTTAAAATTATAATGGCCGGGGGCGGGAGATATAATATTATTATAAAGCATATTATTAAAATAGTTGTCGAAAATTTGACGATTACAAAACTATACAGAGTATCGTATTAAAATTTCGACGATAAATGTATAAACTCGACGAGAGATATAGGACTTGTGTTAATTGCGTTTCCGTTGTTACCGACCAATAAATTATCCGTTTAATATTGTTTACGCGAGTTTCACGATTAAAAAAAAAAACGAGAGAATTTTCGTTAAAAAGATTAAAAACACGTGTGTATGACAACGCGGATTTGTCCCGAACGAATAAAAGAAATTAGCTACAGCCGCACATATTATTAGACTCGTTAAAAACCCAAATACAGTATAACGAGTATAAACGATGGTACTGTTATTTTATAGTCTCCACGACTCGTTTTTCATTTTTATTCATACGCGATAAATGCGTACATCCTGTATTAAGTACCTACCCAGCCTAGTTTATCAACAGTGATTTAATATTTCCTTATTAATTCATTATTAACATTATACTTTAGACGTTGAACTATGTTAGGTATCGTTCGGTTGTCGTACCGTTAAAAATAATAAAAGCCCGGGCATACTCTCGCACCGTGCACTGCACTGTTATTTTGTATGGGTGAGAAGTTGCGAAAATTCACCATAATATTATAGGGTACCGTTCAGTATATCCGTACTTGAAAGCAACGAACGACGAACCATTGTGACCAAAAACCTATTCGGAGCGGTAAACCGGTATGGTCACAGTCCTGGTTATTTCTTCTTGGTAGCCACAATAAAAACTATCACTGCAGAAATCAATAAAAACCATCTTTTATCGCTACAGTTTTCCGATCGGTCAATCTGGCAGACTCTAGTGACACATAGTTTGAATAAAGTGCATATTATACTTACTAGCTGCTGTGACATACAAAAAAACAAAAAAATGTGATCGCTTTCGGTGGGCGCCTTTTTTACGATGGAAATCATAATGTCGTCTACCGATACTCGTAAAAATAAAAATTATATATCACGGTTAATTAGGTTGATTATTTCAAAAAAATAATAATGACGATAATAATGAGCAAGTACGATTAAAAAAGGTAAGTAATTATGGCGATTAAAATGATTAAAATCGTTTATGCCGGTTTTCTATATACGATGAAACAATTAAGCCGGATCAAACGTATTGTCCGGATAAAACGAGGGTGAAAAAAGGTTATTGCATGATTAATCGCGATGGCCCATTGTGTACAGTCGGCAATTCCGCCTCCGTGGCTCCGGACGTATCCGACGGTCCTCGGGCAGTTCTTCGGGAATCCGCGGAATAAATGGAAATATGTTTCGCCTCTGACCTATTCCCAAGCGGTTTCGCGTAACAAATCGACGGTTATTTTCGATTAAGTTTTCTGACACGGACGAGCGCGGACGGAGATGGGCCAAAGGCCCCTCCCCCCCGGACGAAACGATATCGGTGAATTCGGGGTTATGTTCTTTGATTTTTTTTTTTTGATTTTTTATTTCTTCTTTTGTACCAAACGTACGGGGAAAGAACCGATCACGTCCCGCGCATTATTTCAATTCTCTTCATACTTCTCCTTTATCCCGCACTCGGCTATACCGTTATTCCCACGGCGCTCTCCGCCCCCTAAATGCATCGCGACATTTCTGTTCGTCTCAATTCGCATATAATAAATGACAGCGAAACCTCAATGACTCTCGATCATTCTTTGTTCCGAACTCAGACGGATAATGAACGGATAATTTTTATAATCATTTGTCTAACCGACTTATGCGGTATTCCGTAATTTAATCTAATAATTTTAGACTCTGAGTGTAGCGAAGACTATTATTAATAGAAGATCTTTATAAAGATGATTATTTATTTTATTTTTTTTTTTCATACATGCGCAACTTTTTAACCAGAAGACCAGCTCATATTTTTAAGCGTAGCACTTTTACTGAAAGGAAATCGGTGTGGGGAGATACTTTAGGGAAGTGTCATTTTTCGATTTTCTCAAGAAAAACGGGAAAATATAAGGAATGTAGGTATTAGTTAAAATATAATATATTACGGCCTTCTTTTTTTTTTTTTTATAACAACGCAATTTTAAAATAACATAACAATACACACTGCAATTATAATACGTACATATAAAGGTGTTACCTGTTTAATAATCAAAAACTAATATGTACATAGATTTTGAAAACTGTCCTAGTAGAATTTTTTTCCTAAAACCTCGACAACTCGAAAACTATGCATTTCCCTTGAATTTCGACTGATACCGAGGTTCCACTGTATAATATTCTCTCTCGGACGACTACCTTTTGATCGTAGATTCCCGCGATCGTTGGACCATCATATTCAACGTGTTCGCTCTTGGCGAGTCTAAACGCGTATAATTCTGGAGCTTGGTGTAAGAAGGACCAATGTCACATTTTGTGATTGTTGTAAAATTGGCTTTGACATTTTATTTCTCCGTAAGGCTCTGTGTAGTCTATTAAATATAAATGTTTGCGTGATTTTCAATTTTTACCAAAACAGTTTTTATTCAGAAAATAGAAAACAGTTTCTCTTTGTTTTTCATTTGCAACTGATTTTTTCAAAAAAAAAAAAAAAAATTGACATTGGCCCTTCTTGCGCCAAGCCACAAAATTATAATAACGTGGGCGAGCACTAATGACAATGTTACCGCGGTCAGCGGTAGTTGTCGGGCCGCGGTGATCTCCGAAACGACAATAACGTCCGTGCAGACGCGGAAACCGCCGATCACGGTTTCGATTGATTCGTCGTCGGCTATGATCGTTTTGTGTGCCGCGTGCGATAAACGTGTTAGACTTGCATCTACCCCCACTTAGTATAGTTTTTACCGGGGGTAGGAAAATCACGACACGCGTCGCTGCCGGGGACGTTTGACCCCGCGTCGGATCTCATTGCAGCGGTCAACGAAGAACGCCCGCCTACACCCGGGGTACCGTTAAATATTTCGGACACGGCCTCTCCGCGGTGAATCGCGTGAATACAAAATGCGTGGAAAATTCTCCATTCCGAACGAATCCGCCGCGGTCATTTACGGTGATACTGACGGGACAATATTATCCGTCCGGAGATTTAAAACAGTACCCAACTACGTACGCGGCGGGCACGCGGCGTGGTCGGCGACAAATCCGTTTGGCGAGAAAAGAAAAACGGTTTTCAGAGCGCATATCGTTTTTTCCCGTTTGGTTTTTGTCGGGCTATTTTCGTGTTTTCCGCCTCTAAACGGCGCGATCCCGCGGACACAATCGATTTACACGCGTACGCCGGAAAATTGTATGCGTCGGCGAAATGATTTTCTCACTGCAGCTTGATGCTGTCGAATAAACGCGTTTACAATACGCACACACATGTGTTCGCCGTTTTATTGGAATCGCGATATAATATTGTAACACCGACAGATATTTGATTTTTTTTTTTTTTTTCCTTTTTCGTTTTAGAAGTTCAAATTTATTACAGTGTTCATTCTTTTGAACGTTATTTCTTTTTTTTTCCGCCCGTAATAAGTGTCTACGAGGCTTTGCGTTTGTTCTCGCATATTTTATAACTTTAGTTCGCACACTGTACACAACACGGACGGAATATAATCGGAAAACGTTTTGAATCGTCTTATTTGCAAATCCTGCACCAGAGGCGCACTGTCGATTCGCCGTAAATTGCAGTCGCACAGAGAGGATACATTTGTTTAGCATTTAAATGGACGTACCGGGGAAAAAAATAATTATTATAAAGGCACTATGAAATGGACGTTGCAGTGGTGCACTTAGGACGTTCCGTATATAAGACTAAGGAGATATTGAATTTGAACATTGTATTGTATACAACGCATACAGCACACAGATTAGTTTCTTTTTGTTTTTTTTAATCTTTACGATGAAAAGGCTAAGAACAATTTTTTTTCATTTCTATAATGTTCGTGTTGTTTATTTAGGTGCTCATATTAAACCTCCTTCATAATATTTTAGCGGTCCGTATAGTTCCGACGAGCGTACCGGGTTTAGTGTTCGAGGGTTTTTTTTTTTTTAAGTTTTACAAGTATAAATCTATTTGTCGAAACACAAGATTTATCTCCCTAATGTCGCTCCTAAACTGGAAATCGTTTTCGGACCAATTTCATATGGATATGAAAACATTTGATGCGATGATTTTTAATTTTTTTTTTTTCCGAAATTAGCAAAACTTAAGAATAATACGCCACTGTGCAGGGACATTTGTTTGTTTAGTTTTTTTTTTTTTTTTAATAATTTCGTTATACATTTAACTCGTATATTATAATAAAAAATACTTTAAACCGCGTAGCTTATACGATTTGTAGTGATTACAATATACACGGCGCGTAATTATTTGTTTTATCATTATTATTATACTTGAACATTCTTATGTTCGTGGTGGTTTTTTTTTTTTTTTTTAATTAAGAGAAGACGCAAAACGCAGTTATTTTAACGGACACGCGTTCGCGTTCTGTAACTATTATACAGCGGTCGCTATACACACAGCTTCTTTATTGCACAGCTACAGCGGTCGTACAAACAAAATTGTTGGCCGCCGAACACAAAACAAGACAAAATGTTTACAATGCACGAGCGTGGATATTATATATATACATATTTTTTTTTACCGTCAGTTTTTTTAGTTAATGAAAAATTATACAAAATTTTCTCGTTTCCCGTGTATAATGCCGGACGTGACGGAATAAACGACAGTCGATCCGTCATTTTTTGAGAGACTCGTGCGGCGTCGCAACGGACATTCCGTCGCCGTTGCGCCAAAACAGTGAATATTATGTTTTTAGAACGATTTTTTTTTTTATGAAAATTCCAAATTTTCATAGATTTGGATCGAAAATTATGTGTGAAGCGGTGCTTACGCTATTGTTGTTATGGCATCACTCGTTGGACGCACTTTTCGTGCATACAATATATTCATGTAAATGAATGAAACGAGTTATTTAAACGTGTTTATTTTTTTTTCACCAATTTTTACCGATTTTATACCAATGTTAGGGCCCGCTGTTTGTTTTGTGCTCTCCGCACCTACGCGACTGCACCGATATAACATACTGACAGTAAAAAAACAAAATAATAATAATAACTCAAAAACTATCCGAAATACGACGCGGCTTAATTTTCCTCGGGCCTTTGAAAAGAAACGCAGAAAAAAAAAAACAAAAATATCCCGATATCAATCGTGACGGGATAAACGACATATTTTGTATAGTGAATAAAATGATTATATTACCGTGTTTGGCGATGATCTGCAAGACGTACATCGACATGAAAAAGACCACCATCATCCACCTGGACACCGTGCTCTGCGGGTCGCCCGGACGGCCGTGCCGGATCCGCCGCGGTTCCATGTCCGCGGGTTGTGTCACCCCGGGGATAGTTAGTGCGCGGGCGACGCGTCGAATAACGACGGGAAAATCGCCGTGCCCCGTTCGCGCTGTCACTGGGCGAGTGCGAGTAAACAATACCGACTGTCTGCGTAGAGACGGACGAACGTGCAGTGACGCGCGCGCTGACAGACAGGCACGACCGTAGTATGCCGCGGACAGCAGGAGTATGGCCAGGGGCACGTGACTACGGCTACTAAACGTCGCCGACCGAATAAAACCCGCTACGGAGCGCGAACACTAACAATCGCCACCGCCGCCGCCGCCGCTGCGCATCGCCTCTCTCGGTACGCGCCGCAGCCGCCGCCGGTGGAAGGTGAGTGTATGTGTGCGTCTGTGTGCGTAAACGCGTACGTAAATCTGTGCGTTTGTGTGCGTATATGTGCGTGTGTGTTCGTGTGTATATGTGCGTGTGCGTTGTACGTGTGCGTGTGTATGTGTGCGTGTGCGTTGTACGTGTGTGTGTGTGTGTGTGTGTGCGTTGTACGTGTGTGTGTGTGTGTGTGTGTGCGTGTGCGTTGTACGTGTGTGTGTGTGTGTGTGCGTGCTCGCGTTTGCGTCGACGGCGGCGATCGGCGTGGGGGCGGCGCGAGAGCATCCGGCGGCGGTCAACTGTAATGACAATTATAATATAAATAATAATAATAATAATAATAATAATAATAATAAATAACATACCGGTACCTGATGAAAAATTAATTATAAACAATAAATAAAACGACAATCCCATCGCGACGCAATATATTATTGATTATGATTATTTCACGCGGTGGCCGGCCATAAATAGTAGGGCGCGAATTAAGGGCGTGTATAGGGCGTAATACACGCCGAGTGGTCGTCGAAACCGAGCCGCCGGGACACGGGCGGCGGGACAAACCGCGCGATGAATACGTAGGCGCAGTAGCGATTACCCGTTTGTACAGGGTGTCTCCGAACGAGGAAACTATAATGAAGTAATGGCAGAAAAATGTCCCGAGCGCGTCCCGTGTTCGAGTTTTACCCGTTTCATAGCCCGAGTGCGTCCGAGGTCTTGACGACGAATTATTTTGAATTGTCCCGAGTGCGTCCGCAGTCGTATCAATGCAGTCAGTCTTAGATGGGCGCCCGTTTTGTATTTATACGACTCATTTATAAGCTGATGAACCGATAAATGATAATTGATGAACCGATCAGTGGGGAAACAACATTTTGTTTCGGCTTTGATTATAAAACTCATTAAGACTATCACGGAGTACGGTTAGCAGCCGTATACAGTAATTTGGTAAACGAGAGTTATTCCGTAATTTTTCCCATAACCTGTTACTGAACTAGTGTCGTAATTTACAAAATTTAAAAAAAAAAATTAAAAACTGTTATGTTTTCACGTGCAAAAAAAAAATGTAAATACTACAAGTACACTAAAGACTACGAAAGTCTACGCATTCTGTACCTATTTTATTGCACTCGACCGACCGTAAACACGTGTAGTTAATAACAGATAATAAAACGGTCTAAAATGTTCAGGGTTTAAGTCAGTGTACCTCCTCGTAGTGCACCCTAAGTAACTCTAAATGATTGGAAACGCATTCGGGCTACGTGGAAGAAATAATATTTATTTATTGGGACGCACTCGGGCGATCCCATATTCCGGGCCCATTAGAGACATTGAAAAAGGATCGTTTCGGGACGATAGGTAACAGGCGTAGGTACCTCACAGGTATACTCGATTATATGAGGTGTCCGAACGGTGTTATTTTGGAATTCTCTGTATCCACCTCCGAAACCTGGCCGGTTTTTATTCTCACATATTTTATTATTTGGATATTCGCGTAGGTTGCATACTGTCATTTCCGCGACTCTAAAAACCGCACACTTGTGATCAAATTCATGGCGAAACCTCGCCCTTTTTAAAATTGTTGCATCCAAAAACCGCATGTTTCATAACGGTGTATAATAATTATTAATTATTATTCATACGTGTATTAAAAACAAGGGACAGTTTATAAATTGAAAAATGTATTGGACATGAAAGCACTAAAACACTAAAAATGACATGCGTATCAAGTTACGTTAACACGCGTTTCAGTCGATAACCATAGTGGAAAAATACTCAATATTGATTTGACCGTTTACCGTCATTTACTTGTAAGTTTAGGTGTAATACCTAACTAACGGATAATGGTTCGAGCATATCATTGTATCAACCTACAATAAGATACAAGCATTTGTGTGTAACGGACTATTTTAAAATTGTTAATACAACGTGCGTCTATGCACATGGCATTAACGTGCGGTTTTCACCCGCTTAAAGTGTGCGATATTCGGCCGTACAATGTACCCACCCGGCAACCGATAAAGCGTGCGGTTTTCGGATGCAACCGTGCGTACGTGGCATACGACCACAATAACACCAATGCGAACAAACGGTGATAGGTCATAAATACAATTCAAGATGTATACGGGTGTATATAAGGGGTAGGTTCAATAGTAATGAAATGTTCCGAGGTGTGCCCTGCGAAGTCCACGTGCGAATCGATATGTCACATCGTGATTGCACGTATTCACACGATTTCCGCGCTTATTTTTAATCCCGCCAGTATGAAGGAAAATTACGCGAAGGGGCGTATTTAGTGAATGTCCACGTGCGCGTACCTCCTCCTCCCTTAAAACAGCTCCATGTCCAGATAGACCAAAGCTTCCCTTCAAATGTAGGATTTCACCCAGTTACCGATCTCCCGCCAGTGTGATACTATACACATTTTTATTTCATATATAAATACATGAAATAAAAATATTTTTTTAGGAAATTTATTAATTTATTAACTTATGGAATTACAGTAATTAAAATCATATTCTATACTGGACATCCAGCGGACTTTACTCTATTGTGTCCATATGGACACCAAGAACCTACTTAAACAAATGCCCTGAATGGCTGTCGTTTATCACGTATATATTTTTTGGAAAATCGATCTGGAAAAATTATAGCATAAATTGTTTATCGACATATTGCAATATATTATCACCTGGCCGATATCATGGTAAAATCAAAAACAAACAAATAAACTCTATTTGCATATCGAAATCTTATCTTGTTGACTAATCAAGGATATTAGAAGTCCACAAAAATATTATTTTTATTTTATTACAATTAGTGTAAAAACGTAAATTTCGAAAATGGTACAAACGAATCTATATTATAAATAAATAAAAGACGTATACATTTTTAAAACGTGAAATCCTAATGTAAATCGTAATGTTGATCTTTGTAACGGCTAATCTCGGTTGTATACTGGTTGAATATTTATGGTCAAAACGTATATCAATAGTAGAACGTCATTTTTGAATCAAACTATGTTTCGCGATGACCATTGATAAGGCGCAAGGCCAAACGTTGAAAATTCAAATAAATAATAATTTATATGCCCCTAACCAAATAACGAATAACATAGTTTACTAAGAAATAATATTGCAGTTAACTGTTGTCATAAAATAAATCGAGTTTATTACAATCTGTTAAGTATAATATTATAATATCACGAGTCTGAGATTTTATTTGCGTTTGTTTTCCTCTAAGATATTTCCAGAGAAATAAAAAACCGATTTAGTTTGTATTGGAAATTGTTTCGTTTGTACGGTAGACGTGTCTGACTACTGTTGTTGCGTGTGTTGACTTTTATCAATATTTTTTTTTTCAATCAAATATTCTCAGGTTAGGTCTAAACCCCGAGCCGAGTGAATTTCCGTGTATTTTTTTTCTTTTTCGTTCACTTTACTAATACGGGCAAAGTAAAACGGGAATAAACGTAAAAAGAATAAAAAAAAATAAACAAAAATAGCACGGGCAACGCCGGGCGGGACAGATGAAAATGACTAGGTTAATTCGGACGAAGCCTGGCGAATCAGCTATTTATAACTATCAACTATATATTATATATATATATTGATATTGATGTTGATATTTTAGCTATCGCAAATAATAGACTTATAATAATTAAAAGAAATAGTGAAATAACAATTGTTATCTCAATACGAAACGAAATCATCAAGTCCAAATATCAACAGTTATGTCGTTAAAGGAACAAATAGCTCGGGCCAAGAGATCGTTCATTAAAATATTGGATCAAAAGGTCGAAAGTGAAACGACTCACTGGATCTGGTAAGGGTGCTTGGAACACGTGGACTTGTATGCTCAAAGAGCCGCGATGAGTCAACCTTACCATGGAGTAGATTGATTAAAAACAATTCATCCGGTGTGCCATGATGTTGGATGTTTAAGCGTCAATATTTTATGAAAATAGCGTTGCGTATCTGTTTGTGTTACACAATATGCGAGGACTTTGTAGGAATTTCCGAGGAACATTTATTCTCAACTTGCGCGAATATTCAAAGAATATATTGCATACAAAATAAAAACGATACTGCCCATCATGAGTGTGCAACTGTTTTAGAAGGGAAGTTGAAATTGTATTTATATCTGTACGTAATGAAAACCATTGCTGGGTAATGAAAATCGATTCTGATCAGAGTGTTATTAATCGTAGTTTTCCTTTCGTTGCCAAGGTAACCCGGAAATCAACAAACTGCACACGAAAAATTGCCATTTTTTTTAGGAAAATAAAAAAAAAACGATTTTCTCAACGCTCCGATTAGATCGCACTACAGTAAAACTAATATATTCCTCGTTTCGCTCAGGGTCTAAAAAAAAAAAAACCGATGATTTTGAAGAGAAAAAAATATCGACAATTCAGACACCCCATTGCAGAGTAAATATAATATGCATTGATTTCTAGTTTCCTTGTTCATTTTTAGAAATACCCTGTATACGCACCACCGCCACCGGAACTCTAAGCCCTGCTCCGTTCCGAAATTTCGTGACCCGTTTGCGATATATTATTATTATTGTTGCGTTACTATACCACGGCCGCCCCCGAAAGGATAAGCCGACAGAATCGTTTTCCCCTCCCCCCCGATTCTTCGCAACGTGGATTTATATAAGTAGGTATATATAGACTATATATTATAGAGCCTACTACGTGGCTGGCTCAACAAAAGTCGCGGGTCGACTTATAAGGACCTCCACCTCACCAAAAAAAAATGTCTAAACAATTCATATCTCGGTGTCACGGAAGCCCTTTATTTGCTTTCTTCGTACCTTTTGTGCCCTCGCCACTGAATCAAATTCGATTTTTTTTCAACCACTCGCATAAGTGTGGTTTTTATAAAAATATTATTAAAAAAA